AATATTGATGCACAGTCTTCTAGGATCAGAAAGCTTATGTTAATCTTTAATCGACTGAAACGAGTAGCGGAGGACGAAGTTATTAGAATAATTTATTTAGCACTTTGTCAGTCCATTCTCACATACTGTATATCGGCATGGGGAGGAACGGCTGAATCTTTATTGATTAAGTCGGAACGTGCACAGAGAGCAATCCTTAAAGTTGCCTATCGCAGGCCGTTTAGATACCCCACAGTCAAACTCCACCTAGAAACAAAAACCCTCTCGGTAAGGAAGCTTTACATCTTGGCGACCTGTTCAAGATATCATAGATTCCATGGGCTCACAATGGTAGGGGAGCCCAAGAGGGGATTTCGGGATTTACTAAAGCGCGGCAGATTACTATATAGGGGGATACCTTGTACCCGGTTAAGTACCTCCACAAAATATGAGGCCCATATATAAGGCCGCGCGTGAAGGAGACAGGATCAGATTAGTAAAAAAAATTGACCATCAGAAATTCCCGAGCGCGTCAGATTAAGGTAGGGTGAGTTAATTACATCCTAAAAAGTGTATATTCCACTAATCTGACAATTTGAGAGTGACGGAAAAAAAGGGAGGGCAACAAAGTTGTAAAAAAAAACGTCATCTCGACATTCTCGAGCGTAGCTAATTTTTCTTTTATTTTGAAGGAAATAATTCCAGAATAATGAAAAATATATAATCTGACGATTTCCGCAAGCCGAAATAACAAAAATTCGTCGATAAAGTTAAATGCGTGCAGCTGCGTGATGCCTACATTTCCTTAAACCGATCGGAATCTACTAAACGGCGTTCAAAATATTTCCCTCAAAATTACATTTCCTGTGAATTTGAACCGATTCGGACCGATAGATTTTGAGAAATTTTGAAAAATCTTAAAAAATAAGAAATATATTTTTTTAAAGTGGTTTCTTTATCGATCAACTTCAAAAACTAATCCGCCTTTGAGCTTGAAAAACCACGTCGATCGCCACCAAGCTGGTCAAAAGCGGTTGATTCGTTCGAGAGATATCGTACATGAAAGAAACCCGAAAAAGTGTTTTTTCGGGATTACTCCGAAATTTGTGGTTCGATCAATTAAAATTGCAAAATTACTTATGAGAATGATAAAACTGCGTCGAATGCCGCCAACCGCGTGAAAATTGCTTGATCCATTCAAAAGTTATTGCGGTTTGAAAATTCCAAAAATAGTGTTCTATGAAACTTCTATCAGACTTTCGAGCTGGGAGAGCTCAAATGCATAGAAATGTTATTTCTTTGAACTCAGCGAGCTCAAAATATCAATTTTAAGCGCCCAGGAATGGAATTAGCGGGAAGTTGCAGGGATGGCCCTTTAGGTGAACCGTTTTTCTATTTTTTTTTGTCAGATCAGGCGAATCCTCTAGATAATCGTCAGATTATGAGACAGTACGTTTAGAACATAAAGATGAACCACATATATCTTAATCTGACGCGCTTGAGTATTTCAAAATTGCGATTTTTTTTTGCAAATTAAGAAAATGGCTGTGGGTTTGCGTCCCATCGAAATCGTCAGATTAGTGAATGAGAGATTTTTTTTGGTGCACTTAACACTCCCTTAGAAAATCTGACGCGCTCGATAATTTTTTTTTTTTTAATTTTCAACCCTTAAATACAACCACCCGCATCATGCAAACGATCAGATTAACATACGTACATTATTAAAAATACGTAGGGCATAGATGCTATCAATATCTGACGCGCTCGAGGATGTCCATGCAACAGTTTTTTTTACATATTTAACTATCTATAGCCGCTTCCCCCACCGATGAAAAGGAATTTATCATATAACATTTTTTTCTTCTTTTTATCTAAGCTTTGTATCCCAATAGGTCTCTACGACGCTCGAGTAAATCCCCATTTAGCATCGTGGGCTCCCTACCACAATTCAGGACACATCTAAGAACAGACGTTTTGCATTCCCAACGCCAAAACGAAGGACTGTGTTTCGACAACGCTCCTTTGCATTTAGGGGCCCCTTCCTTTATAACAAAATTTCCAAATCTATGGATTCTGAGATCGTAAAATTATCCAGATATAAATTAGCAAGTCACATAGAAACTACACTAGCCAAATTGGATTTCGAATCTACAGAGGCATTACTACATATCTTGGTATGACTTTGAGGTTTCATAAACTAACACAGACACAGTGCACGATCATAACAACTTTCAGCTACATTCTCAAATACATGCGCATACCTATTCACACACTCACTCATTCACTTCATTTGTAACACTAAATTTATAACTATTATTAGTATTTTTTCTTTTTTATTATCATCTTTTTTTTTAAACTAATTTTAACATGTACCACGAAATAATTGTTTTCTAGTTACCCACAACACAGGGCCTCCCTAGTGTGGGGACTAGCGATTTATGATTTCTGTCACAAACCCTTCTGTCATTAATAAAGTTTTTATTATTATTATTATCAATATTAAAGTAATCTTTGACACTCGTTCCTATGACTCGGAACGAGTTCACGAAATGTCATGAAACTTGTTTATCACAAATTCGGGTTGCTAAAACTAATAAATACAGGAACTGGTTTCTGCGGCCCTCCGCCCATTCGGCATTCAGGCCAAACAGCCCGAGCTGAGCTGTAAAGGCCCTTAAGGCCAACAGCGAGATTCCATTCCAAAAAAAATATAAAAAATGCGGCCCTCCGCTCTAAAAGATTTACATCAGCCCCCATCTCACGTACGCGGCGCCAGCGTGGCTCGGTCAACTAGGACGCGAGCCTCCGACGACAACGCAACGTGCAGAAGAAGCCCGACCCTCCTCGTCTCCACCACACCAAGGGCTATATGCCCGCCCCAGTCCTGCATCAGCAGGCCGCGAACAATCACACCGCCAGTGGGGGCTCGGCCCAAACTGGCCGATGTCCGCCCCAGAAGAAGAACGGATAAACACAAGCAAAGAAAGCGGCCCTCAGTTCGATTGAGCGCTTTAACTAAGCAGAAGCCTTTATAAAATAGACTCTTATGTTAAAATTAAATGGCTTTATCTTCCAAAAATTTTCAGCAGGTCCTGTTTTTGTTAAATTTCAGGTCGTGCTTTCGAGACATTGTTTAGGTAATCAATTGTTGCTTTGTCAACGATCGGTAACTGTCTCTGTCTCCTCCGTCCTTCCTGTCGCTAAACGACAATATTCTTACCGTTCATAGACAGTTCCTACCTTTGATTTGCTACCTTCCTTTCTCCACGCGTAATCCTACGGGTATCTTTCTGCGCCATTATTTAAGTGCTACCCTTGTAGCTAGTTTGTGTCACATCATATAAAATATTTAATAAAATCGCTAGTAAGCTAGCTACTACTAACCTTCGGTCAAACGAATGTGCTGTAATTTAATTAATTTTTGTCTCCATAATACTCGCCACGACCGAATAAAAAAAGAAATTAGACAAAAGTCACCTCTAACCTTTGTGTTTATTTTAGTATCGACGAGTTTATATGGTACTGTGTTATTAATAAGAGTCAACCATTGAAATTATAGAAAAGGATCAGGGACATATTTAGTGTTTCTAATTCAAAGATCAAATAAATCTAATCAATAATGAGTGATTTTGGTTAGAGCCCGCTCTTAACCATTTCCAAAGAGTCACCATGACGTGCGTCTGCGGCCCGGTCTCCTACCTGCCACTTTGACTTGAATGATAAGTTGAAGGAAGGAGCTCGTACTTTTTTGTTTAAGACATAAATATATACTGGTAAATAATTGTTTAAAAAGTAATCCTACATGTCATTTGGACGCAAATAGTATGAAAAATAAAACACATTTATTTTGTACACAATTTATTAAAAAGTTAAAGCTAAAATTCGACTTGTTGAATTGGCACATTCATTTATAATACTAATACTAATCATCTAATCAATTTATTGACATCGAATGAATACGAATATTTTAATGACATATACCAGAGAATAAACCAAGTAACGGTATATAATATGTTTTCCACATTCCACTGGGAGACTAAATATGTCCCAAGGTTTTAAATTATTTTTCATTATTTAATGTATGAAAACACTTCATTTATTATTCTTATCTTAAGAACAATTTTTACATCTGTCTTTGACAACAATGAATATCGAAATAATTTTGTAATTCAATTTTATTTACACACTAAAGGTTCGGTAATAATAAAAATATAACATACAGTTATGTAGACTATTGATTTTTTATTCTATTAACGCTTAAATTTCACTTTATTAAAATTGGCTTAATATATTTTAATTAAAATAATATAATGGATGGACTACAGACTAGTTTGAAGGTATAGGTGCTAATACTGATGTACATAAATCTCCCATTAATGAGACGTCGATGCACCAAATTTGAATAATTTAAAAAAAATAGTAGGTTAGTTACTTTAAACGATTAGCAATGGATGTTTCACGGCGACGCGACGCATTTGTTTTTGTTATAAAAATGAGGAGACGAAACTTTCGATAGCTACATAACTCCGTATATGAATGAATTATAAGTCTAATTGCCCCGTCTTCATAAAAAATATGTCTAATTGCCTCATCTTCATAAAAAAAATAAAATTCAAAAGCATCGTTTTAACTAAAGAAGTCGACTGTTGCTTTTCATCAATCTCTCAATTTATTTTGTCTCCAAAGGCTGCTTTAGTTAAATAGTGTAATTAGATTGATTATATTTTTTTATAAGGGGTTATGGATTTATTGTTTGTTTATAAGTTCAGAAACTGTTAATAACTTTTTGGTTCCACTGTTTAAGAACTACACAATAGTGGTCCTCTTACAATGACATAATATGTATATTAATTACTAAATGGTACAAAAATGTAGATTTAACGATTCTTTTAATAAGAAATCCATACCTTACCTTTAACACCCCACAATTTATTATTTTAAGTAAAGGAAAGTTCAAAGAGGAAAAAAGTAACATAAATTGAAAGAAATTTAAGTACATCAAAATTAGCACAATTGAGAATTTAATGGCACCCACAACTTTTAACGACCATATTTTTGTATTTTCGTAAAATTACATTCGAGTCGTCTGTATAGTATAACACGGATATAGGAGACAATTTGATAGGTGCACACGATGGTTTCGGTACCTGAATAACAAGAAAATTATTAATTATTATGCTTTTATACTATGTGTAAAAAAGTAAATATTTACTGTTGACGTAATCATCCCCTTTCCCCCTATAGTGTTACATAATTCCTGAACGGCCCCTTAGTTGCATATAGTTTTTCATGAATGAGGGATTATATTTCATTTCATTATATATAATACCCACATATTCTCTCTGCTTGAAAACGAAATGCATTTTCGAGGATTCCTACAAAAAACGTTTAGGTACTATTATTTTTGAGAGCTTTGCTTACTTTTGCTGACAAATAGAGGGGAGGGCATAAACTGCAGTAAATCTACTTACGTAATACTTGAACGGTGCTCTAATTACAGTATTTTAACTAAAGTACGCTTTCGTCTCGTTCTGTAAAATTGCGTACCCTGTGGTGAAACACACAGCTGATCTGTGAGACTTTAGTTAAAAGAAAGAAGGAAAGACTGATTTACTTCTTATGAATAAGGTATGTTTTAGTTTGTAATATCCGAGTGAGCGCTTTAATTTTATAATAGTAACCAGGAGTTGCACAACTCGCTCGCAAGTAAGCGTTCTGTTTGCGTCCTTAAGACCAATAATTTATACTAACTTAGAAAGCTAAGTTCGACAAATTTAAACTTCTAAGATCAGAAAGCTGCAATTGCGTTAACTCACATACTATGACGCCCATAGTAATAAGTCATTTGTCACTTTGAAAATTTACACTCAAATTATCACAGTATTTTCACCACCGGATTGAGTGAGTATATAAAGAACTATATATGTGAACCTAAACATTTATACATATAAACATGCAATTAAACATCAAAATATGTCAACTGTCAAATAATAATAGTCGTGAACTCTCAAATTATATTTATAATACGTAATTGCTATGAATAGTAGATTTTTCTTTTGCGCATTTCACATTTTTATATAAATCTTAATTTTATTAGAATTTCCAACAATAAACGTAAAACTCGCCGATTTAGTTATTAATATTAAAAAAAGAATCCTCACCTGGTTTGGATATAAAAGATGAACCAACGTTTGGACGATTGCGTGGTTAGTAGCGTTTTTATGAGCATTCAAGGGGAAATTACATTCTCCACTGCAATAAAAGGCCCCATATCCTTCGGGGGCTATTATCCAATCCTATAAGAAGATATTAATTGTATCAGCATTTATTAGTATTGTATAGGTACTGAAGACAAGTCTGCGATTTAAAAAATGGTTTTGAATAAATAGCTATAAAAACCAAAACATATTTCGAACAAAATTTACATAACATTTTTCATACAATTTGTCTTTAGTGCAATCATAGCACCGTAATTATAATATTAAATTATAACACAATTTAAGCAGTATAAACCATACAAAATCCAATTGTGTATACTAACGCGTAATAAGTAAGTAAAATATATATGATATGGTTTACTGACCTGCCATTCTAAATCCTTAAAACTGACGTAAAGTGTTTGAATTTCACAACTCCGGGTGGTCCAATGTAATGTGTCTGTCAAAACAAATAAGTAAAATCAAAATCTCTATTGAATTGTTTTCTACAATATTAGAGATCCTAGTCGCCCTATGTAATGTTTATCTTGGACCCTCAAGTCCCTTATCATAATATATTTCTGTGTCTTCGTTGTGTATTTTAAGTTTATTTATTTTAAGAATTTACATTAAATTGCATTAGTCAATCTCATTTGTAGAAGCTCTTGGGCTTGAGACAAAATCACTTTTCGACAGGCGTAAAATTTTGTATGAAAATGGTGATTTTTCTCAAGCCCTTTATTTATAATACAAAAGACCACACCACTAGACATACGTAACAGCGAAGTTACTAATGCTACATGAATTAACACAGCACAAACGTTGCACAGTATAATTTATAATTAAATAAATATTCTTCTAGTATTATGGCACTCAGTGGCATCAGTAGTTTTGTGATGTTTAGGAATTTGGGAAATGTTGCTATAAATATTTTAAATGTGATTTTATATGCAATTTTCAAAAGTCGCATGTAAATAATAGGTACCTGTTAGAGGGTTCCTCAAATAATTTTCTGAATATCCATGTGAGCGCCACCGCCTTGCCTCTCTTTTTTTCCTAGCTCCCGCATCAGCACCGCCTAATTTTGGACCATTTTTAAAAAATGCTACCAAAAATGGCTGCTTGCCTTCGGAGTTAGGTCCGTGATTCTCTTCCAAACCTATTTCTTCCGGTTTAACATGGCGTTCTAGAATTTAAAAAAAATTAGTTATTTTTGTCCATATGCACGGATTAAAGTATAAAAAATCATATACTGTTAATAGATAAATACATTCCATAAATACGTAACCAAACGTAAATACCAAAACCTCATTAATGGACAAATAACACAAATAAAAATATTGGCAAAACCCAGCATGACGCATACGAGAAGATTGTCATAGACAAAAACTGGGAAACAGAAAGCTTTGTTATACCATAAAAATAGCGATCCTAAGCAAAAAATAATGTATAGATCTCCTTATCGACTTAACTTGACATAGCTGAACTTAATGTAAAAAATATTTACATTATTTCGTCGAAGACGTAGATTCATAATTGAATTCTATTTTTAATTCAACAAGTTCACACAATATAAACGTGCTTTGAATATTGCTTATTTATCTAATAATATTATATATTCCGACGAGTCTTGTAGTAAATTGAAAAAAAAAACGAATTTTAGGCTTAAAAAGAAGATTTTCATTCGTTTTACTTTAATTTAAAGAATTTGAATTTTGTAGTAAAAAAAAATATGACTTCCCTTAAAATTAAAATAAAACGTATAACAGATTAAAAAACAAAATTAGAAAAGTAAACATAACTTGCCTGGTTGTGTATGAGGGTGGAGAGTGATAAAGAAGCCACGATTGTCTGCTGGGGCTCCAAGCCACGAAGCTAAGGCAGCAGTTACGTTGAACTCCAGCCACCCTTCAGCGCTGGCGCTCGTGTTTACTGCTGCCACCTGCTCCATTTGCATACCTCTGGAAGGAAATGTAAACTTATGAACGTTTTTGTACTAGATATAGTTATGTTTACACAATACATACAGTTATACTTGTTATGTTAATGTACCATAACTTACATTAGGTACGAGAGGTATTCGAAATTAAGAATTTCATAATAAAGTTGTCAAAAATAAGAAAGCCTGGATTTGAATTTTCCATTCTTTAGAGTCCAGCATCCAAATGTAATTTTCTGATTTGATACACATTATGAGCAGTAAGGCCGCCCTGAGGCTTAAATCTAGTGTCACAAATCGATACTGTTACTAAATAGCTTTTGTTCGTTAATATTTACATAGTCTATATCAAATGGTTGTACATTACAAGCACACAAACTTTGTATACGTTCTCATTCAGAAAAATATAAACTTTAACTGTGATCAATTGCATACAAAAACGTAAAAAACTTTCTTAATGTTTTCCCATACTTACCCCACTATACAACCTATATTTCAGGACCTTACCCTAAGTTATCAACGCTCATCACCCGATGAACAACAACGGTGTAAAGATCAGCAGGCTCCACTGTATGTTTTGGTGCCTGATGGAGTCTCAACTCAGCAGTAAGTAATGAGGAAGCGTCACTAGGAGCGCCAGTAACTTCAAACCAAATATGCCTTCCGTGACCATGACGTAAGACGCCCAAGTGGTGTTCTGAAAAAATACGTTCAACATAAAATACTTCGATACAAATATAACTCAAGGGTACTAATAGAGGTTTTAAACTAATGCGTAGTAATATTATTATCCTAAGAGCCGTTTTCGATTGAGTATCACGGAACTAGCGTGGCGCCAGCGCAGGAAGAGATACACTTCTACGTTTAGCTTTAAAAAATACTATAATATATTTTACTAATGGATTTACTCGTTTATATGTAGAATTCAATAATATGGAAAACGAAATTACAATGGAATATTTAAAAAATATAGTTATTTATATATGTGTATTAAACAATCGTTCGTGAATAAATGTGCACATTAGTGGTAAAAGCTAAACAGTGCAAAAAAATAGTACATATAGTGTCTTTCTTCTCCTTAATAGAAACTGTAAGTAGTATTATTGGACACTTTCTCATGTTCAATATCCTTTTTAGTAAATTATGTTACTTTTAAATTACTTATTAGTTAGAATTTAGGCTAGATAGTAATGTTAAATCATAAATTATGTCCTTTTGCAGAGACAATTTATAAAAACTTATAAAATTCTCGTGTCACAATGTTAGTTACCATACTCCTTCGAAACGGCTAGACCGATTTTTATCAAATTTTATATGCATATTCAGTAGGTCTTAGAATCGGCTACTATCTATTTTTCATAGTTGAGTTTTTATTTTTTAAATAAAATTTTTTGTTTTTATTTTTTTATGATACAGAATACAAAAACACATACAACCCCTATTTTTTATTTGTTAATTAAAATCTTATGACTTATGAGGTTTATGTAGAGAAAAATTCACAGAAAACCCTAAAAAGTTTTCATTCTAGAAAACCGAACAAATGTTCCATAATATATTGGTATGTAGCTACTCAAAAGTGGGCTAAGTAAAAAAAACATATTAAGGCGAAACGAAGTTCGCTGGGGGAGCTAGTATATATATATTTATGTTAATATAGTATCTACTTGATGTGTGTCTTTATCAAAGTGAAAACTCTGCAGTGCTTGCAGCTTTAATATAATATTCTCAGATATGCTAAATTAAGTGTAAATATATTCTTAAATGCAAATTGATTATCTCATTAGGAGACACAGGTGGCACAACAAACTAGATGTAAGCTGACACTCGCTGCGTGTGCGTCTTTGAAAATAACCGGACATCACAATTATTGTGATGTCCGCTACCAGTATTAATCGATATAAAGATGAGAAGTATGTATTTGTTTCTTTGTCTCAACGAACTATTCATATGATGTAAAAATATCCTTTTTATAATTTGTAAACCACATTTTAATGTTTATATTATTTTTAATTTAGATACGGTAAATGTACAGTATATGATAAGGCAGTCGGCGCCAGTCAGATAAAAAGTTATTAATGAATCATCGCTACCTGAGAATGTTAAATTCCTTAAATGTTCCTCGTAAACAATGCCCAAAGCTGATTAACAGGTATGTATCCCAAATGCTTAGGTCGAAAAAATACAATACTTCAATATAATATTTTTGTTAAATAGGGATTTATCAGAATGGCTATCTAAAGGGAAGCGATGCTAAAAATAGGTACCGAAGTGTTTAATGTTTAGTGTTTACTGATAGCAATGCACCCACTGCAGTGTATATAATAATATTTTGTACCTATGTTATTGAGACTATGAATTTCGAAGAAATAACGTTAGTGAATATTTTGACTTCCTTAAGTAATATCAACAATTATTTCTAATGTTTATATTGTAAATGTCTGGTTTTATACTATAAAGGAAATGTTAATTGTTACTATTTTAAATGTTACTGTAATTAATCTTATTATTAATCTACAAATCCTATTCGTTACCCTAGTATTTAGGACTGGCTCGACTCAATTAATTTTGATTGCTAGTGCACTTACTTTTGCTTTGAAATGTCATAATAAGATCGCTCTCGTCGATTGCATTTTGCTCTTCGCCGCTAAGAGCCATTTCAGAGCTCCGGGTAGGCCGAGCTTGTTCGTGCTCCTCAGCTAACTGCTTATAGACGTCCAGCAAAAAGCTTGGCGCTGAGCGGTCCAAGGGTGGCGTTTGCGCACGCCTCGGTCTCTCGCCGAGTCCTAACAATTCTAATATTTCGTGTTCAACAACCTGTCTTTCATGACGCGTCATTGAGTGGTGGATAATAGTCTGGTCCACACCATTATCTATATATAAGCCGGAAAGCGCGGTACAAGATACCACAATAAACAATAACAAACCGGCGCAATGCCATATAGTTTTTGACACAGCCATTTTGCGGAGCACTGCCGCGTTCACTTTGACGACTAACGAGTACTGACTGGCAATTGTGAATTGACCGGCGCGCGACTCGCGAGAGCCAGTGAACCTGCCTAGTCAAGGTGGCTCGCCACAACCTCACCCCCCTCCCATCTCAATATCGTAATCACGTAAACATTCATCGCTCTTGGCTCAACATTCCGCAATCCTCAATGAATGCACGCTTGCTTCTTGTTAACAATTTTGATGAAACTGATGTTAAAGGTACACAGTACACGTCTTTTTTAATCTAAGCAAACTATGGATACCGATTGTTTATTACGATAGTATTTAGTTGCTTTATTTTAATAGTTAACCTAAAAAATCTAAAATTGTTTTAAATTTTATACTCAAAGGTACTGGCAACAAATAGGAAACGAAAAAAGCTTCGAAGGTAGTAAATATACGTTTATATCTCAACTAATATAATTAATTTATACAAAATTCAAAGCGATAAATATTCCCAATAAATCATATTTCTTAATTTTGGTGTTGCAATAGATTTTGGGTACTTTTGGTCAAAATTACGTAATAATAAATGGCCATTTCTCCTAACCCAGGTGGCCACTAAAGGGGGATATACACTGGTCGATTTTTGCCGTGCGGCTAGTCGCTTCACAAATCGCCTAATCAATACGCATCGTTTTCCTATTTACACAGGTGACTAAAATTGCATGCGGCTCGGTCATTTTCTTTCAAAATGTTGAGCAGAATGGCTGTTCGTGCCGGAATCGAAATAGTTAGTCAATCAATTATTCAAGATTTGCTGCAAGAATAAAAAAACTAAAAACAAATAGAATATATAAACTGAATTGTATTATTTTTATTCATGGTTAACGATTTGTACGTAGAACAACGTGCGCGGAAACCCTCATGCAGCGGGCGATCGCCTGCAACTGATCGTAATAATACACTGAGTCCCAGAAGACTGTATGACACAGAATACTGATTAGTAATATTTAATTCTTCTTCTAATTTGCAGTTTTTATCTCAATAAGAAAAATAATACAAGATTAATAAGTTTATTTAAATTAATTACAAATTATTTTACATATTTTTCCATGAACTTTTTATGAAATTCTGATCTCAGTGAATCATTTATAAAATTATTAACTTTTTTGTCAGGTTCTGAGCGAGCACAGTTTTTGAAAACAACATCATCATCCCAACGCCTTTTAACCTGCAAAAAAAGTTAATGAATTGTAAATAAAACAATATAAGAAATAATAAAGAAACATTATTTTCTCTTAATAATAAATTACCTTTAAATCATTTTTTTGTGCAGCTGCTGAGTAATTAAGCAGGGGATTGCCAGACAGTATATTTTCCATTCTTATCCTTTCTTCCTCTTGTTTCTTTTCAGCTTCCTAAAATTTAAATATTTTAAAAGACTGTAATATTTAAGGTTCATTATTTAACATTTTAATTATAAAGAAGTTTTATTAAAAGAAAAAAACTTTTTTACTGATTCTAGAAGCAATAAAACTTCAAAGAAGAGTGGCTCACTGCCAATTTTATTGATCGGTTTTAATAAATTGTTACCTTTTTAGCCTGCTCAATAGCACGCTCCTTTTTTATTTTATTTAATTCTGCTAATAATGCAGCAGTGTCGTCATCAGAGTCATCAGAGTCTGAAGAATCTCCCTCTAGTGGATCGTCGGCATCCAGACTGGCTGCAGGGACTTGATCTGCTTTTGTTTTTTTTGGTGCAGGCTCAGCATGTCTCCTGTTTGGTCCTTTTATTTCTTTTTCTCTTTCATCTAATTCCTTACGAAAATCACGCGACCTTAATTCCTCTGTAGTGCTTTGACCTTGCTCTCTAAAATATGCAATATAGAATAAAAGATAAGATTTATGTTAGATTCTGATATTTCAGAAAATGAATGGGAAAAAGCCTAATGGTTAATACTTACATTCTAACATATAAATACTTACAAGAAAAGAATACATAGCAAACATTTTTAAAATCATAATAATTTGCAATAAACATTTATTGTTATAGTTGTAGCATGTTATATATTTGTTAACATACACAAAACAAACATAACCAGTTTTATATTAAATATTGATGTATTAAGTTTGAACAAATTAAAAGATAAAGGTTTAAAAAAAATAGGAACTACCCTAATAATCAAACAAGTTATGAAACTGAAAGAATTTGAATTAATACAGTGTGCTCACTGCACACTGTATTAATTAGGGTAGATTATAACAGATAATAAATACATATATGAAACTGAGACTATTGAGGGATGAACTTTCTCATATACCAGCAACTAAGTAGATTTTCTATACAAACCTGTACTTAAGTTTTGTATGCCCAGGTAAGTCTCGGCTGGAATACTGTCGCGAAATAGCACTTAAATCTTTTTCACCTCGACCCTGACCGCCTCGGGCAGGATCAAATGTAGGCCTTGCAGCAGTAGTCATTTTTGTAAATTATTAGCGAGTAGAATTTATATAGAACAATTCAATTAATAATTGATTTGCCTTTTTTATATTTTACCCTTGTATTTTAGAACATAGAATGGATTACTGGCTACTCACAATAAAAAACTAACAATCTATAAAGACATTACAAATAACACAATACACAGTAATGAATGATTGAATGTTTTTTTTTTTTTTTCCTTTATGGCTCTGGCACGGTTTGTGCATTAGGTATAAGATTTTTGTAAGTCGCTGTTTTAATTATTTACAGTTTATGAATAATAAAAAACGAAGGAAACTAATCTCGACATAACATAGATGATTGAAAACGCATTAAATTTACAACAAAATAAGGGGAAAAATAAATCAAAATTATAGTTTAATGTTATTATTTACAATAAATATACTTATAATACTATATACAAGGGATTGAATGTTTTATGTTATTAATTCACAATAGCGTGTAAAAAGGAAATATACAGACTACAGAAGTACAGATACTAGCACAGACATTCTAAATGTAGAGACAAAATTGTACAATAACCACCAACGAACCGCCGCCGAATATATACTGCTCAAAACAATTAGCGGAACAAGATTTTTCTCCTTTCTATTGCTTAAACAAAAATTAGATTTAAATTAACTTGTACGCTATTTTTTACCTTGTTAATTTGTTAATTACTACAATTAATAAAAAAATTCAATTTGTATTTTTTTTACTAAAAAAAAATTAAAATGTGCATTGTAGACGAAAAACAAAGTGACGTCTTTGAATTTTCATTACTTTCTAATCACAGAAAACACATTTTAAGTAGTTTTTTTCAATCTTTTGAGTATTAATAGAAATTGAAGTGAGCCTTTTGAGTATTGTTATTCATTGAAGCGAGTGAGTTTAGGTCATAATGCCAGATCTGACTGAATTGCATGTCTCCCGAGCTATCGCTTTGCTTGAAGAGGGTCGAACTATGCGTTATGTAGGAAATGATCTAGGAGTAGCCCCTTCTGTTATCTACAGACTTTGGAAGCGATACCGTGAGACGGGAGAATACTCACGAAGGCGTGGTCAAGGTCGAAAGAGAAAAACTACACGTTTGCAAGATCGCTACATCGTCAACTGTGCTTTACGTAACCGCACCACAACTGCAAGCAATAGAAAGGAGAAAAATCTTGTTCCGCTAATTGTTTTGAGCAGTATACTTAGTGTAGTTTTCCGACTAATCAAATAAGTTAATACAACAATTATTAAATACTCCGCTTACTCGTTAAGGTCAAAATAACTATTTTGCTAATAATCTAATTTTAATCTAGTTCAAATAAAATCGAAGGGGTAGATTTATTTTTATTAGAGTCCATTTGGATTATTGAGGTTATAATGATTATGTTAAGGTTTTGTTTCAAAAATACCAGTTTATAATTGCATATATAAATCATCATCATCATCCAATGGCTGTACAACCACGCCTTATGGGCCGTAGCCTCGGAAAGTATATCTCGCAATCGCAATCTATCTCGTGCTTCTGGCGTCCAACTTTGAACACGAGGTTTGTTTCGAGGTCCTTGAGAACCCCACCAATGCAGTCTCGATCTATCGGGTTTTCTCTTGCCACTAGGTGGTGAGTTCAGTTAACCTGGGGCCCTGTCGTCTACCACATTCACCATATTAGGTGCACAGGTTTCAACCACTTGAGTCTGTCCCATTTTATGAAATGCTGCATTAATTTCGTGAACTGTTTTATTTTTATCGATAAAAATATCGAGAAAGGACGAAAATAAGCCTTAGTTTATTATGGTATCGCTGTTTCCATACTTACTATTTTTCTAGTCTAGTTCTATTATCAAGTACGTAGCAAGTTAGCACCACATACAGCAGACAGCCGCTTTGTGACTGAAAGACTGGTATCCCATGGTCATGTTATAAATTAAAAAAAAAAACAGCTGCTTCCGCAATTTTGTAATTTGTAATTCTCATTGCGGTGGTGTTTACCCCCTAAATTTAGGGGGGAAAAGATGTCCATGGGTTTTTTAGGAGGTACATTTATTTAGGTGGGTTAAAACACATTAAAGGGTGGAAATTTTTGGGGATAAACTATATGATTCTATAAAATTTATATTAAGCCTCGAACCCAACTAACATACTAAACCAAGTACAAGCTTCAAGCTTGGCAAAACCGAAAATATCAAAAAGCTATAATACTACAAGACTAATAGCTCCACTTTTAAAAAAGTACAAAATGCTCTCAAAAATATGAATGAAAATAAAATGAGGAAAAAGCAAAAATATATTAATAAAGTCAAGACAAATTAAGAAATCATCGTATATGGAAATCGTTTAATTTTATTATTTAAATACATATGTAAACTGCACGCACCTTATTACAACAGCTAGTTTATATTACTTGATTGTATTTTTAAATCATATATTTTGAAATTACCTCTCAAACCAAGTGTACAACTAAAATTTTAGGGACTATAATCGATTTTTAGGGGTATTTGAAGAAAGTCCTGGGGCCTGGGGGAAACATTAGGTTAGAGATGGTATCACTGGCTCATTACCCATCCGCCATATTAATGGTTCATTTCTATTTTCTTGCACTTTCAAGCATACTTGGAAGTTTATATCATACTCGTTATTTTTTCACGAAATCGATGTTCGTAAGTTTGCGAAGTTTAATTCAATAAATAAGGCAGTGTTCTTGAAAAAATTCAGTTCTCCGCATCCAGGTAAATTTTACTTATTATAACCAACCTACGCTAACACTAATGGACACAGCACTCAGCAGTATCAAACGCCATTTTGAGATAATAAGAGTGCCTTAAAATTGCCTAAACTGCCTTTATTTTATGTTCAATAATTTCGTAATATTTTTAATATTAACATCAATTATTAAGTTAAGATTAATTTGCCGGTATTTTATTACAAAATGAGTGTTTCCAAGCAGTTTTATCATGACATTTTTTTAATTACATTCTGATCGTGTTGTTTTAATCTTCATAATTTGTATATCTTTAAGTTTATAATGGCTACTTTCTGGCTACAAAATACTATACAGTCCAAAAATTTTGTTTCGTATACTAAATCATTTCTCTGGACTTACATACACGAACCAAGTGTCTTAGAGAGTTAAGAAAGATGTTTATTAAAGACGAGTATTGTTTTAGAAATATAGAGCTTGAAAGTTAAATACCTTCTATTCTACTTTTAAGGGTGTAACTATTTGTTCTATGCACTTCAAACAATCATTTATTTACAGGATGGCGGAAGATTTTGATGTAGAAGCTATGCTTGAGGCCCCATATATTAAATCGGTAAGCTCTCCCTATAATTTAATATAACTGTTAATACATTCCAGAGTAGATATTTTATATTAGATATTTGTCACAAAATTGTGTAATTTACATTAAATTTACAAATTATTTTGAATATCTTTGTCATTTATTGCCGTTTGGAAAAATTTAGGATTGATTAAAATTGTGTTTTATCATAATCTTTATTTATATAAATATTTAAGCAGATTCAAAAGCACAATTTTAAAGAGTATAATCAATAATGAAAGCCAAACTACATTTGAGAATCATTTCTTGTATTTATAGAACTTTGTGGTATTTGTCGAGCATACTTCACCGACGTGAACACTATGAGGTATCCACTACTACTTAATATTTTTATTCATAACACTACCACTATGGTATCAAATTTTTTATAAGATTTATTTAGAAAAGTTTTGAACAAGACCATAAGTTTATGGGTCATCAATCTTTTGCAGAAGTATTCCTGTGTGATGTTAGCGCTGTGTGCAACCTTAGTCAGTGGTTTTGTAAACGGTAAGTTTAGATTCGGCAACAGCTCAACCACCCACGGGCACACAGTCCTCAAATAGTCCTGTGTAGTTTAAGACTTTCCAAACCTGAGTGTATTTCTTTGATATGAAATATATCAAAGGAATGTCACTATTTTGTAGCACAATCAATTCAATTTAACTAATGCATTTTATTTATTCACTCGGCGTGTGTTGCTGTGGCGCTGCTTCTACCTTGTGCTTTGTGTGACAGGATAATTCGTCTACGAAGCATCGATCGGAGAAGTATTCTGATAAGCACAGGGACAGAGAAAAGGATGGTGGAAGAAGGTATGTGTTGTCTCACAAAGACAAGTAAATTTTTCGAGTGTGATTAAGAAGAATTTGAATGATCAAAGTAGTCAAGACATAAACGAAAAATGTATACTCTGAATTCTACATTTGGAATACAAAAATAAACATTTACGCTGCCATTACATACCAGTGATATTTGCTTCTTACTTGGTCTTTAGTTTGGGCAGTGTAGCTCAATGCTCTCCATATTTAATTGCCAAACAATAATATTTTTATAAAATGGAAAATAATGTTCTATAAAATAAATGTGTTTGTCCTACACAAGATTACCTAATATCTCTTTAATATATTTTTGTCTTTAATTGAAAAGTTTCTTGTATTAAATGTGAATTTCTGTTTTATTGACTGTAGACGCAGTAGGTCAAGGGATAGAAGAAGATCTCGTGACAGGGAAATTCGTCGGTCAAGAGACAAAGATGACAAGAGGGACAGAGACGACAAGAAAGACAGAGACGACAAGAGGGACAGAGACCGTGACAAGGACAGGGGGGAGCGTAGAGACCGCGATAAAGACCGAAGTTACAAAGACAAAGAGCGAGAACGTGATAGGGAAGGGAGAGAAAGGGATCGCGACAAGGATAAGGAAAAGAGGCGAAGTAAGGAAAGACAGAGAAGTCGGGAAAGGGAGAGTAGCCGGAGTCATTCACATAAAAGTGAAAAGAGTAAAGAAGAAGAGCCTAGTAAAGAAGAATACCGATCAAAATCAAGAGGTATTGAACCAAAACTAGATGACCTACCTCCAGAAGAAAGAGATCTACGTACAGTATTCTGCATGCAGTTATCTCAAAGAATTAGAGCTAAAGACTTAGAAGAATTTTTTTCATCTGTAGGAAAAGTAAGGGATGTGAGACTCATCACTTGTAACAAGACAAGACGATTTAAAGGAATTGCATACATAGAGTTTAAAGATGCTGAATCTGTACCATTAGTAAGTATCAATAGTATATTAGAAAACAGTGAATTTGGTTGATTGTTTTAGTAAGGTTTTTTTAACACATTCCAGTGAGCTGACTTTTTCATATTTTTTTGTAGATAAATTTTAATATACTTGGTTAATTTTAGGCTCTAGGATTAACTGGCCAAAAACTACTAGGTGTTCCTATTATTGTACAACACACACAAGCGGAAAAGAACAGAGTGGGTAACTCTTTACCAAACTTAGCACCAAAGGCAAGCAATGGCCCTACAAGATTATATGTAGGCTCTTTACACTTTAATATAACAGAAGATATGTTAAGAGGAATTTTTGAACCATTTGGAAAGATTGACCATATTCAACTTATGACTGATCCAGATACAGGGAAGAGCAAAGGATATGGTTTTCTGACAGTATGTATTTTTTATTTTTTCAAAGTTGGTATTGCGACACATTTCTGTCTTGTTTCATAAAATTTCGTTTTTAGGACAAAGTGAATAATACCGCGCACATCACAGTAAGTAGCTCCAGGTGTATGCCATGCAGCGTTGCCAACTCTACGTCTTTTTACGTAGATCTACGTAATTTAGGCTTTTCCTGAAAACCTACGAACTTCAGTCACATAATCTACGTATTTTTAATCAAATTGTAAAATATATTACTTTCGAAAAAAAATGTTAAAAACAATCCGACCGGGTTTGAAAAACATCTGCAAATTTAATTTACCAGAAGATAAGAATGAAGAAAAAAAAAACACTCGTTTTATTCAGTTTTACCTACCTCTAGCCTACCCTCATCATTTCACTCATCAAAAAGTACGTAGATGTACTAACTTTTCCTATGCAATTTTTACTAAATCTACGTAATTTTCTAATCTGGGCTAAGTAATTTTCAAAATCTGAGTTGGCAACACTGGTGCCATGTGCTTTTTTTACGTTATTTAACTAAATTTTTGTATTTATACCTGTTATCCTGCCTTAAATCCATTTTACTGTTTTGTATAGGAGTTCTATGCCTTGCTTGAGCTCTAGAAAAATATTAAATCATAGATAGTGTTTTTTGGGAATTCTATCCAACTTCATATCCTTATTTATCAAACAAACACATCATCACACTATGATACGTATATTTCAGTTCCACAATGCAACAGATGCCAAAAAAGCAATGGAGCAGTTAAATGGGTTCGAACTGGCTGGTCGACCAATGAAGGTTGGAAATGTAACTGAAAGGGCTGATGGTGGCTCTAACACTCGCTTTGATGCTGATGAACTGGATCGTGCTGGAGTTGATCTTGGTGCTACAGGACGGTTACAGCTCATGTTTAAATTGGCTGAAGGCACAGGCCTACAGGTAATAAACCCCCATATATAGGTAGACATACATACATGTATGTCAATTACTTCTTACAAATCAGCAGAAGCTGTTTATTATTATTATTATTATTATAGCTTTATTTATTCCAAACACATTAAGGTACAAAAAAGAAGTAAGAATATTTTATATGTTAGTAATATGTAGTAATCTTAGTATGTGTAACATTAGTATATTCAAGCCTCTCTGAGAAGCTGTTAATGTTATGTAAAACTTTTATTTCTAGATCCCTCCTGCAGCAGCATCAGTGCTGATGGGTGCAGGCACTGCCTTAGCCGCACAACCACAGATTACACCACCCATAGCCACGCAATGCTTCATGCTGAATAACATGTTTGATCCATCCACGTAAGTTTTTATAACTATAATTTTCGGCCTTAATTACATAAAATTGTTTCATAAAAGTAGTCTGATTCCCAAAATTTCCTACATTTGTCGCCTAATTTGAGGTATGTCAGTCTCTCACATTGCTTTGATCTAGTGCCTCTAATAAAATTTGGTCAAAATATCGTGTTAGTCACAGTAGTTAGAATAGTAGTTTATGCAACTGTCATATTATAGTAGAGGGTATTAAAACATGTGTAGTTTTTTGAAACGAGCCGCAGGCGACTTTCAAAATAAGATTACACGTGTTTTACTACCTAATTATATGCAGTTGCATACACTACTTTATTTAATCTCATGGCTATAGGTTTCCAAGTCATAAAGTCTTGGGAACATTTGTCGTACGCTTTTATTGATTATTCTGGCAAAAGACTATTCGCCGAGTTAAATTGTCATCGGTATGGTCGGTGTTGCATTACATTTTTGCTACTTATGTTTTATCCAACAAAATATTATTTAAATTCGTATGTACGAAATAGCGCCAATGGAAAAAGGTTATTGGTCTATTGGCTCGGAACCAGCGCGCTCACCACAGATTGTGTACTTAAATTAAATGGAAACCTCCTTGGTTGGGACACATTATACTTTAATTTTATTTTATTAAAGAAGTATGTATATAAAATATGCCAATAAAAGTCTGTATTTCATTTCATAATTAGAATGTTACCGAATGAGATTATATAAATAATGTTAAATGACAGTCTGAATGAGTGCTTGTTATTATGATACCTGGTCTCTTACTTCTTTGAAATTGTAACTTTGAATATATTGAATACAAAACCAAATTTTTTTACAGGGAAACAAACCCCAGTTGGGACATTGAGATCCGAGATGACGTCATCAGCGAATGCAATAAGCATGGTGGTGTCCTACACGTATACGTGGATAAAGCCTCACCCCAAGGCAACGTGTATTGCAAATGTCCTACGATAGCAACCGCTGTGGCGTCCGTCAACACGCTACACGGAAGATGGTTCGCCGGTCGCGTCATTACCGCGGCGTACGTCCCGCTTGTCAATTACCATTCTCTGTTTCCGGACGCCATGACCGCTCTATCACTGTTGTTGCCCACGCGGCAAAGATAAGAATTTGTTTGGAAATGTGATCCATTGTTTAATTCTAATTTAATAAAATATATACTTAGTATTTTATTAAGAAGTTTTATTTGTATGAGGAAAGATTTGATTTTTTTATTTGCAACAGATACTCTAATGCTCAATATTATTTCACCAATATAAAGCTACTGTATCAGCAACGTATGCAAAATTTATTTCGTATTAAGAGCTAATCTGAGTTTGGCGTTGTCAGATTAATCTCGGAAACTACGAGTACAAATTCGAAAAAAATAATACTGCTCTTTCTATTCTGTGTTATAAGATCATGCTACGACGATATTAACGTGGATGGAGTATGTATGATTGGTCCGGTAGACAAAAAAATAAAATACCTCGTCCCTTATTCTGTAACTTTCAATAGCGCTCCCGATCTCAATTATGAGGTTTTGTGCCTTTCGTTCCCGAGGTTGCGAAGTGCTACAGATATTGAGAGAACTACAACTTGCACACAAACGGCATCGCTTTTAAAATTACGCTCAACGCTATAGAAGCCAAGTGTGAACCTTAAATTAGTACGTACCTCACTTGGTACGTGAAGTTTTTGTTTCAATATGTAAAACTTTACCTCCCCTGTTTTATGATAAAATAAGTAAGGCTGTGGTTTTTTACCATTAAAAATTTATTTACGTAGTACTTATCAAATTATGAACATATCGATGACTGTGCAGGTGAGTTATTGATTGTATGTCAACATTATTTTGTAAATAATAAAAGTAATTCAAGCCGACTTCAAATACCTGTGAACATCACTGACTAGGTTCATGTACCCTCGAGAAATTCGTAGATATTTCGAAACACTACTGAACCGATTTTGATGAAACTTGACTGTTCTCCGAGAATATCTAATATATATAATATATATGTACATGATTCAAATAAAAAGTATAATTTTGATATGACTTATGAAAACTGTGGGCAAAAACGTACGTTACACATGAGAAACGAAATTTTGTACACATGAATTCTAAATAGATTAAAATTATTTACAGTATCACATACATAGGGCAAATTAATAACCACCTTCTTTGCAGTCGGTTGAAAATAAAACAAACTTAATTGCATGTAAAAGGTTTATTAAACAGCTCTTATCCAGTCTACTTCTAAAGTAGCTGGTCCTTTCTGCTTCACTGGTTGGTAAACGCCTCCATACATTTGAATTCCGATACTCGTTATTTGTGATAAGTCCAGGGTCTCATTATTATTTACTCTCTTTCCTCTGTAATATGCTTTAAATTCTGAAAATGGTAAGCTTTTCACAGCAAACTCGTCCTTGGGTGCCTAAAAATGAATTTGTATATTCTAAACCAACAATAAAAAGATAAGCAACTAACTTCAACGTTGCTCTTTTTTAAAAGTTTATACTTCCATAGATAGTAAAGACTGACCTGAAAATATTGTTCAAATGAGTAGTTAGGTTCATTGTTTAATCCTTTGTGTCTCAAAACAATTTTAAATCCATTAAACTGTCCCTGACCACGGCATTGTACTTGAAGTTTCGTATACTGCGTGAGGTCGTGATATCCGAGGGCACGAATGCCAGCGAACCCTGCCCCGTTCAATTGTGGATTCAGTAGAGCAAAAAAAATTGCTCTTCGAAACTGGGTATTCTGGTGTAAGACAAAAACGGCTTTTGACATTCCTACACTTCGTACTGTGTCCGATTGTTCTTGCCAGTCGTATACGTTGTCATCTTTAGTAAAATCGAAGAGGTACTGTCCTTCTGGTGATGTTATATTGCTGTTGAAAAAAAATATTATTGACGAGATTCATTGCGTAGGTCCTAAGTTCGACGAATTAAATTTAGTAAGCATCTTAAATTACCTAATGATTATCATCACCTAATTGGTTTTGTTAAGTTTATAATATTTCCTTTGCGTTTAGGTAAACTGTTTATAGGATTGGCATCCTTTGTTAAATTGCAAAATCAATGTTAAAACAAGTTTATTAATGAGAATAATTCAACTCGGATTTTATCTGCTCTGACGCAAGTATATTATTACAAATCTTTTAGGTAAAATAGATGACCCCTCATATCTAACAAAAATAAGCATTACGAGTTACAGAGGGAGGTATAGTCTTGAAAAAATTTTAAATTCAACACATACTATTGTTACCTATCTATCACATATATCTATCATATTAGACTAGACAAAACTAAATTAGGTTAAGTTTGTAATATGAACTAATAGTACATATAATCTCAAAAGTAAGGTCATACAGCATACACCCGGGTGTTTTATAAGATCTGATGCTAAAATACAGAAGAAGGTGTTAACGTGATAGTAGTTAAATCTTACCTGTTATCACAGCGAATACCTATACTACTCATGAAAAATGCTATTAGTAATTTAGAATACATTTTTAGATAAGTAATGGACAGTACAAGCACACTTTGTGGCTATTATTTAATTACTATCACGAATATTGTAATGAAGAGCGAAAGTATCTTATCAAAACTAAACGAATAAATGGAGATGTTTACTCGAGAAACATTTGGTTAGGTATTTGACATTTGTTATCTTAAGTTCTACACTTAATGACGTCTGATTTTTAATACAAAAAAATAATAAAACCCTAACACTCGCCGTGTCACAACGTCCGATCCAACGCGTTACAAGTTACTTGTACATGATATGTATGAATGTAGGTATTATAAGAACATAATATCGACCTCGAACCTGGAAACAAAGAAACGTAGTGCGTGTGTAAACTGTTTTGTTGAGTTGGAGAACAATCTTAAAAATACCTACCATATTACATATATATTATATCAATTATTGCACTAGTAGCCCTCAGCTGCGTCTTACGCCAGCATAAAAATATGCATCAAGTGTAATATAAATACACAGTACCTATAATATTATCTTACCAGCTGTTTATAGCGCAAGCTAATTGTTGTCCTTGATCGTTGATATTTGTAGCCATATTACCTCCAGGGAAATCTACAACAATTAAATAATCTCAAAATGGTACATACTAGCGATACTTTCTAGTTAAATCTTCTTGTTAACTAAAAAAGGGGGTCTTTAATCCTTATATAAGTTATGTACAGTTAGCAGGGGCAGGTTGTTAGTAGGGATTAGGGTAGTATTTTGTTAGATGTGAAAAGGACAAATTGATAAATGTGTGCTTACGATTAGAGATGATTTTCAATTTCTATTTTTGTAGCATCCCTTAACACTTTAAATCGTTTTTGTGAGAACATGTTTATCCGTCTACCTAATAAATGATAGTGCGTGATAACGCCATTTAATTTCACTATCGAATTCATATAAGACTGTTATGATTTTTCTTCTGAAATATTACGGAATGTCTTGTGACTATTATATTTACTTTGAGTTTATTGTTAACTAACTAGAAACACGAAAACAAATGAACGCATTATCATCATTATCAGCGATTCTAAAAAACTGTGATGAGCAAAACTAACAAGCCTAACGTCAAAGAATACAAAGAGATATCTCAGATTGACTTTGCTGAACATCATCGTAATTCGTTAGTTTCAAGAGTCTCATATGAATTTAAAGCAGCGACTTGTTTGACAAGGCCAGCAACAAGTTTCCTTTAAAAAAAGTTACATGCTTGTCTCTAGAGTCTAGACGTTTCACTTCTTATGTACGCGATCGTTGACCGCTAACTGTACTTTTTTAGGAATTCTATGCCAATGCCAAACTAGTTTTAACGGTTCCTAATGATAACACGGACCTTATTTTCTGTTAAGTATTGATTTTATAATTTAATCTGCTAATCTTCAAAGAGTAAAACTATTTCACTATCGATTACTTTTTGTAGATAATATCCAATTAGTCTCCTAGTTGAAGACTATTTATCTTACATGAATTGAATGTAAGCTTTTACGGTTAAAAATAATTGTGGTATCTTGCTTTGTTAGACCCCTAGTAACCGAGTGCGTAACACAGCTAGCGCTCTCAAGCGGTTGTCCTAATGGGTGTAAAATTGAAAACCTCTTCTCTAATATTATTTTGTCCAAATACCTATAACTTTTTAAGTTTGATTTTTTCATCAATGCGGTATTTTTTTAATTTAAGTATGGGTTCTTATTTTGTACATATTATATAAAAAAAGGATATTCGTTTTCTCATGTCTAGCCTTTTAAAATTTAAAAAAACTATGTTACTTGTGCTGAAATTAAATATGCAATTGTTTGGAAAAAATGTTTTGGAGAACATATTGTAAAAATATAGAAAAATAGATGGATCGCTTACAAAAAAAACCAATAATAATTATTATGAAAATATTTATTAGCATGTAAATGTAATATAAATTTCAAAATAACAATATCATGATTTCTAATAACATGAAAATGTTACATGTAACTTTAAAACAATTACATATCTTAACTTATTAGTTACCACCACCTTTGTTTACTTTTGTTGCCTTTAAAATACCCTTATTTCTTAAGTATTGTACAATAAAAGGTGTTGATGTCAATGTGATGCCTATTCTGGCAGGTGCTAAAACTTTGTGAATAGCATAAGCAATGACAAAGGTCCCTGCATTGGATGTAATCATATTTGATAGTTTTCCCTCTCCAATATTAAAATATTTCATCACAGCCACTAAGTCCACACCACTGAAATAAACAAGATAAAATGAGATTTTTTTTTATTTATTTGCGTAAAAATTGCAAAATATAGTTCATCTAAGAGGCAGGGGAAGATTCAGAGTTGAGATTTAGTGCTTAGTAGTAGCTCATATGTCTAATAGAATATATTAAGAGACTCAAAATAAAATGAAAACTGTATATTACACCAAAATTTTTGACCTCTCAATTACAATTGAAATTAAATGTTTCATTAACATTGAATTAATAAAAATCTTATTGCCTTCTACAATATGATTTAATGAATATAGTCAAATAGTAGTGATAGTTATAACTACCTCTATTGTTAAATTAGGAGTAAAAACTTATACTACTACTTGTATTAAAAGTGTGGGTTCACATAGGTTTTATTTCCAAAGAGATCATATTGGTTGTCAATAGCCTTTTTACAGAGAAAATCTATGATTATATCTGGTATTTTAGACATATAACAGAGCTTTGTTGTGTTTACACTTTTATATTTTACTTTAACTGATAGCTTTGAAATCAAAAACTGTCAAATCTTTCATCACTTATATTACAGTGTAAAAGAACTTTAAAATTAAAATAATATATACCTGGAAACCAGCACATAACAAATTCCCAAAGACATAAGTGAGATTGACACATGAAATACAATTACGGTAGCACCATAATCCTTAACAGCTTTTTTTAACTTATCCTTAGCACTTAATGTATCACTCGCATTTGCACTCATTTTTCTTGTTCCAATTCCTATGCTTTGTAAAAATAAGGTACAATTATTAAGGGCACTTAATGTCAGTCAACAAATGATTATATGCCATAAAAAAGTACTAAAACATAATGTGTGAATGTTAGTAACTTTTTAAAATTATGTACCTCCAATAATGCCCCGATATTCATTTCTGAGAGTGAGATAATGAGCACTTTGAAGGTTATCAGATAAATACTTATATCCTTGGCCCCACTGGGAACCTGGCATACCCAAGTGAGTGTGGTTGCCACTAAATGGACTTGGCACATTACTTTGCATTGATGAAGACAAATTCACGGCTCCACGGCAATCATATTTGTTTACATAAGGATCTGATTGCACAGTGATATCAATTTTCATGTTAAGCTTATCACTGAAAGCATTAATAACAGGACCTGAGATATCACGCTCCCGAAGGGGGGGAAAACCTTCCCATTTCTGTTGCATTAATATTGACAACATTGGTAGGCAACTTTAGAGCAGCAACTTGGGGAAACTTTAGCGATATTGTATTGTGAATAGTTTTTCCAAGTGTGCAGCTACCACCTATTAAAAAATTTAAAACCACATTAACACTGCTAAATTGACATTACAATAAATGTACGTAAGTACGCAAGCAAAAATTACTAAACAACAAACACTATCAAATTAATAAAATGGGCTTACCAAAATATGTATTGGGTAGATGTTTTTGAGGATAAAAATTTTGATTTATCCTGGAGTACACCTTTAACATTTTAAAGCTTGTATATTTTTTAATTGTTTAATCCAAAACGACCTTGAATTAAAAGTCAAAACAATGAACCGACAACCGTACTATTAAAAACTACGATATAAACTGCAGTCAGCGGTACTTAATAAGAAGTATCAACATACAGAAAAACGTAAATAAGAGGTAAAATTGTTTATGGAAATTTAGTATAATTCAGCACTGCGACATATAAAGAGTAACAATAAAAAAATGAATTCCAAAATATGTACTTACTCTTAATTAATATTGCGGATTCTTTGATAAATTTTCTTATAATTTGTAATTATCGAAACATGAAATAGTCTTTATCTCCAAATGCAATCACAAATCACAGAGTAATAGACCAGTGGGAGTGACCACAGACTGCAAACCACATTTTTTTTGGAGGCCCTTATATGGAGGTAAAGATTTTTCACAAAAGAAAAAAAATATTGTGAGAAGTAATATTTATTTATCACATAATTTACCCATTTTACAAATAAAAATCGAATTTTAAATATTCACTCTCCTTGCCTTTTTATCGGCAAACTGATTTATTAAATCATTTATGGCTGATGATGATTTTAGTTTTTCTAAAGTTTCTGCCTCTATGGACAATAGTGAGATGTCTGACAGCCGTTCTTGTCCCATCGAAGTTCTTAAGTAATTTTTTATTAGTTTTAATTTTGAAAAACTTCTTTCTGCCGTTGCCATTGTAACTGGAAGGGTCAAGAATAAAAAGCATGCTGTGATTACCTCGGGAAAACTGGATGCAAGACTATTGAATTTGACTAGCAATAATTCAATGAGTTCTTTAATGGAATAATTTTTTTAATTTCAGAATTTAAGCATGTTTTTAGAGCCTTTAATTGGTCACAAAGATTAAGTGAGATGTCTTTACTGTATTTAGCAGACAGTTTTCCGGAAGCGTTTAATATCTCTTGAAGAAGATAGGAGTTTCTCCGGTTGTAATATTTCGAATATACTACTCAGGTTGCAAAGGCTCTGAAATCTTTCTTTAGTTTGAGAAATTAATATATCTAAACAGCAATAGTATACATTGACTTTGAAATAGGATTCCGGGTCGGAAATTCTCTCATCTTGTGATAACTCATCAAAAAAACGCTTCGTTATCTTTCGCCTACTGTTTTTAAAAACAGCTGTTACCCCCCACTTTTTTGCTAAATCTTTGGATTCATTTAGCAAACTATTAAATGAATTCTGATTTCTTAATTGGCACAGTCTATTTAAAAGATTACTTAATAAAATACTAGATTTCTGTAAGTCATTATTTTCATGCTGTAGAGCTTTAGAAACAGGATTAATAATTTCAAATAGTGAAGAAAAAATGTAACGAGCACTAAGAAATCAAAACTCTCTAAAATATTAATTATACTTTTACATTCTTCACGTTCATCTTTTTTATTTGAAATTAAATTTAGTTGGTACAAAGTTTTCATGATTAGTAAAAAAAATTTCTTTACTGCTAATAAAGCGTCGTTCCTAGAAGACCATCTGGTAGGACATACCTTTTTAAGGGTAATCAAATATTTTTCAGATGAATCGTCACTTAGCATAGCCCAGCGTTTTATACTATTGCCAAAAAAAGTATATATTTTTTCTAAATTATCGAAAAAAGTCGATACTTCACGAACATGTCTCGCAGCATCGTTCAAAACCAAGTTTGAAGCGTGCGCAGCACAATGAACATAACGCATTTGGAGCATGCTCTTTTATTAGGGTTTGTAATCCTCCATACACACCCGACATAACATTTGATCCATCGTATCCCTGTCCTCTACATTTAGTCAAATCAATTCCATATTCTTTAGTCAAATTTAAAATGACAGTTTTCAGACCTGCAGCACTGCAATCGGTTACTGCTATGAATCCTAAAAAGGACTCACAGATTTTTATTTCTTTAGGCACATTATCATCATTTTCTGTAACCGAGATATATCGAAAAACAACAGGTAGTTGGTCAATTTTTGACAAGTCTTGTATTGTATCCAGAATTATTGTCAGAAATGGAGCTTTTTTAATTTCTGAGATAATACTGTTCCTAACGTTAGTACCAAGCAAACTAATAATTTCGTTTTGAATCGTAGGGCTTAAATAATTTATTTCACCTTTCGGTTTTAGAAAAAGTTCTTTTAAAGTTGCATCATAGTTAGATAGCAGACGTGAAATTGCCATAAAATTGCCAGAATCAGAATCATGCCCCCTCAAAGGTAGATTACAAGATACTAAAGTAATTATAACATTAATTATACGATGCAGTACATCTCTCCAGAATGTAATTTTACTATCGATTTCACTTTTCAATAGAGTATCGATGGTATTTCCTTGCAACCAATTATTATAAGAGAGTGAGGCACTAATATGCTGCTGTGACTTTTCATGGTCAAGAATAGTTTGTGTGAAATTGCTTCTAACCGAAACACCGTTAACCCAAGCAGGGGAGTACGATTTGTTTTGACGATCTGCTAATAACCAACAGAAGTGACAGTACGGTTTGTTTAAAACGTTAGAATAACATAACCATGGTCTTATAATTTTTATGCCTGCCTGATTGAAATATGAATAATAATAAGCTGAAAAAGGTCGGTTATTTTCTGAAACTTTTGGAAATGGTCCTTGTGGTTTAAATGGACCCAATTTAAAAATTATTTTTTGTTCGCATTCAGTTAAATTGTCACCAAAATTTCCTCTATCTGATGAAATTATATTACAATCTGCATTATCTGCAGATATATCAGAATCGTTGACTTGGGGTTCCTCGATTTCTGGATGGACATCCGATAAAGTATGTGCTTGGCTTTCTTCTATTTCCGGATGGATATGTGACGAAGAACATGCTTCAGAAGAATCTAAAAATATACGAGTAATTGTTAAAAAATAAATACGAATGCTTTGATACTAAACTAAAAAGAGTTATATATAAATAAATAACGTTACTAAGGGTCACAGTTAGAGAGTGTTCAGTTCAGACGCACACAGATTCTACGCGGATTGTGCTCGTACCTATTAGTAGATACAAAATCACCTGCAGCCCGTCCGTGCATTACTATACACCTGCGTGCTATTTAAACGCAGCGCGTAGTGTAGTGGCCATACAAAACGAGAACCCGAAAGCGAGTCTGCACATCTGAAGTTCTCAACACGCAATTAACGATACGATACGGACTGATAAACAAACAACAAAACAAATCGATCCTATAGATAAGTTAGAATTTTGTTTTTTTAATCAAGGCACGGAACCCTAAAAACAGTATAATTGTGAAAATCGAGGGGGAGACAACTTTTGTGACTGACAGATGGACAGACCGAAATTAAAAGATTTCCTTGTTTATCACTACGGGCCCCTAATAAATGGGTTGGGTAGTAGTGTAGTACTTACCTTTCCAATCTAAATCACTCACAGTATCTTGTCTCTGAAAAAATGAAGAAATTTTGGGCACTTTTTTTATAACCTCGTCCCTTTTCTGTTTAATTTTTCTTTTCTCAGCGCCGCTGGGATAATCTCTTTTTCTTTCACTCATTTCTTTTACAAATCGTTACTAATACTGCTAAACCAGAAGAACAATATTGTTTGTACTGAATTACAATGTAATGCACATTTATATAAAGCGCGTAAATAAACAGTGCACTGCACTCCGTGGTTTAACATCCAATGCAAAGTACAACAACGTACACGTACATCGCGATATCGATGAAGGATTCCCGGGGATTCCCCGCTGAGTTGAAGATGAAGTAAGTAAAACGGGGAAGTCCCGCAGCCCGCCATAACGATGTAGTGTTGCCAACTTTTGAACGCACGCTTAAGGCGGGAAAAAAAGGAATTGCTTTATAGAATTTTGTCATTTGTAAAATAAAATAAATTAGAAAGTTTTTATTCTTTTTCCTTACACACTTTGGGGGCCCCCGTGGCCCCGTATAATTGATACGGCAAATACGGCGGTAGCTACGCCCCTGTCAGAGGAGCTGTTCGGACTAAAATCTGCAGCTGAGTTTCACCTGGACGTCAAGGCAGAATACAATATCGTCGCTTAGCTAACAATACCGCACAAGTCATATTTTAGCCAAATGACGTTTTTTACACCATTCGATAGATTACTTTCCCGCGCGTCTAATGAGCTCTCGCTAGAGGTAATATCGTCCAATAAGAGCCCGTTATTCAAAAACTAGTAACACAACACAACTCATTGGCTGCGCTAACACCGCGCAAGTCATCATAACGCCATAGTAATTTGGCCGTGCCACGTCGCACCTTATAAGATCGTTTGTCGTTTTTAAAAAAGCGGATTTTTTATAACGGACTGGCCCCACTGATGTAGTTTAAAGGTAAGGTAACTTAAATAAAACATAGTATTCATATTTTATCTATTAAAATACGTCATACGATTGCAATTAAAAACATGAATACTTAAGCGGTGTTGGAATGAACAGTTTCGTTGAGTTAGGCGGTTTTCTCTTTGCTTGTTTTCGATGTCTGAATTACTTACGCTGTACTTCTGTGTTGAGTTTCTGACTGCTGCGGTATTCATCGATATAATTAGCGATTTTTACGCAGTTTTTTTAAATGATTACTATATCGTAATTATATTATATTTTACTTCAGAACACGAAAATGGACAAAATGGTCGATAATGATACCACGCCTGATGACTTTTCAAGAGTTGACGCTCAATGTAAAGTTATTACTTTACGTGACTTACAAAAGAGACATAGAGAAAAAATGTTATTAAATACATTGGGTATTAAAGAATGGTTTGTCCGATACTGGTTGATAACGACAGATTGTGCTATGCCTTCTGAGATTTCTCGGAATGTAGATTGCTCCAAAAAGAACTCTGATGGTCACGAGCGTCGAAGATGCCATCGTCTACTGTCGAGCTAACTCATCCAGACAATACCTAGAACCAGTATTTCATACCATGGCACAATTATACAAAGAATACGTCAGTAAATGCGAATCAGATTCCTTAAAATGTCTTAGTCGTAGGGTTTTTGACAATGTATTCTTAAAACAGAATCTTAGTCTGTTTCATCCCAAAAAAGATCAATGCGATGTATGCTGTGGTCATAAAGTTGGAAATATAAACGATACTGAAATTGCAATACATCGCGATAGGAAAGACAAAGCTAGAAAAGAAAAAGACACTAACAAAAAATTGGCAATAGAAGGAAAAACGTGTCATGTATTTACGCAAGATGTTCAATCAGTAAAATTAGCTCCCTACCTTCAGGCTAGTGCCATATACTACAAGACATTTTATCTGTTCACAATTTTACCATGTACAATTTGTCAACACGTGAAGCTTGCTGCTACTGGTTCGATGAATAAAATGGCTCCCTTGAAGCTTCCGTTTTCGCATCGTGCATTGTGGATCAACTACAGATAATTTTAAATAGAAAATTACTACCGGTAATATTGTATTTTTCACAATTTCAGTAAGGATTTAATTTACAAAACCATTCGTCCGGGCAGAAAATCCGGAGATCCCACTATTACCGATTTAAGGGTATTAAAATATAAACCAGATGGAACTATTTGGTATAGCTTAAACTTTGACGAACCTTTGCAGCCGTTGCCTCAGCGTCCAATGAAAATTACCAATGTAAAACCTTTAGAAGAGCTGCCGAAATTATTTTCTGAAAGACTGCTAATTTCCCAAAGAAAATATAAGGATCTCCAAGATTTAAAGGCAGTGATACCTTCGAACTGCCACGCATATTATGATGAGTTACCTTATAAAAATTAAATATTTTTCATTATTAGATCCATAAACATTTTATATTATTTTTAGAAGTAGGTTAAGTATTCGAAGTGTTTTTATTGTCTTGTATTGTTTGTGTTAAATGTACCATTTTTATTAAAGTTTTTGAGAGTTTAGAATTATTAGAAGTCATGGAAAAAAATTACCTAAATTACAAAGCAAACCACCTCTGGTTTCCATTGTAACTTAGATAATTTTATTGATCTCAGTAGGTAAGTAGTTGATCTCGTCAAACAGTACAGTCGTAAAAGTCAGTGAGTTCCTATAATATATTATAATATTAGCGAACCCGGCAAGGGTTGTCCTGTTGGAATAAGAAAATAAAACGGCAAAGAAATGTGTTTTTTTTTTTTGATAAAAAGCTAATTAAGCAATCTTTTTTTATTTTATTGAAGTTAATAATTAGTTTTATAAAACTGTTTTTGAAAAATGTTTTTATTTCGATAGTTTTTCATAGAAATATTTTCTATGAAAGACTTATAGAGCTTAAAAATAAAAGGTAAAAACACCGCGTAAGTCTTTATTTTGTTAGAGTAAAACTGCTCAAGTCTTGCAATCACCTAATAAGACGATATTTCTTTTATTTGTTTTTATAGTTATCATGCTTAACTAAATACAATATATTAAAAATTTTATCATGCATGTATTGTACAAAATGTTAAAGTAATACAGTTTTTTGTCTCTCCTGAAAACTAAGCAAATCTGACTTATGCGGTATTGTTAGCTAAGCGACGTTATACCATCCGTATCACCTCGACGTCCGTCGTCCACAGCTAAGCGTTTCTTAAGGCAGTTTTTGTCGCGCACCACCACTACGTGGAACCAGCTGCCTGCTGAAGTATTTCTGAACCAATTCGACTTGGGGTAATTCACGAAAAGAGCGTATCAATTCTTAAAAGGCCGGCAACGCACTTGTGAGCCTTCTGGCAATGTGAGTGTCCATGGGCGGCGGTATCACTTAACATCAGGTGAGCCTCCTGCCCGTTTGCCTCCTATTACAAAAAAAAAAATATTAAAATTTTTGATGTTAATTTTTTAACTTATTTTACACGGTAAATAAAATATACAGTGTAAGTGGTTTTGTGGCGGTTATGTGTTATTTAATTATTTATAATTTTAGTTTTTATAATTGAATATACATTAAAGCTAACCTACTAATATAATATTTAGGACAATATTGTAATGTTACACAATAATGACCATATGGACTTATGTCTTAAATAAATAAATTATTATGATTATAATAACAATATGAAAACTGATGTATGGGCAAAATTATATTTTATTCAAATAACGTCAGAGAGGCGTAGCGTAAGCCATATAATTTTATTCTTAGTAAAATGAAAAGTTGTAAACTCAACATTTTTATTATTGCAAAATAAATACATATTATTTGAACTTCAAATCTGACACTACAGCTATGTGATCTGACGGAAATACTATACTTGGTAGTGCTATATGAGCATTTAATTCTTCAACGCTTGGAAAAGGCACGACCTGAAAAAACACAATCATTTAAAATCTTTTCAGTAATTTTTTTTACCACAGCCATTGCTTTAAAATAATAACAATAACATAAATCCTCAGTCAACTTGAATGTGCCCATTGTGAATGCACATGCTGTATGAATTCATAGTCCATAATTCCAGTCGTGTCGTGAATGAAAAACTTGCGCCACGCTATTTGGAAATCTATGGGCATAACCGCATCCATTTCAATCACAGTTTATGCTCTGGTGTTAACGGCGGTACATAGGAGAAGGTCCGCGATTGACTGGGTACTCTTTGGTTTTGTGTTTTTGTTGAATTACACACAGATGCAGCCACAAAACTGACTTAAATTAATATGAATTTTACTTAATATAACTATTATTATCTAACAAACGGTTAAATTCTGACCCATTTCTAAACCTGTCATACAAAACGAAGTATCTTTTCATATGAAGTATGTTACGATTTGCATTAATGTTCGAAGTGACAGCACGTAGATCCATTATGGAAGCCAATTATAGCCAATGTGCCCTTAGGTAGATATTTTCATAAAAAAAGAAGATGACTATATGGAAATGGATTTCTAAATAGACATCTCTTTGGTGTCTACCTTGTTTGAATTGTTAATAAATAAATGCGAATTTATTACATTATTTGCAAAGGTCAAGTCACAGATCATGTTTTCTGAATTTTTTTTTGAAACTAAGTAAATGTTATATAATATGTCACCGTATAATTGTTAACACCGATAGATTGTAATCGGTGACATATATAATTTTTTGACAGTCAAAAGCAATTTTATTGAATTGTATTGTACTCACGTAAACCAAAAACAATTTACATACCTGCTCAACTTCAAGATTATTTATATCATAATAAATATAGTCAAGACATTCTGCAAATCCTGCAGTAAAATTTGTGTATTGAGGTGTTCCACAAGCACTGCCAAGAAGAATTGGTTGTTCGAGACTAAGACCAGTTACGGCTTGTTCAGGGTCTGTTGACAGAAAATTCTGAAGATAAGATTTTGGATAAAATTCGTAACATTTAGAGTACAAATATCAATTGAAATAACATCTTTAAACATATATCAATAGAAACTGTAATACGCCTCAATAATCTGTAATTACAAATATGGTTTAGGTTAAAAATTATTTATTAGTACTTTTTCTAAAAAGAGATATTGGTTTTAGACTCGTTAAGATATAAGTTAATATAGATAGGCTAGGATGTAGGGGTCCCTGTATATTTAAAAAAAACCCAATACCCATACATTAATTCTTCCCTCCCTATAATGAATAATAATGCTCGGACCCTTGACATTCATTATAAAGAGTTTACACTGTAGTTATATATGGGACCATAGTGTTCGTTCATAATAATTTAAATACTTTAAATATAAATTGTTCAATAAATATTTAAAACAATACTAAACTATCAGCCAAATAATGTCAGTCCCATAAGAGAAAAATTTAATGACAAAATCTTTGCTGGCTTACTTGATTTCCAGTCAGGTAAAGTACTGGGAGCATGACCTGTAGTGTATAGTTTATAAATTCCAGATAGAGGATCACTATTGAAGTCACCACACACTATCATTGATATCCTCTTATCAGGATACTGAAAAATAGAAACACACTTATAATTTCTACCAGATTAGCTTATGACATTTTAAAACAAATATCCATTTTACACGCCTATCTCACATTTTTGCACATCTTTTCATGGTCTTGTGAACGGATTGTTTCGGGTTTACAATAAAACTGTGATTAAAAATCACTCGGTGGACATTTTCAGAAACTCCATAGAGACCTTTCGCCGAGTCGTTTTAGCAGCCTGGCAATCATTTACTGTTATTATTATATTCATTTGCTTTGTTATATTCCTACCTAATGACTATTTATGAATAGCTTTTTGTATATTCGCGGATGCTTAAACCCAGGCAACCACTTCGATACAAAAAGTCCCTTCAGGATTTGCTGTGTCTGCTTTAATAGCGAGGAAGTTGCATGAATCTGCTTAGCTTCGCCTGATTTCTTAAGTTCTCGTGTTATTATCACACGTGTATATCTTATTTCTTACATATTTCATAAGTGTTTGTATGATGTTTGAGAGCCTTAATAAAATATTAGCGTTATTACAAGGAGGCAGTATGGTTACAGGTTGGACCAGATTAGACTTGAATAGTAATTATTTTAAGAAAAACCTGGGGAAGATAATGAACGAAGGACACAATGTTGCGTTCGAATGTGATTGGTCGAATGGATGTAGTGAGACGTACCATGTCATGTTTCATTGCGTACAAGTTGACCAATCACAATTAAACGAAACAATCGTTTCATTTTGCGTTTTATTTTCTCATCCTATGGGTATTCACATCCCCATTTTAATTTATTATATTTTAGAATTAATTTTGTTTAGAATACAAATTTGTGTTATTGCGTAATCTGAAAAAGCTATACTACCTGTACCTGTGCCTCTAAATTACAGTATATTATAACTAGGATCATATTTTTTACATTCATTTAAATTTACCTGTGTCTTTAATTTATATTGAATATTCTTTAACCAATAAATAATAATTCCACCCTGAATAAGTCGTATGTGATCTGCATCTGGATGAAAATACAAATGTGTATTACCAACAATAATTATTTCATTTTCATTATCACAGGACTGTAAAAATGTAGCACTTGCTACCGTTGATCGGTCTAAGAGCCGTTTCTTTAATTCATCATTATCTCGAACTGCATCCCAAATATGCTGTAAATAAGATTCAGTTTGTACAGCAGTTGATAGGAGAATTTGATCATCCCCTAAACATCTGGAATCAAGAATAAATTATTGCAATTATTTTTTTGAATTTAGCAAAATGTCAAACTGTACTTTTTCATCAGAGAAATCTTTAAAAATTCACTTTTTCTATCCAACCTATCATAAAAATTTAATTAAACAAAAATATACCATAATGTACTCAACTTATCTATTCACACCCAACAAATATGTATGGAAAATATACATATTATACATTGTGATGTCAAGGTGAAATATGTTTAAAATACGTATTAATAAAATCTTAAGTGGACTTTAATTTTTAAAAATATTTAAATCAAATTTAAGCTGTTTCAGTTTTAAAACCAATCATTACTTGTTTCGCTTTAATTACATTATAAACCTAAAGCTATTTTATTGCTGACATTATATAAAACGATGTTTCATTAGATTTGTTAATCAATAAGGGACAAATATCATACCTAAACCTATTTTCTCTATAAAAACAAGCAAGCCCTTCAGCAACAGACTTTCCTTTTTTGTAAAATAAGCCCTTTAGGCCTTCCATTTGTAATACACAACTTAAAGAATAGTCGAAAATTTTGTTATCCACTTCTTGCAGGCAAATTATATCAGCATTATACCCTGCAAAAAAAAAAAAAAATTATATTCTAAATCAATTGTGATTTTTATATTTATATAAGCATGTTATGAGACAGTATTTATATAGCAAATACAATAAATACCACCTGTTAGTTCCTTTAATATTAATTGTTTTCGATAATCAATTTCTAATGCATATGATGGGCAATATGGATGTAACACTGTTCTTGTGTAATCAGAATCACAATATAGATCAGCTAATATGTTATATGTCACACAACGAAAACTGAAAATATAAATCATGTTATATTATTATAAATTTAAGAATGTTGTATATTATGTAAGATTTAAAATTGATAAATAATTTTAGTTGTGAAAATACCTTTTATCTTCTAATCTATCTTTGGTAAAGAAATGTCTCAATTCAAAAGGGCATGGGCCAGGACCAGCTTGTACAATATGTTTTGAAATTACTTCAACACTTGGCCCAGCCATTAAAGAGTTTTCTGAAAATAATTTAATACAATATTATGCATAAATAAAGGATTTAGTTATCATTCTAATAATGGTACTCACTTGGGATACATTCTAATTTTAATTTCATTCCAATATCCTTAGAAACTGGAGTGTAATTAAAAGAATTTTTTATAAAATCCCATTTAACATGGCTGTCAATTATGGAATTCCCTTTTTCATTTACCATTTTTCCTCTATACCAATTGAAATCACTTAATTCCTTTTCCATATAGTTTGATTCTAAATGCTCAGGGTAGACAGGAAAGCCTACTAAAATGCTTTTTGGTAAATTAAAATTCAGGACCCATGGTGAATTAAATACTACATCATAAAGATGATCATAGATTTTTATCTTTATAGGACCTTGTAATTGAAACAGTTCTATACATGTATAAGTGTCAGAGACCACATCACCATTATTATAAAAAATTTGGACTTCAATACTGGTGTCTTCTTTAGAATCTTTCTTCTTTATTTTTTTATTTACTGCTTTTTGAACATTGACCCCTATACGAGTGCATAAGTTTTGTACTACTTCTGAAGTTTTCCGATTTAAATTAAACTGCCGTATCGTTTCTTTAACTTTTAGCAAAAAAGTTATATCTATTTTATCTTCACTGGGTATATGCCTGAAGTAACATTTATCTATATTCATTCTACTTGTTGTTGATAGTTTAACTAAAGAATGCAAATCCCTAATAAATATTGTAAACCTATTTAACATAACGGAACTAGAAAAAAGTAATGTTTAAACTTTCTAGTCCACATAACACATAAAATGTAATATGACATATCACATAACCTTAAAGAGCTCCATTCCTAATTAACTTAATTATTCATACAATACTCTGTGCTGTGATTGTGTCAGAGTCACGTATGTATTTAATTCGTATCTCAAGTCACAGTCTCGTCTTGAGCGCTGTAAAATATGTCAACAAACTTCAAACAGAAAACATTTTTTGAAGGCTCTAGAAACTAGATTTATGTTCGAGAATATGACATTATATTATGATTTTTATGAATAAATGAAAAAATAGGAAAAGTAATTACGATAAAAGGAATATATATTTTTTTTAATTAGAAGCGTAAACAATCATCGTACACTTGAAGGCAATATTGAGCCCTTTAGTTTTTACCACATTCATAAATTGTATTTTAACATTCTCGTTCGATAATGTCCAATAACATAAGTATCATTTAGATTTTAGAAACCCTTAGACAAGCCAAGGTAGCTTTTGTTAGCGTCGCAACCTCACTACCTACCCCTAATTTTATGTTAGTTATAAGCTCATATTTTAAACGTTTTATTTGAACCTATCCATACAAAAAACCACCACCAAACCTAATTCGTGTGTGAAAGATATTTAATCGGAAAGTCATAGAAAGAAATTCGCCATTAAAGAGAAGCCTATCTTCCTAATCTTATAGGCAGCGGCACGTAAGTCTAGCGCTGGCCGATACGTGGAGGGGATTACTGCGCATGTGTACTGTCGCGCGGGGGACGGAATGCGACTGGAGAGCCAATCGACGCTCTTCTTTCCGCTAGCCCCCCCTCAGGTACCTTATTTTTTACTTCTGCGCAATAACGGTCAGCGCTAGAGTTTCGTGCCGCTACTTGTAACTAACTCACCCAGCGTTAGTTAAGGCAAATACTTTACCTTATTATATAAAACTAATATTCATTAATTATTCATTATTAAAGAATGCTTTAATAATGAATAATTAAAGCATTCTTAGTGACACGATGTTTGATATTATTTGGCATACAATATTAACGATTTATAAAGTATATAAGATATCTAAGCTATATAAGAGTTTTTTAGGTATGGTGAAAATTTCTTAAACCTTATTTATATTTTTATGAAACCATAACAAACATTCGTGTATTTCATTGTTACTATATTGTGACCAAATAACGTTGTCACTTAGCTTGTTGTAATGCGTACGAACGACACAATTCGATGGTATTTATAAGGCTTAAAACAGCGGGCTCAAAAGCATCAAAATTTGATAAAGAAGTTTACGACCATTAAGCAAAAAGCGCATGAGTGTAAATAAGTCATTCAACGTCTGGAGCTAAATATTTTACCTTGTCTACGGTTTATTAGGATTAGTTACTGTTATTAATAACATATAATATTAGAGATATTTTCAATTTAAATTTGATTGAATAAGTATTATATAAAATTGTATCCTGGCAATACCAATTCCTACAATCAATGACAGAGGACTTCCTTTTTTGGCGGGAACTGGAAGGGCGCCTTTTTTAAACAATTTTTTCAATAAATTCAAAAAAGTTGGTAAACTAACGAAATACCTAGCTGGGACTAGTCGTAATGGAGCCGGAGAGCGGCGGAGATGACGATGGGTGTATGGCGACACCGCGGACAACAAAGAAGCGAAAAATTAAAGAGCAGCTTCCAGCGGCGTCTTCGTCACCGGAAGATAAGTACAAACCCTACTTTAAACTTGAATATAAGAGGTCATACCCGGACAACAGCTCTAAGGAGGAATTCCCGATCTATGTTGAAGGAATTAATGAGAAAATTGGGAACAAAAACCCCTTATATCTCTCGAAATTTTTCAAAAATGTAAAGGGCATTGTTGAAAAGCGTAGATTAAATGCGAACAAAATAATGGTAGTCTTCAAACAGGCGGTAGCAGCAAATGACTTCCTAAGCCATAGTTGTCTTAAGGAAAACAATTTGAAGGCATACATACCAGCAGCGTCGGTGGAGAGAACCGGCACTATTAGATTCGTCGACAAGGAGTCGAGCAATGCAGAACTGTATGAAAAACTGATGGCGGATGCCGAAATTATAGCTGTGAGACGGTTCACCAAGAAAGTAGGTCAGGAAATAGTCCCTCTCACTACGGTGAGTGTAACATTTGTAGGCACTTCCCTCCCACAATATGTTTTTCTGGACAAGTGGAGGTACAGGGTATACACTTATGTGCCACCACTGATGCAATGCTTCAAGTGCATGAAGTTTAGGCACAATGCCAAAATATGTAGAAATGATGATGTATGTTCAAGATGTTCAGGTGCACATTCCTACAAGGAGTGCTCATCAGACATCTTGAAGTGTTGCAACTGTGGTGGGGACCACCTAGCAATATCTAAGTTTTGTCCCATTAAAATAGAACAACGTAAAAGACATGAATCAAATTACTTGACCAGAATGTATTCAACAGTAGTATCAAACAAAGATTTTCCTGCATTGACCAAAGCGAAAACAGACAAATCAGTGACATTTGCATTGAAAACTAAGTCTACCCCGGTTAAGAAAATTGAAAATAGTCATGAGTCCCCTATCACAGTACCGGTTTCAACCGTTCAAACACCAACTACTAACTCCAACACCTTGACCTATGACTACCTTGTAAAAGATGATATCTTTTTACAAAAAATAATAAAAACCTTAGTTACATTAGCAAATTCGAATAAAACAAACACAACCACACACATTAAAGATATATTAATAGAAAATCTTACCAAATAATGGCGGTTTTAAAAATAATGCAACATAATATTCAGAGTGTCAATAATAAAAAGGCTTTACTTAAATCATCATTAATTCAAAATAACATAGATGTGTGTCTTCTCAATGAAACCTGGTTAAAAGATTCAAATCCCTATTTATCAATCTCTGGCTATAACTATATAGGAAAAAATGCTAAAAATGAACATGGCGGTGTAGGTATTTTAATAAAAAATGATATTAAATTTAAGGTCTTAAAAACTACTTTCTATCAAAATATACAATTTATAGCTATTTCTATAATAACAGGATGTGGTCCTGTCTCAGTGCTCTGTGTCTATTGTCCACCAAATAATAGCTCAATTAGTTTGATTAATTTGAGAAAGATTATTTTGCAATTACCCAAGCCTTGTCTTGTATCTGGTGATTTTAATGCTCACAATATAGCTTTTGGTTGTGATACTACCAATTCAAGAGGTCGTGAATTATTTGATATATTTGATGATGCTGATTTATGTATTTTAAATTCTGGTGACCCTACTACTATTTCTAGACCTGGTAATAATGCATCAGCCATTGATGTTACTTGTGTTAGCCCTGATATTGCACCACTTTGTGAGTGGTATGTCGGTGACGACTCTTTAGGGAGCTATCATTTACCTACTTTTGTTAACATCATTACCTCAACTCAAAAATATACAGTTCAAGAGTCTATACATAAGTATTTATATAATAAAACAAACTGGAATATGTACAATGATAAATCCAAAGATATATTTGATAAATTTTCTCCTTCAACAATTGATCCTTTTGTTCAATATGATGAATTTTCTAAATTACTACTTAGTTTAAAAGAAAACTGTGTTCCATTGATAAAGCATAAATCTTCTAGTAAAAAGTCTGCTCCTCCAGCTCCTTGGTGGAATGATACTTGTGCCGAGGCTGTAACCAAATCAAGAGAAGCGTTAGCTAATTATAGACGTAATATGACAATGGACAATTATATAGAATATAAGAAAATAGATTCAAGGAAAAAAATTATTATAAAAATGGCTAAGAAAGACAGTTGGAAAAGTCTTTGTTCGTCTTTTAATAGATTCACTCCAGTATCCCGAGTGTGGAATTTTATTAGAAGATTTAAGAGAATTAACATTAATAGAAATGTGTCCAAAAATGATGAGTGGATAGCAAGTTTTTTAGAGAAGTTAGGGCAACCTAGTAATAACAATGATAATATTTCTGGTTTCTTCGAATTTAATGATGGAAGTCAGTGGAGCAAGTTTCTACTTAACTCTTTTTGTTTTGAAGAACTTGACATGGCTTTGTCTTCAAGAAAGAATACAACCCCTGGTCTTGACGATATTCCTTATATTATGCTTCAAAATCTACATGTTTCTGTAAAACATATTCTACTTAATATTTTAAATTCGCTTTGGTCTCAGCAATTGATTCCAGAATCCTGGAGGTTGCAATGTGTCATACCAGTGTTAAAACCTGACAAACCCAATGATCATTTTAATTCGTACAGACCCATTTCTCTTACATCTTGTGTAGGGAAATTGTTTGAGCAAATGATTAAGATTAGACTGGACTATTTTGTTGAAAACCAGAAACTTATTCCTTCTTGTCAATTTGGATTCAGAAAAGGCAAAAGTGCAGCAGAAAGTTTTATAGCTTACCTGACTGATATGAAGAAGTGTTTGTTATCAGGTTCTACTGCAATTTGTGTTTTCCTTGATGTTCAGGGGGCATATGATAATGTAGATCTTCACCAATTAATTAGGGTGCTATATTCCTTGGGCTTCCCAGGAAAGCTTTTAAAATGGATTTTCCATATGTATTATGGTCGTTCTTTATACATTAAATACAATAATGTTTTTCATGGTCCAAAATTAGCATTTAAGGGGTTGATGCAAGGGTCTTCATTATCTCCAATCCTGTATAACCTTTATACTTCACAAATATATACATATGTGACTGAATCTGTAAAAATATTACAATTTGCTGATGACATCTTAATATATAGTGTAGGCAGTAACTTACAGGTAACTCAAGCAAAAGTTAATTCAGCTTTATGTCAACTTAACTACTATTATACTGAAATACTTAAATTAAATATAAATAGTAGTAAAAGTTCAGTTTTAGCTTATGGTATTGATACAAATGTAAATGTTAAGTATAACAATAATTTAATCCCTCAAAATAGCGAAAAAAGTTTCTTGGTGTAATTTTTGACACTAAATTAAAGTTTATCAAACACATTGACTATATTTGTAGTAGAGCTTTGAAAAGTATCAATATTTTGCGGTCCTTAGCAGGAACTTTTTGGGGTTCTGATCCAAAAATTCTTTGTTTATTATATAAAAGCTTAGTACGTAGTCATTTTGATTATAGCTGTCTGGCATATATGAATATTAGTCCTGTATTATTAAAAAAAGCTTGATGTTATCCAAAATATTGCTCTTAGAATTGTTACTGGTGCAATGCGTACCACTCCTATCAATTCTATGGAGGTTGAGTCATGTGTAGAACCACTATGTATTCGGCGAGTATTAATTGCTGAAAAATTTTGCCTGAAAGTTATAACTTCTCAGAATGATGTTCTTCTTCCAAAACTTTCTTATTCTATAACTATCACTAATACACCAGATTTGCCTTCAAGTATAACAGCGACTAATGTTCTCAATAACCAGATCCCTGAATTATTGGGAATTATGAGCTTTATGACTGATTTATCTGATAATATGTACAAATCTGAACTATGGCCTGTATATCTCTGTAAATATAAAGCTCTTATGTGTAACTTAAATATAGATATGTCCAGTGTAGTAGATAATATAGACTTTCTTGATTATTGCTGTACCAAGCCTAACAGTTACAAAGTCTACACTGATGGGTCTAAATCTTCATCTGCAGTGAAATCGGGTTACTATGATCCTCAGGCTAAAACCTCAAAATGTTTTATGTTAAGTAATACTTGCAGCATATTTACAGCTGAAGCTTATGCTATCTATCAAGTTGTATTGTACTTACAAAGTTTACAAAATAATGATAACTATGTGGAGTTCCTAATAATTTCAGATGCAAAAAGTGTGTTAATGGCTTTAGACAAATGTCATACTCATTATAGAAATAATTATTTATTGTATAAAATTAGAGAAGCATTGATATCTTTGGATACTCCAGTAACATTTAAATGGGTTCCCTCTCATAGGGGTATCAAGGGAAATGATATTGTAGATGGTATCGTCAATTCTAATTATGATGAGGATCATAGTATTACATGCAGAGTTCCTTTTACGGATTTTCTTTTCGACTTAAAACAAAGAAGTCGCAAGTTATGGGAAAGCTATTGGAAATTATCCTCACAGCATAAAGGTAGTTGGTATGCAGAGATCCAAAAAGAACTTCCAAGTAAACCTTGGTATGATAAATACAAAGGAGCCAATGAACGTAAATTTATAACCATTATTAATCGTTTGAGGTTTGGCCACTGTCAGACTCCAAGCCATTTATTTCGTTTTAAAATTATAAATAATAACAGATGTACATACTGTGGAGGAAATGAGGCCGACTTATCCCACCTCATCTTAAGTTGCCCGACCTTTAAATTTCAACGATTAATACTAGTAACGGATATTATGAAGTGGATGGATTTTGATGAGAATAATCAGACTAAACTTGGAAATTCTTTAGCAAATAACCCGACAAGATCAGCTTTAGACTCATCAGTCACTGCAAATGGTAGTCATCAATGTAAACCATCACAAATAGAAATTCCCCGCCGTGTCCAAGATTTACTGAAATATCCAGTTCTATTTAAAGCTATTTACTATTATATAAAAAACACGGTTGAGAAAAAAAAACACGGTTGAGAAAATTTAAAGCTCACCATTGTATTATATAAATTGATTGTATTTTATGTTAAGATAGTATATTATTTATATTATTATTTGTGTAAGATATTTTGTTATACCTTTTTTTTTAAAGTGCCAATGGACTTTGTATCCGGCTAATAAATTAAAAAAAAAAAAAAAAAACAATCAATGACAGACTTCCTTTTTGGCGGGAAAAGGAGAGCCGCGTTTTTTCAAATAAAATTTTGTTTTATTTTAAATTAAATTGTCTTTTTCAAGACAGAGTGCTTTTGGAGGAGAATAATGTCTTCAGAGAGTGATGGTGATGAAGACGGGTCTACAAAGTTACCCGTAGACTCGAAAAAGAGGCGATTTGATAACTCAGTAAAATCGAACGATGTCGATAAGTATAAACCTTACTCTAAACCCGAGTATAAGCGATCCTACCCGGATAATAATAACATAGAAGAGTTTCCCGTTTACGTACAGGGAATTAAAATGGAAGATAAGATAGGTAATAAAAATCCTTTGCATTTATCAAAAATATTCAAAAACGTGAAGGGCATTAAGGAATGTCGTCGAGTTAATGCGGCCAAAATTATGCTGGTTTTCAAACAAGCTGCAGCTGCTAATGATTTTCTGAGTCACGTTAGCTTAAGTGACAATAATATGAAAGCTTTTGTACCAGCCTCTTCGGTGGAGCGAGTGGGTAAAATTCGTTTTATCCCTAAAGAATGCAGTAACGCGGATTTATACCACAAACTAATGGCTGACTCTGAAATTGTTGGTGTTAGACGTTTTATGAAAAGAACTTGTGATGGTCTGGAACCTCTTACTACTATAAGCGTTACCTTTGTAGGAACTGTTCTCCCTCAGTATGTTTATTTAGACAACTGGCGTTACAAAGTTTTCACTTATATTCCTCCTCTCATGCAATGTTTTAAATGCATGAAATTTAGACACAGTGCCAAAGTATGTAGAAACAATCAGGTTTGTTCAAAGTGTTCAGGTGGTCATTCCTATAAGGAATGCTCAGCTGAATTTTTAAAGTGTGTTAACTGTGGAGGAGACCACTTGGCAGTATCTAGGTTTTGTCCTCAAAAAGCAGCTCAGATTAAAAAACATGAAAATAATTATTCATCTAAAATGTATTCAACTGTATTATTGTCAAGTGATTTTCCTCAGTTACCTAATGATAAATCAGTTGTAAAGTTGGCTCACAATAAATTAGCTCCACCTGCTGTCCAACCTAAGAAAAAAAAGTTATCACAAAATTCATCAGATAGTTCAATTTCAGTCCAGTCTGCTCCTCCTAATAGTGGTTCCCATGATCAGCTCATTAAAGATGATCAGTTCTTGAGTAAAATTATCAAAACTTTAGTTATGTTAGGCAATTCTAATACAGTAAACACAACTGCACACATTAAGGATATATTAATACAAAACTTAACAAAATAATGGATTATTTACGATTAATGCAACATAACATACAGAATATCAATAATAAAAAACCACTTCTTAAATCTTTATTATATGATAATAAAATAGATGTGTGCTTGCTGAATGAAACTTGGTTAAAAGATTCTGGTCCGCCTTTTTATATACCTGGTTATATATTTGTTGGAAAAAATGCTAAAAATGAGCATGGAGGTGTAGGTATATTAATAAAAAATGATATTAAATTTAAGGTCTTAAAAACTACTTTCTATCAAAATATTCAATTTATAGCTATTTCTATAATAACAGGATGTGGTCCTGTCTCAGTGCTCTGTGTCTACTGTCCACCAAATAATAGCTCAATTAGTTTGATTAATTTGAGAAAGATTATTTTGCAATTACCCAAACCTTGTCTTGTATCTGGTGATTTTAATGCTCACAATATAGCTTTTGGTTGTGATACTACCAATTCAAGAGGTCGTGAATTATTTGATATATTTGATGATGCTGATTTATGTATTTTAAATTCTGGTGACCCTACTACTATTTCTAGACCTGGTAATAATGCATCAGCCATTGATGTTACTTGTGTAAGCCCTGATATTGCACCACTTTGTGAGTGGTATGTCGGTGATGACTCTTTAGGGAGCTATCATTTACCTACTTTTGTTAACATCATTACCTCAACTCAAAAATATACAGTTCAAGAGTCTATACATAAGTATTTATATAATAAAACAAACTGGAATATGTACAATGATAAATCCGAAGATATATTTGATAAATTTTCTCCTTCAACAATTGATCCTTTAGTTCAATATGATGAATTTTCTAAATTACTATTTAGTTTAAAAGAAAACTGTGTTCCATTGTTAAAGCATAAATCTTCTAGTAAAAAGTCTGCTCCTCCAGCTCCTTGGTGGAATGATACTTGTGCCGAGGCTGTAACCAAATCAAGAGAAGCGTTAGCTAATTATAGACGTAATATGACAATGGACAATTATATAGAATATAAGAAAATAGATTCGAGGAAAAAAATTATTATAAAAATGGCTAAGAAAGACAGTTGGAAAAGTCTTTGTTCGTCTTTTAATAGATTCACTCCAGTATCCCGAGTGTGGAATTTTATTAGAAGATTTAAGAGAATTAACATTAATAGAAATGTGTCCAAAAATGATGAGTGGATAGCAAGCTTTTTAGAGAAGTTAGGGCAACCTAGTAATAACAATGATAATATTTCTGGTTTATTCGAATTTAATGATGGAAGTCAGTGGAGCAAGTTTCTACTTAACTCTTTTTGTTTTGAAGAACTTGACATGGCTTTGTCTTCAAGAAAGAATACAACCCCTGGTCTTGACGATATTCCTTATATTATGCTTCAAAATCTACATGTTTCTGTAAAACATCAATTGATTCCAGAATCCTGGAGGTTGCAATGTGTCATACCAGTGTTAAAACCTGATAAACCCAATGATCATTTTAATTCGTACAGACCCATTTCTCTTACATCTTGTGTAGGGAAATTGTTTGAGCAAATGATTAAGATTAGACTGGACTATTTTGTTGAAAACCAGAAACTTATTCCTTCTTGTCAGTTTGGATTCAGAAAAGGCAAAAGTGCAGCAGAAAGTTTTATAGCTTACCTGACTGATATGAAGAAGTGTTTGTTATCAGGTTCTACTGCAATTTGTGTTTTCCTTGATGTTCAGGGGGCATATGATAATGTAGATCTTCACCAATTAATTAGGGTGCTATATTCCTTGGGCATCCCAGGAAAGCTTTTAAAATGGATTTTCCATATGTATTATGGTCGTTCTTTATACATTAAATACAATAATGTTTTTCATGGTCCAAAATTAGCATTCAAGGGGTTGATGCAAGGGTCTTCTTTATCTCCAATCCTGTATAACCTTTATACTTCACAAATATATACATATGTGACTGAATCTGTAAAAATATTACAATTTGCTGATGACATCTTAATATATAGTGTAGGCAGTAATTTACAGGTTACTCAAGCAAAAGTTAATTCAGCTTTATGTCAACTTAACTACTATTATACTGAGATACTTAAATTAAATATAAATAGTAGTAAAAGTTCAGTTTTAGCTTATGGTATTGATACTAATGTAAATGTTAAGTATAACAATAATTTAATCCCTCAAAATAGCGAAAAAAGTTTCTTGGTGTAATTTTTGACACTAAATTAAAGTTTACCAAACACATTGACTATATTTGTAGTAGAGCTTTGAAAGGTATCAATATTTTGCGGTCCTTAGCAGGAACTTTTTGGGGTTCTGATCCAAAAATTCTTTGTTTATTATATAAAAGCTTAGTATGTAGTCATTTTGATTATAGCTGTCTGGCATATATGAATATTAGTCCTGTATTATTAAAAAAGCTTGATGTTATCCAAAATATTGCTCTTAGAATTGTTACTGGTGCAATGCGTACCACTCCTATCAATTCTATGGAGGTTGAGTCATGTGTAGAACCACTATGTATTCGGCGAGTATTAATTGCTGAAAAATTTTGCCTGAAAGTAATAACTTCTCAGAATGATGTTCTTCTTCCAAAACTTTCTTATTCTATAACTATCACTAATACACCAGATTTGCCTTCAAGTATAACAGCGACTAATGTTCTCAATAACCAGATCCCTGAATTATTGGGAATTATGAGCTTTATGACTGATTTATCTGATAATATGTACAAATCTGAACTATGGCCTGTATATCTCTGAAAATATAAAGCTCTTATGTGTAAATTAAATATAGATATGTCCAGTGTAGTAGATAATATAGACTTTCTGGATTATTGCTGTACCAAGCCTAACAGTTACAAAGTCTACACTGATGGCTCTAAATCTTCATCTGCAGTGAAATCGGGTTACTATGATCCTCAGGCTAAAACCTCAAAATGTTTTATGTTAAGTAATACTTGCAGCATATTTACAGCTGAAGCTTATGCTATCTATCAAGTTGTATTGTACTTATACAGTTTACAAAATAACGATAACTACATGGAGTTCCTAATAATTTCAGATTCAAAAAGTGTGTTAATGGCTTTAGACAAATGTCATACTCATTATAGAAATAATTATTTATTGTATAAAATTAGAGAAGCATTGATATCTTTGGATACTCCAGTAACATTTAAATGGGCGCCCTCTCATAGGGGTATCAAGGGAAATGATATTGTAGACGGTATCGTCAATTCTAATTATGATGAGGATCATAGTATTACATGCAGAGTTCCTTTTACGGATTTTCTTTTCGACTTAAAACAAAGAAGTCGCAAGTTATGGGAAAGCTATTGGAAATTATCCTCACAGCATAAAGGTAGTTGGTATGCAGAGATCCAAAAGGAACTCCCATGTAAACCTTGGTATGATAAATACAAAGGAGCCAATGAACGTAAATTTATAACCATTATTAATCGTTTGAGGTTTGGCCACTGTCAGACTCCAAGCCATTTATTTCGTTTTAAAATTATAAATAATAACAGATGTACATACTGTGGAGGAAAGGAGGCCGACTTATCCCACCTCATCTTAAGTTGCCCGACCTTTAAATTTCAACGATTAATACTAGTAACGGATATTATGAAGTTGATGGATTTTGATGAGAATAATCGGACTAAACTTGGAAATTCTTTAGCAAATAACCCGACAAGATCAGCTTTAGACTCATCAGCAGTCACTGCAAATGGTAGTCATCAATGTCAACCATCACAAATAGAAATTCCCCGCCGTGTCCAAGATTTACTGAAATGTCCAGTTCTATTCAAAGCTATTCACTATTATATAAAAAACACGGTTGAGAAAATTTAAAACTCACCATTGTTTTATATTGATTGTATTTTATGTTAAGTTAGTATAGTAAATAGTTATTTGTGTAAGATTTTTTGTTATACTTTTTTTTAAAGTGCCAATGGACTTTGTATCCGGCTAATAAATAAATTAATAAAAAAAAAAAACAATCAATGACATTATATGACAATGATGTGACAACGTGTCAAAAGTGTAACTACGTGTAGCTCGTAATTCAAAAATAAATTTCAGTGGACTGCCAACTCGATAGTAGGTCTTTTGAATTTACTTTCGAAAACTTTTTGGTAAATTTGTTATACATTCCAACCAACCTATATAGCAATACAATGGTAAGTGTTAAGAGCGTTTTTGTTCTATAGATAAAATTGTTCATATAACAAACTGATAATAATATTATATACTGCTAATTTTTTCAGCCTGCTGCTCCGAGTTCTACATCGGTGGGATCAGGAAGTCGTTCACCAAGCAAAGCCTCAATAGCTCCAAGAGCTTCAAGTGGTGGTACTGTACGTCAAAGAAAGACTACAACAACAACCACTGCTGCTCGTAGCCGAACTACCGGCGCAGGATCTGGTGGCATGTGGCGCTTTTACACTGATGATTCACCTGGCGTTAAAGTGTAAGTTTAATTACTGGGGTTATATGAGTAAAAATTACAATAAATAAATTCATAAATAAAATAGGAATTTTGGTTGGTACTGTTGTTATTCCTATACCTGTAAATTATAAAGATTTACTAAATGTTTTCCATTTTATTACAATATTGAGGCTTAGAGTACAATCTAAACATGTTTTGCCATATTGTAAAATATATGGCAAATACTCAAAACATGTTTATTATTATATTTACACATATTTTCCAAAAAAAAATCATATAGCCATACATTTTCTTTTTTGGTTAAACCTAGTCTATGTAGTCCCATTTTAATGTATTGAATTTGTTTTTTCAGAGGTCCAGTACCAGTGTTGGTTATGTCTCTTCTATTCATTGCATCAGTTTTTATGCTACACATCTGGGGAAAATACACTAGGGCTTAATTGTAAATATTTGATAAGACTGTCACTGGAATAAAATATATTAAGTGAAATATTTAAGGCATGAGTGAATTTATATTTGGTGGCAATATGATTAACAATCTTATACAGTACACAACTTTTATTTTGTATTAAGTTTATTATAGTTATAAGGGTATGTATTGAACTGCCGATTGTTAATTTCTATGTGAATTGGGATGCATTTAAACAATTCATTTCATTACTGTACCATACATAATTTCTCATTCTAATAGCTATATAATAAATTAAGTTAATAAAGTACACTTAATTAGATTGTTGTTTTCTTTTTGCTTAATTAGTTAAATTAAGTTAGATTAAAAAAAGTGCAAATATCATGAAAATCCTTATTTGGCCCAGTTCATTATGGATAGAATGATTTAAATGCTAGATTTAGACATTGATACAATAATTTTACCCATATGTAAAGGATGAAGTTCATAAAATATTATCTTGTAATTGGTTAAGGTGATTTTAAAACAGATTTTTGTGTAGGTAATAGCATCCCACTAAGAGCCGCCGTACACGGACTGCTCGAGCAGTTAGCGGCTGAGTGAAATACACGGACCGCTCGAGCGGTCGGCGTCGACTGCTTGAGCTGTCGGTTGTTGACTGCTCGAGCTACGACTCAACTGCTCGAGCAGTTGATTTTCTACCATAGTCGAGTCATGGATTCTGACGAGGAAGCACTGCTTTTGCTGCTCCTGCTCAGGCGGAGACGACGGCGGCGACGTCAAAAGAGAAAATTTTGGGTTCATCCAATTTTGCAATTAAGAGAACAACGTGGACAATTCCATCATTTGTTTATGGAACTTAGAAGTGATGAAGAAAAATTTTTCAACTATTTTAGAATGTCAAAGTCTTCGTTTGATGAATTGTATAATATACTAAAGTCTCACATTAAACGGGAAGACACAATTATGAGGAGAAGTATCCAACCTGAAGAAAGACTAGCAGTAACATTGAGGTAAGAAAAATATATAGTAATTATTTAAATTTTTATTCATTAAAAATATTGGAAATTACATCATCGGACATTACAGAACATGATGAAAGGTCTTCAAATTGAGAATTTTGGTCATCAGCCATTGATGTAGAGGGGCCGGTTGCTGATCTAGAGGGACCAGGCACTGATGTAGAGGTAGAGGGGCCAGTATTATAACCCCATGGTCCACGATAATCATTAAACGATGAATATCCCCTGTCACCATAACTCGAAGGATATGTGTGATTTGTCATCCCTTTAAAGTATTTCACTACGTTAAGTATTTCGGTCTTAGCATCTAATTTATAATGCTCATTAATTTTTTTGAATTCGCCAACTAATGATAGTAAAAACAATTTATCTTCATCTTCATTATCAATGCGCGAATTCTGCGTTTTTTCATCTAAACGTTTGGATAATTTTTCAATTAAGACGTTCTCATCTGTGATTTTAGTGAGGGTCTTCCTTATTCTATAATACATTCAACCCAGCAAGTTCGTCCAGGTGGACCTATGTTAACAACAATCCGTGAAGAATTTGCTAATTACTTTGTGAGCGAAGAAGGCAAACTAGATTGGCAATGGAATATGATATAAATCAAAAGGGCGCCGTCCGTATAACATAGCCTCTGTATTCTTTTAAATATTAAAAATATAATAAGAAGCAAAACAACTATTATATTGTTACCAGTCTGTTTTTTAATAATAAATAAAATAATAAATGTGTGTGTTAAATGACTGACTTTTTTACTTACCGATTTGATTTTTTTCTTCAACTGGTTTTTCATCAAAGTTCTCAATTACTTGGGCACAAATAATTGCCCATGCATTGTTCTTCTTTATTTTGTCGCTGTGTTCCTTAAGTTTATAGTTCCAAATAAGTTCTTGCGTTTTAATTGCGCTAATAAGGGCATCACTATCGCACACGCCCTCCATGTTCAAAAAACAGCCGGCAAATGAGAAAACAGACGCCGCGAGGCCGCAAAGGGCGGGGGGGAGAGGGAAGTCGGAGAGCTGTCGACTGCTCTAGCGCAGTCAACGGCTCGAGCAGTCGGTGTATGCCTCGCAACCGCTCGCGAGCGGTCGACGGCACGATGGAATTTCATCATGCAGTTGACGGCTTGAAGCGGTCGCGACTGCTCGAGCAGTCGTGTGTACGGCAGCGAATGAATGACTATAGTTCACTGCGCGGTCGCGGCTTTAAGCAGTCGGTCTCAACTGCTTGAAGCAGTCCGTGTACGGCGGCCCTAAGAGCTTTTGTCAAACTTTATGTTGCCCACACACACCACAAAACCATTAATGGATTCTTTTAAGATTTCAGATACTATACTTAGTATATATTCCTGAAATCTTAAAAAGAAGTATCTATAGAATCAACATTCTAGGCAACATCTTGTTTATACAGGTGTAATTATACAATATCTTGATATTGAAAATAAAGAGAAATTTAGGGGTTAGGCTCTATGTAATAATGTATAAACACCATAGTCTTGGCCTCTGATTTTTATTTCGGATTTACAATGTTTTCTTCATGGGCAGGTAGGTAATTAACATTTTGTCCTGAAATACACTGTAAATCAGTTTTCTTTACAAGCCACTGTTAAGGACAAATAAAACACAAGCATCCAGAGTTGAGAGTCACATGCTACAGCCACAAGGCCAACAGAGTTCAGTTAGTATACTTGAACTAGTAAATACAAATTGTATGGAATGTCAGCAGACAAAAAAATTAAATTTCGCATTGATGAATACTCAGGACTCATTCTAAGATCCCTGTGTAAATAAAAGGATTCAAATGCAAAAATATTTATATATATTTAGAGGTACATACGTAAAAATTGATCTTAAAAGATTCAAAAATATGTAAAAATTAAGTTCATAAAATAATATTTACAATATCAGCCTTATATTTAATCTCAACTTATTGAGCTACCTTTAATTAATAAAACAGTCAAGAACTTAATTTGTTTTTAAAATAATACTAAAACACTGAGCACATAGAGAGCTAAAATAGTATGGCCAATAATATGTAATAATAGGTTCTTAATCAAAATTTAACAAGACCAGAGATCTGAAAAAAAATTTTACAGAAATATCAGGTATTTGTTTGGATATGACCTAGGTTTAAATTGTAAAGCTAATAGACTGAATCATACATATGCTTCAACACGCCTTCCCTTAACTTTGTCAAAAAATTGGCGCCATGTTACTATTGTTTTGCTTGACCAGATCCAAAAACTAGATGTTATCCCAACAATCATTGTCATTAGATATTTTATGATAAACATTTCAAATTTTGGTCTGTCTGCTTCCTGCTTTGTGAATGGGCAAGGAATTGAGTATTTTGGAGAGGAGCACATATCACGATGCCAAGTTATCATCCATGAATCAAAATGAGCCTGTTCGTAGAACAAGCATGCTATAACAATAAGAGCTGGCACTGTGTACAGTACACCAAAGATGCCTATTCGAATCATAAGCTTCTCAAGCTTATCTGTTTTTGTTCCATCATGTTTCATGACAGTTCTTATCCTGAACAAAGAAACAAATCCTGCAAGTAGAAATATGGTTCCCAATACTAAATAAGCACATAGAGGGACCAAAACGAATCCTCTAAGAGCTTCAGCATCCCATAATCCAACATAGCATACTCCTGATAAGACATCCCCTGAAATGTACAAAGACAAGTATTAATATAAAAAAAATCATCATATTCTCAAAACTCTGTAGATATGATACTCACCATCAACATTACCCATGGCCAATATTGATATAGTTTTAACTGCAGGGACTGCCCAAGCTGCTAAGTGAAAATATTGAGAGTTAGCTTCAATTGCTTCATGGCCCCATTTAAGACCAGCTGCCAAGAACCATGTTAGTGTTAATATAACCCACCAAATACTTGATGCCATACTAAAGAAATATAGAATCATAAACAGAATTGTGCATGGTTCATGTTTAGTTCCTTGAGTTATAACCAAGATATTTGGTAATTTTGTTCCACTCACAGTCATTGAAAATGGACCTTGACAACTGACACTGTCTCCAGCCCCCCATCCAATAATATATGCAGTGGCTACCATTAAGTAACATACAGACAGAAATATTATTGGTCTTTCTGGGTATCTAAATCTATCAGTGTCAATTAAAAATGTGAGTACTGTAAAAAGGCAACTGGATGCACATAGTGTTGCCCAAACACCAATCCATAGTCTAGCAAAGTTCTTTTCATCCTTGCTGAAAAACATTCCATTACAGGGTGCCCCACAATCATGCTCAACTTTATCTCCAACTTTAAGTGAATATTCCAAGTCAAAATTTTTAGGTATTTTAAATTGTACAGGGCAAACAAACCCAAAATTTTTAGCTCCATGTAATTTAGCTGGGTCTCTGTCAATGCTAGATTTATATTCAACTTTTGGAAGCCTTCGTTCTTGTGAGTTACGAGATGCTTGAGAAACATTATTATTACCAAAACACATAACACTTTCATCAGTCTTAACTGGAAACTTTGAACAGTTTAAATGGTCAGGCCACTGAAATCCAAAATGTTTTACGCGTTCATTGCAATCAAGTTGAACTATTTCGCATAAATGACGACATGGAGGTATTGGTGTATCCAATATGGTGCATACAGGAGCATACACTGAACATAGGAATGCTTTTAAATCTGGTGAACAATTATTTTTTATAAGTGGAGTAAAAATACTGTAAACTTCAGATCCAGCATCTTCTTGTTTAACGTGATCAATTAAGTTTGGGAAAATAGTCTCATTATACCTTATCTGTTGGCAATATTGAATAGTAATTGGTTCACAACGACCATGGTGAGGTAATATATCTCCTTGATAAATAGGAACACGTGAACTTTCAGAAATAATAAACAACTGAAACAATGAGTGTATAAACAACATCCATATTTTTCCCATTTTCAATGTGACACTTGTATTAAATTTATGGCATAGGAAAATAGCTCATTGCTATTAGCTTAAATGAGACAATTTTTTAACAGATATTTGTATAACATTTTTTAAGAATTTGATACAAAATAATATTTAATCCAGACTACGGTACGGTTACAATATCTCTACGGCCATTTTGAATTTTAACCAACCCACAGATAATAGATATATATACATAAACAAATTGGCAACAATATCCGTAAAAAAAAATACCTGTGGACTGTGGTGACTGGTGAGGTGAGAGATTCATCTGTAATCAAAATAAAATAGACCTTGGCATTTCCTGTATATATAAATAATGTACTTTATGATCTTCGGTCTTCCAAATCTGTGGTAACAAACTGTTGTTACTTGTTTTTAAACATTTATAAATTTGAGTTTTCAAATTTTATAACATAGTCAAAATAATTTGCTATTTTAAAATATGGATGCTGGAGCAGAAAATCTTGATTTTATTAAACTTGTTAATGTAAAGGGAAATGTTGATAATATCACTCCTCATAAAATAGCAGTTGTCGCTTTTATTAGAGAATATGGGTTGCTGAAAATTGAAGGTAAAATAGTTTCTGATGGTTTTAATATATATTTAAATAAAGGTTGAATTTTGAAACGCTTTATAATAATGGTATAGAGTTACGATATAGTCTATTATTTTACAGCCAGAGAAATGTCTGAGCGAACAATAGCTCCTAAATATAGAAAGGATTTTTGTATTTTGGCTTTAAAACTAATACAGGTAATCAAATACTATATTGTTTAATTAAATAATACAGTTGGAAAAAGTTACAACAAAAAAAAAACTTTCAGTTGAAGGTTGACTACAAAGAGAATAGAAACAGGAAATGTTTAAAAATGTAAGATTTGTTTTAGTGTCCTGATATGGAGTTCAAAGAGTTAGAAGCTCTTCTTACAGATGGAAGGTACAATCTTTTGAGTGTGCACTTACAGAATTTTTGTGTTAGACTACAAAACATTTACATTAATGGAATAAATGCACTGATGGATTGTGTTACATCCACATTAAAGATGTTGATGATAGAACAATCAGAAGTTAAGCCATCTGTTGTTAATAGATGCAGTGTCATAGGTACATATTGTTTACTTTATAAACTTTAAAGGAAGAATAAGCATAAGTATGGAAGTCATAGAAGATAAGCAAATAAATTATTTTTCCTTTAGACTTTTATATCTACATGTTGCAAAATTAATGCTAATGTAGTATTGGTTAAAACTGCACATAAATATTAATAAATAATTTCATTAGTAATTATTTTCTTTCCACATAGAATCAATTTTATTTTGTTCAAAGATCTATTATCATGTTTGCTTTCAGGCTTTTACCTCAGGAGGATTGTATTGCATTTGGATAAACTGACTTTTATTCAGCTTGGTACATTGTATAAATCATTCTGTCAATATTATCAAAAAGGCAGACCAGGTCTTATGATGAGATCCTTGAGTAAAGAGGTTAGTAAGATTGAGAGAGTGTACTCCATAATTCAGAGATAGTATTACTTTATGTTAACTACTCATGGCAGTACTTAGTAAGCATGTGTATCTTAACATGAAATATTTGCTTTACATAACTTTTTTTTTCAGAAGCTGCATAATATTGATTCACAGGCATCAACATCCATAAATGACGAATCAAGACCTCAAGAAATTATTTCAAAATTAATTGCAGATAAGGATAAGTAAGTATACATACAAGTCATAATTAAAGCCATATAAACTTTTATCCTCATGTAATGTATTTATGAATGAATAATTTAAAAAAATTCACATCATATATATACATATTTTTATACAAATGCTTTAACCAATTATTTAAGAACGAATTTGTTTTAAAAAAGTTGTTGTGAGAAATTACCGAATCCCATATTTTTTTAAATCAAAGTAAAAGTTCCGGAGAATAGGGCGTTAACACTATCAAGTTCTTTAGGTTTACATTAGTATTAGGGCATATACATAAAATCGAAATACCAGAGAATGCAATGACCAAGCCTTATTAATTTAATATCGTATAACATAATATCTATGATTGTTTATATAATGTTCTTATAGCAACTTCGAAGAGTGTCAGTGGTCACGAAAACAAGCGGAGCTGTTTACGGCACAACAGGCTAACTTATTGCAAATTAATCCAAAAATGGCGCTGCCCCCAAAGCAGTTGCAAAAGATGACAATGCAAATCATTCACGACATACCTGAGTATCCAGATGTGGTAATTATATAATTTATATTATCCAATTGATAAGATGCCTGTGAAAGATACCAGTTCGTTCAGCACCTCACGCATATAAGTACTTAAGTATAGGTCTGGGTAGAGCAAGATTCATCTTGTTGATTATATTTTCTAAAAGGAAATCTTATTTTAAAACTTTTTTTTTATATCAGTCGAGCCATTTATTCACAATGCTGATGAATGTTCAAGTCAGTCAATTAAAATAATGTTACATGTTTTTTTTAAAAGTTAATTTATATTACAAAGAATTGGTAGATTTGTTTTAAATTTGTTTTTTTGAAATGTGACTTCATACGCGACTAAATGTTTTGGAACATAAACCGCAATAAATGATACAAAACATTTTTACAGCATTTTTTAAGTTTTTTGAATTGCTTGCGGATGAAAGAGTTTTGCGGCGCACAAGAGTCGTTGTACAACTGCTTTGATCGGCCTGTCTTTAGTATTGGCAATGGTAGCGATAAAAACAAGAATTTCCGATTTGCTGCGCTTAACAGAGCTGCAATGCACGTTCAGTTTGGTCATAAGTAAGTAATTTCATACCATTCATAAAAACTAATTATAATTGTACTTTTTCAACAAGTACTTTCGTCTCTTTCTGTGAAATCGTGTTTACTGTTTACGATGTGATGAAAAGAGACATGTACTTTCGTTAAAACGGTGCAATTATATAAATCATTTGTAAAAGAACGATATTAATTTCCTCAGACCTCTAGCAATGGAAGGGGTTCGCGAAGCCCTAGCGAAAGCCCAAGAGGCAGGTGACAGTGCGTGTATGTCACATGCGGCAGCTTGGGGAGCTCTAGCGGGTGGGAGAGCTCGTCGAGCTGCGTTATTATCTCGTATGCCTCGCGCCCCTAGGGCTGCTGCAGCAGCCGCTCAGTTCATGGCCTTGCATGCAGCACTCAACTCTGTCAAGCCGTGCGAAGTGTTTCAGGTATTATAAGGTCTATTATTTTAATTGAAACTAAAGGTGTATACAACTATTAAAATGAGAGAGAGTCTAAGGCTTCTATTACCCGATTTATTTTTACCGTGACTTGAATTGTAATCAATTTGAGTTTCATGGAAAAGACCGACCGATGTCGTCCTGTACCCACGTACTTACAAAAAATATACACAAAAAGGTTCATCAAAATCCGCCGTTTAGGAGTTTGATTACAAACGTACGCACAGAAGATTTATATATATCAAGATGTCCGAAAGACATAGGCTGATAATATTATTATTATTATTACTATATATAAGATTATTTAAAGAAATAAGTTTTTTTATCTTTTCAGATAATAAGCAAAGGAGATTCCTTAAATTACATGCATTCACTGACAGACCTCACCATGGCAGCATTGGCGAATACAGCCGCCCTTTGGGGTCTTTATGGGAAATCTGAAATGGCCTCTATCAATTGCCAACTCTTGTTGAATTTAAATACAAGTAATACATATTACTTTATATGTTAGAACGTTGTCTGTTGCAACCTTTTTGTAAATTTCGAAATTCAGTAAAAATAATAGAATTAATATAATTCGTAATTCGAATATTAGCGAGAATTAATTATTATCCAGAATACTTAATATTTATACAGAATGCAAAATCGGCATGGGTGCCGCATGGCAATGGGGCGATACAAGTGCGACGGCGGGTGCGGGGGCAGTGGGCGTCGTAGCGTGGCGGGGACACGTTGCCATGGCAACCGCTCTCGCTTCTCACTTTACTACGCCGCCCGCGCGAGCCCTTAACTTAAGATATCACGCTACATTCGCGCTTAGAGCCGGTAATATATGTGTTTATAAAGTAAATTATTATTAAGTGAATAGACACTAATCGGATTACTATCCAGCACTGTTGGTTAATTTTAAACTATCAAACAAACAGTAGTAAAAATAGGTGAAGTAATAAAATATTGATCGTAACTTTTACCAAATTTTTATGCTTTGGATAACTCTGGAAAGTTATTGTGCTTTATACTTGACAGTTCAGCACCTGAGATTTTTACTTCTTTACCTTAATCTGTGCAAACTATGACAGCCAGACATAGCGCGCGTACACATTTTTACTTACCCACCCACAACACACGGCTCCTGTATGAGGGCTAGCCTTAGAATAGTTTGACACAAACATATTTTGTTCAAAGTTAATTACAATATGTGTACTGAATTCAAAACTTCCCAATTTCGCAGGAAAATGGGAAGAAGCTGAACAAAGTATACGCGAATTAGCATCATTCGATAGATGGGAAAGTCAATTACTTAAAGCAGAGATGTACTTTTTGAAAGGTGATCCCACGAATTCCCTTGAAACGTTACAAGATATTTTGGAAAATTGTAAAACTGAAGATGACAGCCAACATTATATTCCCCTTCGTTTAAAAGCAATGATTCTAGAATCAGAAGTGGAGCATTCATTTAGTAGTGTACAGTCGATAAACATAATATTGTTAAACGAAGCGTTGACGATAGCTAGATTATCGCACTTGCATTACCTCGCTGCGTGTATAGAGATGCATATAGCGAACGTGCAGTTGCATATGGGATGTTCGAAAAAGGCATTACTATTGGCGAGAAAGGTTCTACCAACGATTATGGAACATGGCAGCGCTTATGATGTGGCAAGAGGTATGTATTAATGTCTACTTACCGTTGTTATCTAGGCAAAACTGTTACGTCGTTATAGTTCGACAGTAATCTTGATACTTTATATGAAGGAATCATTGATATACAAAAAACCCAAGATGCAAACTCAACGTCTAAAAAACGTCCACAAAAAATGAGCGCAACATTCTAAATTGTGCGCTCATTTCAAATAGTCTCGCGTCGCTCGCGTCTGGGAGTATAGTAAAAATATAACGTCAAGAAGGTTAAAAAAGGATGGGATATCGTATTTTCGGTAATTAAAAAACTTTATTGATTAGTTTTTGTTGTTTTTATGACTGATTATAACAAGCAATGTGTGATTTTTATTTATTTATTCTAAAAACTTCATTCAACGCACAAACTTCTATACGGACAACTTCAATGGCTGCTTGTTCAGTGTTAGAACAACGCATTACAGTCTTCTTTTTATATTAGTCGCATTATAAGAAAGACCCTGTTCTAATAAGTGGAGTCGATGTTATTTATTTGTGTTTTTTTTTATAAATAAATTTATGTACATTTGAACTTTTTTGTGTGTAGTTTTTGACAAATATATTTACGCTATATAAAGTGTAGGTCAGGTAGCCAATTTAACATTTTTTTTAATTTAAAGAAAATACTTTTTAACCGGATTAAAGTTATGTATTATTATAAATTTACAACTATTTAACATCCAACACCTTTTGTCTTCAGTCACCGTGACCACGGACGCTGTAAAACACGCGAAGCGTCGGATAAATTGAAAATTATGTTAAATAGTTGTAAATAAAAAAGTCATGTTCGACTCCACTCAATACCTTGTCCTACCGACCACGGTCGGTCGTAAGATTTTATTGCTTTAAGTACACTGCGTTGTAATAACAACTTTAAACAATTCTCGTAAGGTTGATTTTGCAAAATATATGCTTGTAACTTATAGAAAGAGACATAAATAGTGTTTCGGGACACTTTCTAGCGTTACTTTTATTCGAGACTGTGCATCTTGGGTTTTTTGTATATCAATGGAAGGAATATATAATTTTTGTGTATGATGAAATGACGCGTAGCAAATAAGATAATATTAATATTAACTGAAAGGCCGATTCTAATTCCGAACAGACTCTATTAGTCCAATAATTGTTTATATGAAAAGGTTTTTTTCCATATAAAACAACTGGGCGACCGTCGTACTTCTATATAAATTCACAATTTTTTGTCGTTCATAATTTGAAGAGAATCATAAAATAGCTTGAAAATATATAAAAAATATTTGTTTTACATCATTGAAGTTCGTACTCGGTGATTTTGAGTTCCATTTCCCGTAAATAATAATTTCGGGTTGAATTGGAATTGAGTTCTGACATTAGAAAAAATATAATATTTGGAGACTAGGTTCGATTCGAGTACCCTACAAATCACGTCTTTAAAAATATTATCAATTAAGCAAATACAAATTGGTCTGCCTTATGGCTAATAGGGTTGTAATATAGTAAAAGAAATATTTTTAAATTTAAAGAATCACGATCAAAAAATTACCATCTGAATATCTAAGAGTCAATTGGTAAATATGTTTTGGTATAAAAATAAAATATGTTTATTATGGAATATAACATACAGGTAAGTATAACTTATTCCACGAATCAAAAAACGAATTCAAAATAGCTTATGTAAATTTTTGCAGGAATGCTATTATATACAAAATGTCGGATAGCAACCGTATCTCCAGCAGGGGATGCAAGACAACAAGTATTGCAATCGTGTTGTGAAAGTTTGGACATAGTTAAGGAAAATTTCTCTAAGGTTGGAGCACAAAATCGCGTGTTGCAAACGTGGTACTTACAGGCGAGTATTTTTTGATATTACCTTATTATATATTATTAATAATAGACAACTAATAGCGTAAAATATACCAACAGAGAAAAAAAGGTAAAGTAAAAAATACAACTTTATTTATATTTAAAAAAAAACATTATATTTTTATAATGAAATATTGGTATTTAGTATGTAAAATAGTGGGATTTCGCCAGTATTATAAATTTAGGCATTGTGTTTATTGTTTATGTACAATTTACGCAATTACTATGGTGGCTGGGATCTCCATATGTAACGATGCTTACACCATAGCTGAGAATTCGGGCCAGATACTGACGGAATACTTAGTTCTGAAATTTAGTAATTTGTAGGTTTTTTGAATACATTATAAGTAACACTGCACTAGGTTTTGGTATTTATCTCACCGCTGTCGGGTTGAGTCACGTGATTACGTGGCTATTGGTTCATGATAGGATCTAGCAGGACAGTTCATTTATCAACTTTTATCGACTTGACGCCAAGACGTTATAGTAGCCTGATGTAAAGATCTTTGTTTATGTTATTATAATAGCTATTTAAACTGTTTTGTAAATTCGGCTATTTAATTTACGATTAAAAAAGAGTAAATTTTTTTAGGGACAAATAGACAAGGCTAAGTCAATTTCTTTATGTCTAATTGTCTATCTACACAATGTGTCCTTTTGTAGTACTAATTTTCCTAAACACTTTCAGGCTAGACTTTTTCATGACATTGGAAATATTGCAGCACGAAATCAATGCGCATGGATGTTTAGACAGTTAGAATCTCAACTACCTTTAGATACTTTGCAAATGTCGCATATTGTATTTTAATAAAAAAATTAAACCAACATTTATTGATTTTGATTTATTCTTATGTTTACACGTTTAAAGGACCAAATTAGTGTAATTTGTCATTCAACAGAGCCTTTTGCACTACTTCGGACATAGCACTTTTAATATCTCGACAGAGAACTTCGGAAACCAATACTTTAGTATCGCTTTGCACATCTGATAGTACATAAGCGCCCTCCCCTAATATGTTTGTGTCATTCCAACAATGACCCAGTGAAGCTTGTGATTCACAAATTCTTCCCAACTGTAATAAAAGTGAAGTGATATCTTCTAAAAGGGAGGGAAATGCTGTGCAAATTCTAACTAGTGATTTGAGAACTGGTTGAAACAACTCAAGACGCAAATCGCTCGGCAAAACTGATAGTAACGTAGATAGGGTGTTAATGCATAATCTGGCGATCGACATCGCTTTGGGTAATGCATACTGAATCGACAAATGAGAGACTAGATCAACGGCAAAGATCTGTTTCTCTAGAGACGCTTGGCTTAGAAGTTCTGGAATGAAGTCAAGACAAATGTGCATTGAGGGTATTCCTTGTACAGTGATGGGCAGCAACTCCTTTGGATACCCTTGAAAATGTACGAGTTTAGCAAGTGAGGGTTCTGAAATAAATATTTGATGTAGAAAAGAGCATATTATACTCCGAACTTCTCTTAAGGACCACATCAATTCGGGCTTTAACTGATCTTCTGAAGTCTCGAGACAAGCTTCTAGCAATATTTGGAGCGCGGCGCTTTCTTGTGCCGCGACCAAGGCATTTTTGAGCTCTTCTCTTTCTGAATCAGATGTTAGTTGACCGCTTTTCTCCAATAGCGGTTTATCCAACAAGTGGCGACTCAGCTGACACCTTGAGGCCGCCAAACTTGCTTCTAATATTCTCAAGATAATTTTTAGTACTGGCCCACATCGAAAAACTCGTATATCACACCGTAATACTTGCAATGGGTCCACAAGAACATTTTCCTGGGTTATTGTGACATTTTTAGCACCACTATTTATGTCCAGAAGAGCATTGATTGTCATTATCCACAGACATCGCGGCAACACTGTGTTCAATCGAAGCCATACTTCTCTATATAATTCCTGAATATGTCGTGGGACCCCTTCACCAAGGACGCATTTCACGTGTTTCACAAATGTCTCGGCGAATGGCCAAATTTCAGTAGGATTTTTACTAAGCATTGCCTTTAAAACTTTGCCAGTTTTGTACGGATTCGTTTCGATACTATTAAAAGCCTCATTAATGAACGTTTCCGACAATTTGAAATCTACATGATGGCGACACGAGTCTCCGAAAACTTGATCGTCCATCCAGTCGTCTACTAAAGATAACTGTGGGAAGTGTGTCGCCAAAAGACGTAATAAGGGACTGAAAAGTCCTCCGTAACTCGACTGATCTTTTTGCGCTTGATGAAGCAAATACTTGATCGGAAGTTCAGAGAGGAACGAGGTAGAATAGCTTTTGATTTTTCTGCCATTTGCGATCAGCAGAGCGGCATTAGTCAGTCGAATGTCTTCATAGAGCAAAAGATAGTAAATTAGAAGCAACTGTGAAGCTAATGTCGGCTTTTCGATGGTGATATCGACTGCTGATTCACCATCGATTTCCATTGGGGTAAATGAGGATTTATTCTGGCCATCAAAGTTGACACCAAATATAGAGTTTCTGAATACTTTCTTTATTTCCTCTTCCGTTATTGGTTGGTTAAAATATTCATTGGATCCTTTGTTATTTATGACTAATATTGAATTGACGTAAACTTCAACTAGAGCAGGCATGACTGGGTGCAATGGGGCTGTACAATTGCAGATTTGACGATATATCCAATTTTTTATGGGAACCTTGTGTTTCGAAAATGCTCTAGATTTTAGTAACTGATGGATACAGTGCACAGGTAAATAGCCAGCAATGTTACTATTGAGGTTGGCAGTTACAGGAACTTTAACAGCATGTGCAGTAACCACCTGTTGAAGAATTGAACTAATTAGTAACCTAGACAATTATTTAAGTTCATATTATGAAACCATATACAAACATTGTATGTTTTGAAACTCAGTTACTTATAATGCTTAAGGTAAGTCGCAATACACCAATGACAAAAATAATATGTAGTTCAAATTGTATATTAAATAAAATGGTATGAGATAAACTTCCTAGTTATTTCTTTATGAGTTGTATCATAGAAAGAAATGATTTGTATCTTAGGTACCTGTTCTGTAAATATTTCCTGAGTAAAGGCCTGTTTTATACGCGCCAACCCATTCGGCCGTACGGGCACTCTCATTCCTAGAGTGGCACAAACCAGTTCTCCAACTGCAGCTAATTGGCCAGAGTGAAAATGGATAGCAATCAACAATAACATCTCACCAAATGATGCAGTAAATCCAGAGTTGCTAAAAACAGTAAGTTAATTTTTTTTTAATCTGTAAAAAGGTGATTGGGTCACTTAGTATTCCTAGTAAGTAATCATGTTTATCTTTACTATACTTGCTGCTTTATCTTAAAATATCATTTCATATGGCTATTGCTATATTGACCTTGCTAATGTTTCTCTGTAGTTGATTTAATTCATACACACCTTTCGAAATAGGCTTCTTCTTTCACAAGCCATTGCACCCATTCAATTGCTTTCTTTTCATGTTCTGGAGCAGCTAGAATCATAGAGTTACTAATAAATAATGATCCTCATTAATATACCTAGCTTAATTAAATTAAAAACTTGTATCATTACCCATAAGAGATGGACAGGCAAGGATCATACATAGACTCAATGAAACAAATCGAACTCCAGCAGCTGTTGGTGGTGGTTTTTGTGTAACAAGTCTTAGAAGTCCAGACACTTCATCATCTTGAAATTTGATGCCGGCAATTCCTCTCAGAGCACAGTACAGTCTTAATAGTGCTGAAGCATCAACTCCTGCTGAAGCTTTTTTCAATCTATTAAGTAATTCCTGGCGAAGCTTTATAAGTGCATTGTGTCCATCACCTTTGCCTCTTTTATGTGAATTTCTTAAAAATGGGGCATACCATGACCTTGTGTTTTGATCAGAACCTAATAAAAGGCTTGATACAAATGAAACCTACAAAGAGATGTATTATAACCTAAAAAAATCATGATAATATTGCATTAACATTAAAAAACAATTACATACCAAATCATCTTGATGGTGCGTCAGAGTGAGGTTTATGAGAAGGGATGGTAAACGAGACACAGATGCTGCTTTGGCTCTTATTGATGCTGCCATATATGGACACATGTCACACAATGTGGAGAGAGCTTTTGCTCTAATACCTCCTTCTTCCCCTCTTTCAGCATTCATCACCAATGACTCAGCAACTAGAAAATCCAATTCCTATTTTATTAAAAAAAATTAAAGATTATTGCTAGAACTTTAGTTTATAAAACTTACCATCTTGTAAAGTATCAGGCATATTTGCTACAACCCATGATATTATAGTAGGACCTTTATTTACATAAAGAAGAACTTCCACTATGTCACAAATATTTAGCAAATTAGGTAATTCGGCAAGACTTATACAAATTACATCTGTTACTTCCTCAAGATATACATCATTATCAAATAATTCAGAGGGTTTAACTGTACTTTCACTATTTGCTGTTCGATTCTGGTTATATTCCGATAATTGTGCTTGCATTTGGAGTAATTCAGATAAAACCAACCTCACTCTTCTAGCTGAATCAGATTGTTCAAAATCATTTGCTATGCCATTTACAATGTTCTGTATTAAAAAAGATTCAACATTCTGAGATCCATTTTTTTGTCTGTAAGAAAAAATATTCTGACTTTTGAGAACCATTATGCAGTCACATTATAAGTATGTTTGTTATAATGCTTACCTCATTTGTTGTTCTTTTTTAAGGTCTACTTCTAGTGCATGAAACTCAATAGATAGTAAAGATACAATGAAATTTACCAAATCAATACCGGATAAAAGAGTAAGTATATCTTTCTTTGCTTCTGCACAATATCTAGTTATATCTAATGGTGATAAAAGTGCCATTCGCACAAGACAGGGAATGATGGGCCTTATTTCTTCTGATGAACTCTTCATAAGCGTTTCAATATCTACATCCTTCAGAGCTTTAAAAACGTGCGGTTGCACTTGTTTCAGAAACACACTCTCCATGGCTAGTTTAGTTCGTAAATAGAACGACAATCTCTATAGATACGGTGTAAATTACTTAGGTTTTAGAATTTAGTTATTAGTTCCCTATCCATTCATGATTATTATATGAATAAGAAATTAAAAACATCAGTTTTAATTTATTTATAAAACATAGTGATTAGTGTTGGTTATTTTGATGATATCTGTCAGAGTGCGTATTGCGTACCGAATGCCGATTGCCTAACCACAGACTAGGATGACATGCTACGTGAATTTTGAAGTGTCTCACAGATTTACAGTGTTTTCAAGAAAAAACATTAACCAACCACTCATGAGTCAGTCTCATATTAACATTTCCCTCAATATTTAATTAATTATGTCTTAAAATATAAGCGCTCTGCCTGTCTCCTTTTGGAATTTGACCCTTAAAAGTAATAAATTTTGGGGCTACGAAAACGCATTCTCGCAATACCAACTGTGGGAATAACATTAAGACTAAAGACTATGAAGCTATGAAGTTAGGAAGATTATCCGCAGCATTCCCAATAGAAATGCCTGTTCTTGCATTTCAAGATTCAAAGAAGGAAGAATGAAAATGATTAATTCCTTCCACTTGTAGACTAACTTCCACTCGTAGAATAACTTCCTCACGTAGACTTGAACAATGAGTTCATCGTAACATATATTCGATTCAGTAAGTTACGAAAATATTATTCCTATCTTTCTAGGAAATAAACCCAGGTAGGTTTTGCGATTGATCGAAAAAAGGTCTTACATCCATATTAAATTTTATCAAATCAAAATGATGGCCAAAATATTGATGCTGCAATTTGATTTCATAAATCTACGTTATTATCGAGCTGTCTTCTTCGTGTTCAACGTATAAAAGTAAAATATATAATAAGAGAATTATGAAGGTACTTATACCATTTTTCACTTCTATGAGCAATGTATTTTTAAATGCAAAGTATTTTTATACACTTGACGCCTCCGACACTTACTTTTTACCTATTATAAGAAAAGACAATCATAAATATAACAATTAATCAAAAAGTATGAATCATCTTTTTTACTGTGAAAATAAAACGAAGAAATCGACAACGATTACTACAATAGTCAAAATTTTATTACATAATCATAATGAATTTTATGTTATACATCATTTGTACTGCTTTTATTTAACGTGGATTTACTTATGAAAACTGAACAAATATTTGATGATGCATATTTCAATTGTCAATGCATAGATTTCAGAGCGGTCTAGTTCTGGCGAGGTTTACGGAATGGAATCAATGTAATGAATCGGGGTGAAGAGGTTGGGACGAGGCTAGGGCGGCCGCGCAGCCCGGGGGCCGAGGGCGGCGTCCGACGGCAGTCGCGCGCTAACACGTGCGTGCAACACTTTGCGCCGTTTGCACAGAAAATTTCGCGCCCTTCTCACCCCTGGCTGTAATAAAAATATTACGAAATAAACATGAATGTGTCGAGATAAACAAACCGTGATTTGATAACGTGGGTAATGTAATTTACAGTGCATATCTCAGATTTCGGCGGGAAATTTTATCATTACATTAATAAGTATGTCATAGCTTATATTAGATTTAATATAGAAATTAGGCCTATACTTGGATGTGAGAGGTTGATAATGGATATGTCAGAAAAAAATCACTATAAATTGAGTTGTTTTTAATCGATAGGTTTCGTTTATAATTTTGTCATTATAGTGTTTTTGCATTCATTTGTTATTTTTTAATGAAATTTGGAACCTATAAGCATGTTCCGAATAATAGGTAAAATCATTTATAAGGTTTTGTCAATTGCCAATATTTGGCCTTTAAATTAGGTGTGTTGTCCCAGAAACTGCTACTTAGCGACGGCTCGAGGATGATACGCAGCCTTTTATAAAAAGTGAATTGCACCTAACTACTACTAATACAGCATTGATTAACTTTTTTAAAAACTAATAGTAATAGTACTGTACAGTCAATCATCTTTATAGGTAACTAACGAATGTCTAAATATATTATAATTTTGGTATATCACGCCACATTAGTACAGAGTTGTTAGTTAAAATATTGTTTAAATTATTCTTACTCTGAGCTTACTGCCTAGACTATTAATGGTTAGTAAATATTAATATTTTAATTCCAGTCCAGTTCTTTAGATACAAAATTGTAGTCAGGAAATTGCGAGTAATACCAGGTTGACGTCATACAATAATACATTGAAGAGCGTCATTTTCAAAGTTAACAAGAAAATGTAACATGTTATTATGTTAAAGTTATAAATGTATTATTCCTCTACATATAATTATAATAAATATGCTGTCTACGAGTACTCATTATGGAAGACCTATAACAATGATTTAACATGAAGATGGTGTTACCGACACAAAAGATATATAGTATTTTACACAGACCTAGGTAGTATTTACCATAATGAACAAACACATTTCATAGTCTTTAATTTATTTTTGTTGAAAATCGATGACTTCTGAAAAATATAAATACATCTTATGGTTCAATGAAAGTTATTCGAGGTTATTCGTTTAACTCCCGAATTAATTAACGCGATTTATTAATTACGTCGCTTTGTGCTGATGAGTATACTTAACCGCATTTTGACTCGTTAGGTAATATTTAAAAAAAATCGAATAGATTGATAGGGATATTATTGTTTATAAAGTTTGCGTTCATATTTGATAAATTAACTAGAAATACTTCAAAAATCCCAAAGGAAGATCAGGTTATCAATTCGAAGTGTAACTTTTGTTGTATTGGTTTAGAATATATTAATAGGCAACACTGATTATTCTGCCTCTTTAGCTTAATGGTTAACTCACATAGCGTATAGTGTCCGGGTTCTAGTCACGACGTAATATCATTAATTAGCCGATTTTTGTGATATGTAATAACTATAAAGTATAAATACGCTTACGATTCTTCTTTCGAATAGAAATAGGGTCTATATAGGGGTAAATAAATCTGTAAATTATCTGTTATAGGTATGTTATAACTATATTTCAATTTCCCTAACGGAATATTTACACGTTGTGAGGGTGGGTACATTTTTCATAATCTGAGTGTAGACTAAACTACGATTACTGAGAACGCTTAGTTGGGCTTTTTATTATTTATAAAAATAGTGCCGTAAGTAGGTGATAATAAAAAGAGGCCATTTGGTAATTAGTTGGTTATATGAAGCTCATATAAATAAATGTATTTTGTATATGCCGTGATTTCCATGGCCACTTCAGTCACAACGATTGTCAATATTGAAATGAGAATAGAACAATAATGTGGCAAGCGATGTTTAGTGGACATCGGAGTTAATGGACGGGTATGAGAACAATGTTTCAGCGTGTAATTTATTCATTACACGACCGGCCTCTAAGAGTAGATCGGAGATGAGTATGTCCAAATAGTTTTCCTTTGATTATATAATTGCGAAGGATACTATTATTATAAATATTTAATGGGTAATAAATTTATTGTAATATGTTTTTAGTAGGGGAGATGTATATACCTAGTCCAGCCATAAGTTCTGTTACAAATAAATTCATTTTTTTTAAAATGAAGTAATGTAATATTATTAAATTGTATACCTACATATTTATTGAAGTCTCAGCAAAAAATAAAAATTGGGCCAGTCTTCAGCTCTTATAAAGTCCGGAACGTTGGTTTCAAGCCAGGCTTGGGTAGTGCGTGCCTTGTGACCAGGTGCAGAATCCTGCTGGAAAGTCCACAGTATATTTTCAAAAAGTGTATTGCTGAGAGGTTTCTCAACATGATCCAAGACTGTATCTTGATACACTTTGGCTGAAGTTTCACTCCTTTTTTTACAAAAATGTAGTTTTGTGACTCCTTGATAAGACACGCCCCACTAAACCATCACTGACGCAGGATGATGATCACGTTGTACCTTTCCGACCACTTGAGCAGCTTCTTTAGAACTGTGAGCGTACACTTTATCATTTTGCTTATTGTAGTGTTCTTCAATCGTGAATTGTTTATCATCGGGAAATATGCTCTATTTCAGTGCTTTTCATCTGCGTATCGCGACAGAAGGCGTTTTGATCGATCCACTGTCCTGTAATTGTAAAGATTGATTTAGGACATGTCCTGTATATCGACGATAAGCACCGAGCAGGTCTTGATTTACAATACGCGACAGAGTCCTAGCAGATTTCTCGCGATAAGACCTCTTGCTTCCCAATGGGGTTACGTCGAATTCTGGCTTTAACAGCCTTTGTAGTTCTAACAGCACGCGAAGTGTTGTGTATCTGTTAATAGTACGATATACGAACATACGGCTGATACCAAGTTTTTGAAGTGTCGGGAATATGCCCGATGGCTCCATACTCACTTTGTGCAAGGCGATCACTGCAATCCTATTTTCTTTAACAGCCCATTCCATATTGATATTTGATAATGAAAACGACAAAATATGTGAAATAGCGCAAAATCGAAAGAAGTTTTTAAAATAATATACGTGTTCCAAATTCAAAATATGTAATTAAAAAGTTGAAAAAAAAATAAAAGTTTTTATGTAACAGTAGGTATTTATGGTCAGACTAGTTATTTCGTAGAAAAATAACAGAATATATGTATTTTATATTTGAGAAAACTTCATTTCTTATCTTCCTGTAGCAGCATAACGTTCATAGAGAGCACACTCCCTTATTCCTTAATCTTCTTATTTCGCTTTGCTTGGGGTGTCAGTATGGTTTTGTAAAAAATTTATTTATTTATATGTCAAAAAAATATTAAATCATCTTATTCAAACATTTGTTTTAGGATAATGTCATTTGTGAGTACAATAAACATAAATCTATATTCGGTCAGACATTAGCAACAATTGAAACAAAATTGCTTAAAATGGCATATCTATGATGAAAAGCATGAAAATGGAGAAAAGGGAAAGATCGGGTTTATCTCGAATTTGTATATGTCTTGAACCACCATGGAGCTTCGACGACCCTTCAGATGAAAAATTATATTTGGCGTACACTCAACGACAAAGGCAAGGCGCCGTGCTACGGTGGATCTCTCTGGGAATATTATTGCAGATATTCATTGCTTTGGTACCAGGCGAAGCTAACTTAAAGTTTGCGTATGCATCCGTAGTTATTGGTACGGTACTAAACTTAAGTTTGGTTATAGTATATGCCGTTTTGCCAAAAGTACGTCCTCTCCTAAACCATATAGCATGGCTAGTTCTTTGGATCCAACTCCTTGTGAGCACATCACGAAGAGTCGGAGATTCATACAACGAGTTACTGGGTTGGGCTATTGTTCTACAATACTTCACGCTAACTACTTTACCATTTCATCACCTGTTGCTCATAGTATACAGCGTAATTTCCTTTACTGCATTTCTGCTAGTGCAAAGTTATAACGCTACTGTGGGGGAAGTTGAAATAGAAGGAGATGTGACAATTCAGGTAAGAATATAATGAATTTTTAAATATTTAATAGAGTGTTAATAATGCCCACTTTTACCGGATTTAAATGCTCATCACAGTATGGAGTGTTGAGTTCATTGAAATCAGTTAAATTTGCGCTCCCAAAAGCCTACTCGTAGTTCTAGTACTTGACAGTCTTATTAATATTTTATTGCCAAAAACATGACTGCACTTGTTTTAAAAATCACCAGATTAAATTTGTACCAGTGCATACAAAGCACATTCTGCTGTCTATTACAGCGGGTTAGGGAATGTATAGATAACGTAAAATTGTTTTTTACTACAAAAGACTGTATCGTGTGCAATTACTAGAACTAATATAAGGATCTAACAAAATGGCTACTATTGGACATTTAATTAGCATGTGTCAATTTAAATGTTTCATTTAAATTTTAACTCAATAATGTACGTGTTGTAGCAAGTAGCAAATGGGTGCCTATTACTGGGAGCTACGTTATTAGGAGGCACAGCATACTTCATTAATGAGCGGAAGCAACGACTATCGTTTAAGGAGACAAAACGGAGTTTGCGTGATAAACTTACGATCGAGCAACAGAGTAAGGAACAGGTAAGATAGTGGTTACACACACGAAAAAATGTTCCGCTATTCTTTGGTTGTAGCATTGGGTTTCCAAACAAATACAACATTAGGGCGTTTTCACAAAAGTATATATAATAAGTATTCCATTTACGACCCCTATATTGAAATATAGTTGGAAATTATTATTTCTTTAAAATTCATTGCGGTTGCGTTACAATTTTAGTATGGAAAACTATTCGAATAAGTAATTCAGAAAGTTTACCTCAAATTTTTTTTTTCTTTTTATGATTGGACAATTCACACCAATTGACCTAGTCCCATGCTAAGCTGGTGAAGCTTGTGTTATGGGTACTAGGCAACGGATATACATAGATAGACCTAACACATATAAATACATATATAAACACCCAAGACCTAAGCACAACACCAAATGCTCATCACATCGATTGTTGTCTCAGCCGGGGATCGAACCCGGGACCCATGGATTCGCAGTCAGGGGTACTACCACTAGACCAATGAGCCGTCAAATAAATATATCCGTAAAGTATTAACGGGTCACCAGGTATTCAAAACAATTTTTGTTATTTTATACCAGACCGCTTACACACTCATTGAAATGAATGTGAATACTCAACTAATACTTCAGTATGGCGATGTCTGTAGGATAGTTTTTAAAATTCGAATTAAAATAAGTCACATTGATATTTTTTTAATATGGCAAGTAGGTTCTATGCGTATCATCATAAAACAATAATTATTTGGTGTTTGATTGAACGTGATCCGTGAAATTCTAAGGCTTACTTATTTTGATTAGCGCTAAATATGGCGCGTATCTTCAAAAAGGTTTTGGATTTTGATATACGGGATCTATAGTCGTATTTTTAATTAGACGAAGTCAACTGACGTTTACGGTGTTGTCAGTTTTTAATGAAATAAAAATAGTGTTGTGACAAAGTAAAAACCCCTGAATTAATGATCGGTGATTGCACTAGTCGCCGCGCCGCGCTTTGTAATAAGCCGTCAAAAAACTGATTGTAGTTACATAGTACTAGTACCTAACTTATATCAGAGCACTTTTATACAATTTTCAAATAGAAATATTATTCTTTTATAGTTTGAAATGATTAACTATTCACACTCATTGTTCATTCATCTGATTGAACAAGAACTGAACGCAGCACTATTACTTTAAATATGGCAACATTATTTTACAAAGTGACATTAGCTACTGTCAGTTGGCTTCGTCTAATTAAAAATACGACTATACGTCATTTGATATATGTAGTTGGATCTACGTCTCGACACTGAATCGAACCCATAGATGTGGTTTGCTTCAGTTACCAAAAGGCTTTTCTTATATTATCTATTATAATAGTAATATATTTATATTATCAAATAAAAACACACATTCAGTCATCTTCCTCGGCTGACCTAATTTTGTCTCCGTACTAGTTCTACTTAAACAACGCTGTCGATTTTGAAATGCACAAACTAATTTAAATTTAGCATAGCCCTATTATAAAATATATAAATAATTTTAATTGCTAAATTAAAACAGCAACACTGGAAATAACTAAATTTGGAATATCTTAGTAGTAAATCGGAATCCTTGGGTTTTAAACAATAATGTACGCTTATGTAGGGCAAAGAGTGAAAATATTATTTTCAGGAAAGGTTACTGCTGTCCGTATTACCTGAACACGTCGCCGTTAAAATGAGAGCTGACCTGGGTTGCATAGACACGCAGTTTAAGAAAATATATATGTCGAGACACGAAAATGTAAGGTGAGAAATCGAAACAAGCCTACGAACATTGTATTGATGACAGAAATATATTTATATATGTATTTCAGCATATTGTATGCGGATATAGTGGGTTTTACTGCGATATCATCATCCTACTCGGCGCAAGATCTTGTGGCAATATTGAATGAATTGTTTGCACGATTTGATCGATTAGCAGAGGTGAGTGAATGTGTTTTACTCTTAAAAAACTTATTTTTTCTATCATTCTTTTATGTGCATATAATATTAACCAACACATATTTTGAAAAGCGTCTAAGTTATTTTTCTGATGCAATTTAATCATTTCACCAGATATTCGTTGTTTATTCTATATAATAGTTAATATATAGAAAAAGTCAGTTATTATAAAAAGACGCTATATACAATTACCAGATTTAATACAGGCTAATAATAAAATAACCGTTTAAAAAATAGTGACCATTGGTTGTGGCCTCAGGTTTCTGTAATTCTGTATCTTTTTTTTACAGACAAATAGGTGATCCACTTTCTAAGTCTGAAATTCCTAATTGTTTATACAAATAGTTATATTTTTTTAGAAATATAATCAGTTACGAATAAAAATTCTTGGAGATTGCTATTACTGCATTAGTGGAGCGCCGGTGGAGAGACCCGATCATGCCGTACTCTGTGTGCACATGGGATTGTCAATGGTTAAAGCTATCAAGTAAGTATTTAAGATTATATAAAGCATTTTATAAAATCTGTCAAATTCACTTACTGTTTTGGCGATCCTGAAACGTTGAAAGCAAATACCCGAAAACTGCAACATTTTAATTATTTTTATAATATTATAGATTATTTTTATTGCCAAATTATGGACCCGAATTACTTATTGTTATTCTAGATTTCACTATTTATGCGTTATAAACTTAGCCTCTATCTTAAGCTTTATGATCCAAAGTTATTGATTATTTACATAAGGCTCGCTTAAGCCCAGTAACAGCTGTTCAGTGTACGTCAGTACGCAAAGACAATTAAAGTAAATTGATTGACATTGGTTATATTAATCAAAAGTATTCTAAATTCAATTTTTTTAAATAACCCCTCCGCCGCGCCGTTAGCCGCATTTAGGTTATATTACACTCGCAGTTTAAAATATTCATAAAAAAATAACGTATTAATAAAAGCTAATGTTTTATGTAATTATTAAATTTAAAACCTGTTACATAAAAAATTTATTCAATCAAACAACAACAAACACATAATATTTTATATTCTAATTGATAAAAAAGATTTTTGGTTGTTCTTTGGAATAAATGTTATATTATTTGTTTTGTATACTCCGTTAAATTTTCTATTTTTGGTTTAATGCGTGCTATTCCAAATCTGATTGGATTGTGGGGCCTTGAGTGATAAATCACTGAGTAAGGTCGCCCATTAGAAAAAAGTACAATTACAGACAATTTCTTTTATCATTTGAAGTAGATATTATAAATTTAACTTATTATGAAATTAAGTTTAATATGTAAATCTGTTTTATTTTTATATAAAATTAAAAATAATAAAACGCAATATTTACAACATTTTAAATAGTATTACCGTAATTTAATAAAACGAACCATAAAATAACAAAAGGGGCAAATAAACCGAGAATATTTTTGGGTAGACGTCGGCACCCATAATAGTTGTTTAAAAAATAATATTTATTTAGGTATGTACAGCGGATAACGAACTCCCCAGTGGATATGCGAGTTGGTATTCATACTGGGGCAGTCCTAGCCGGGGTTCTGGGTCAAAGGCAGTGGCAGTTTGACGTGTATTCAAGAGATGTGGAACTTGCGAATAAGATGGAGAGCAGTGGAATGGCTGGGTGAGTGCACTAAGACTTAATATAATGGATTTTGACATACAGAAGAATACGCGTCTAGTCTAAACTCGAAATCTTGTCCTGTGTGCAAAGTAATTCTTGAATTTGTCAAATAGCCTTAGGATTTAGCAGCTTCGAGAGTTAGACATCGGGGAGACGTTGCTTTTGTTAATTTGACTAAGATTTTTCTTTGTAACAGTAGGGTTGCAGCGCTATTCAATGAGTTTACTCCTAAACTACTACGTCCCGTGATGTGTCTTCATATTTATAATAATAATAATAATTTAATTAGGTCATCATTTCTCTTTTGTCTGACGTATCAGTTTTATTATTGGCGGTGACTGTGTCCTGTTTTTATATATACGAGATTTCGATTGTTCTATAAAAAAAAACTCCAAACTCCAAATAATCTCTATACCGAAAGTATTTTATATTTTTCACTCGTCAAAATTCAACAATCCCCATTCGCTGCAGGCTTCTGTCAATTTCAACGAATGTAGCACTGATTTTTTTAATGCTACTATTTTTTATGAGACGCTAAACTCATTGAATAATATTGTAAGTTTATTGAATTTATATTGAATCGGAGGTTTTACGATACAATTATTATTTTACATAATAAAAGTTGTCTATGATATATATACGTAATTTTCTTTATAAATATATAAATCATCTGTGCGTGTGTATGTAATTAACTTCTCCCGGATGACCTGCTTTTTCTAGTGGCCTCGGGAATGGTTTTGATTTATCATTAGCTGATTTTTTTTTTGTATTTCTAACCAGTGTACAGGACGAAGTTTGGTCTGCTTGTTTATTATATATGAAACCAATGATAGTTGGTAATATTAAATCTGGTGCTTATCCGGTTTCCGTAATTATTAATCTATGTATATAATATAGCCAAAAACAGAGTGCCTCAATCCGTTAAAAATCATTTGAATCGATTGAAACGGCATGGGAATTATTAATTATATAATCTTCCATACAGACAGTGATTTTACTTCGAATCTTTAATCTGACGTTTAATGTGGGAGAATTGACTCATAATTTATACTAAAGTAGAATAAAAATATAACGGTCAAGGCTTTTACATAAAACTTCTATATAGGACATAAACGCGAATATATTTTGATGTTGTCTCTGGCTGACCATGATTGCGAAACGCTATGTAAATAATATCAGTTCTCGTTTATATTGCAATAACTTCGTGATTAAAAAGAGTGGCGAAGGGTTACTCGCCCGATCTACGCGTTATTTGCGATATTATTGTTGGAATTTGGATAAAATTTGAGTAGTAGGTATCTATTTTCAACCACGTGACTTTGAAATCGTTAGTCTTACATATATGTTTGTCCACAAAAATCTCAAAAACGAATCAGTAACTATTTCAGGATGATCCTTTATTATTTGAATGTAGGTAATTAGGTTTATTCCAAGTTTTACAAAAATTTAGTACTTTTTGATGTATTTAAAGTAGTGTTAATTACTTTTTATTGTATTGTAATTATGAAAACTGATGCTAGTAAAAACAATAAGTTTGAATATATCAAAAATATATTAAGCATAATCGCTTGCAAATATTATATAATTCGGTTCTGATTATAACTCAAGTATGATTTGTATAATGACATTGTAATATTCATAGCTCAGCGGAAACTAACGAAGTTGACCTTATCTCAGAAGACTTCAGTTGATATTTGGAGCAGATAACTTTCCTCTTGCCTTTTATAACTAATGTCATACTAAGCTAGTAAAAGCGCTTTGTTAAAATGCAAACAAAATATTTAGAAATAGTGTGCTAAACGCAGTAACAGACAATTTACTAACAGTGTATATGTATACTTTTAATGAGTGTATATATTATTCCTTTCTATAATAATAACCAGCATTGTTTTACCTACTCACAAATCGAAAACGCCTGTCAGGCACCTACTTGTAATGAAAATTATCCATAAAACAGGCGCAAATCTGTTTCGTGCCCGCTTGCGTGGTTAGGGAACTTCCTATAAAATATTATGTATTGAATAAATAACATGTGTATTTTCTTCGTAAAAGTAATGTCGATTCGTAGTAAGTCCAAATTGCATACATTTTATTACATCTACATGCTCATAGCGAGTGATGAGTTACGACAAATAATTTGCGGCACGCCATAACGGCGTAGAGCTCTTATATTAGCAAATTAAGGTCATCGACCTTGACCTAAAGATGTAATGTTTATTCCCGGAATGTCGATAATAGCGCATGGTTTCAAATTATTTTGAGACTGAATTTTATTATATAAATACCATATCAAGTACCGTTAACATATTATAGGTTGTTGTTTTCGGAGAGTTTAAATCCAGAATCACTTGAATATTTCGCCAGAAATTGATCCTAAAGTTATAAAAATACTTTTGCCGTTGTCAATTAAGCACCAGGATTGGTTTTTCTAGAAATTTTAAATATAAATCTATATAGCCTCGTTTAAACAGGTATAGCTTACACATAATTTTTTAGTTGTAGTAAGAAACTTCCAGTGCTAGACAAAGAAAAGCAAATTTTGCTATATAAATTAGCTACATTTTGGTCGGAAGTTACACCGACTTTACGTTTTCTTAACATCAAATGATATTTAGTAGCAATTCGTATAATGCCGTCAAAGTTTAATTCTAAAAGTTTAATCAAGTCGAAGTTCTAACATAAATGGAGTAAGTGTGACCGTAGCCTTACACTCCAAAAGCTGTCAATGACAGATCGATTTGAGGGAAGTACGTTCGGAAATAATCTGTTAAGAGCATATTGGTTTATTTGCAAATGCAAATACAGAATACGGTTTTTGAATAGATTCTCAATATCTATCACGAAATGTTCTATATTGATTACACTATTATTATATATAAAGAGCAAAAATATAGATTATACTATTATGAACATATATACATATGTATACTAGAATGGCTAGAAAAAAATATCTTTCTGTAGTGTTTGATTATCTATGGATTTCAGCTAATCTGGGCTAGACTATTTTCCATCAAGGGCTTTAGGCAAGATCACTAACGCTACTACGCTTTGTCACGTGACCTTTCATACAAATTCGTTTGGAGATAGTGGGTCACGCCAGTCAAGAACTGACTTTGTCTCAAGCCCCAAGGCCCTTACTGTGTTACTTTCAATATTAAAGTCGACAGCGATACCCATCCCGACGATTTTGTATGCAAGTTTGATGTAGTTCTCTCAATATCCGTAGCGCTGATGTTGCAACCTTGGGATCGCGCGGAACAAAACTCATAATTGAGATCGGGGTCGCTGTCGGTATCTCTATTGGAAGTTACAGAGTACAGAGTAAGGGCACAGGTTTTACTTTGATGTAAGTTTGTATGAATCATAATTGTGAACCAATCAAATAATTGAATAATTAATTGAGATTCTTTATACAACAACAGTCATAACGATCATTGCTCATAGCGCTTAACCAGGATATATGCTGCATACTATAACGAAAGATATCATGTGAAAAATTAAATTTAAAAAGTAATAAGTTTTATATTTTACTAGCATCGCAAAAAAGAGTTTCTAAAAATGAAATAAAAAAATAGTAATTCAACGAAATAGATGAAATTAAAACGAACTGCAGGTTTATATAGATAGGTACTTATATCGTAGTTTTTACGAACACATAAAAGGTACAATATAAATTACGTATATCAAAAATGTATGTAAACTCTAATATTTATCTTTAGACACGGAAACGTAAATTATAGCAGGCCGTATAAATGTCTTCATATACAAACTTTCATCACCCTTTTAAAAGCTAATAGCTACCTGCCACACGTTATTTATAAGTAAAAGTAGATTTCGCAATAATACCAAGAATTACTAAAGTAATTTTCATTTTCTAAATTTCATAGAGAACAAATGGTTTGATAATTTTTGAGTTTGTTCAGGAATACCGAATATGTGCATCGCGCTTACCGACCATTATCTGTACTGATTAATTATAAATACATAAATCTAAATCTGAATAATGTTGCATTTAATGTAAAGTCAGGTAAATACCTATTTTAGCTTAATGTACTCGTACGTGCTAAACACGAGTCACTCTTAATTAACGACGCCGAGTACGACTGTTACTATAAAAAAAAAATACATTCACTCATTTAAAGCGAATCGATCTTTTTTAAATTAAGAATCGAGTAAAATTTAACCTTTTGACCATTCTGTCACTATTAAGGTAGATATTTTAAATACTGCCTACGTCCCGCTGCTTTAATGTTCATTTATTTAAAGTTATATAAATTATTGGATAATGTTTGTGTGTAAGGGACGAGAGAGACTAATTGTAAACATTTAATTATAGATTAGTAGAATGCTATTAAAAGTGAAAGTGTTATAGGCGTGTGCACGTGTCGGAAGTGACGCGTAGCTTCCTGAAAGACGAGTTTGAGGTCGAACCCGCACATGGCGAACGGCGAGAGGAGATGCTGCGTCAGGCCGGCATTAAGACATATTTTATTGTTAAGGTATGGTTATATATAACTTGAAATTGAGCAAATTGTAACTGAATATGTAAACCAAAAGCTTCTTTAACGTTTTATATGATAATTATTATATATAATTTTGATATTAGGTTTATAGTCATCGCCATCTATTGAATCATAATGTTTACTGTTGGGTATTTACAAATATATACTTAGTTTTTCTTTATGTTTAAGTAAGATTTTAATCATCTCTAAATATCTTTTTGATGACTACTTAATAAATTTAAACAACTTTAAAAAAATATTTATTTAAATAGAAAATTAAAACTGCAATGATTATATCAAGGAATTGCCGTTTAAATAACGAGTCGGTTTTATTTTTAAAACATAGTGTAGAGTGACTGTAAAAAAAGATAAATCAATTACTGGTGAAGTACACTTATGAATTAAATAAAACATACTATAGAAAAATAAAACATCAATCGCTCTTCGTACCCAAGTAACCACTGTTTTAGTACGTTAAAATACTATATTGACTTATAGTACAAAGGCAGCGAAGAAAAATGTAATGAAGGTGAAACGGGTGGTGGCGACTGGCCCGACGTTCTCTCCGACCTCAAAGACGACGATGAGGACTCAGTAAGTACACTGATAATCCCCATCTACCTCCCTTTACCCACCTGACGAATATGGGACAGTGGGGTAGTGGGCGGCCGTTATTACTCCACTTATTTAAGTTGTTGCGCTAGTTAGCCGAAATCATTTCAAAATATGCATACAGATCGCGTTTTGACAATTTTACAGTTGAATTAACTTGTGTTCAATAAGTCTTACCTACTGAATTTTAAACTATATACACGATTACATTGAAAAGTAAATAGTTAATATTTATATAGTAATTTGAAGACATGTTACTCATATAATTTAAAAATGCATGTATCGTATCGCTCGTTGCATGTATTTTCTTTAGTGATGCATTCATATCGATCTTATGTCGGCTCTTTCTTATGTAGGTAATATCTCCGCAAGATGAAACACATATCACAGAGGAGATTAAGATACATACCATGTTACAAGAAGAGCTTGTCAATAGGGATGATGATAGGTAAGTTTACATTTACCTAATATGATATCAATTAATTTTATATATATACAGAGTAGTTTTAAGACGTCCAGGTTAGTTTATTATTACATATAATACGTATTATATAGGATATTTAATGATGAGCTTTTAAACCATTCAATAAGTCCCATAAGTTTTAAATAATCGTGAATCTTCAGTTTTTAATATTTTAGCTTCGCTTTTTTATAAATTTCCTAACACATTAAATAAGGTTTAAGGGATTATTGAAATTATTATTTTAAACGCGATAGTTTATTTTTAATTTCAAGAAATTTTATACTAATAGAAAATTTATCTTAATTGGTACATCTAGTAGTTTCAATATTGTACAATGTAGTGTCCATAAATAAATACATTCCACTCCACTGAGTTTACGACCCAAAATGTGTCCGCCCTCCGAAACAAGAAACTTTCAGCGCTTCCTGTCCCGTGAAACTTCCCGTCAATTGCCGGTCTAAATAAATAAAAATAATCGTGCGCTTTGAATATACTATATAACTATTAGACCAGTCAGTCAAGACAATTAATTCATAATAATTCCAAAAGTTTTCAAATTTTGATGTAAGGTCGGGAGTGGTATTAAAACAACTATAAAATTTTGCAACCTTCTCTGCGGTCCGGAACATTGTTAAAAATAAGTTTTGGTCGTGAAAAAAATTCCAAAAGTTCTGCAAACTTGGGGAAGTTTTCGATATAATATTTCATATCACGTATAAAATTTGCAACCAACCTAAGTGTACGGAACATTTTTTGTTATTAAAAATTAATTTTTTCTTTATTAAACTGAAGGAAAACGTTCCAAAAGTTCTGCAAATTTGACAGATATATCGAAAATAAAATAAATAACAAAAAATGTTCCGTACACTTAGGTTGGTTGCAAGTTTTATACGTGATATGAAATATTATATCGAAAACTTCCCAAGTTTGCAGAACTTTTGGAATTTTTTTCACGACCTACAGCAAAAATTAATTTAATTGCAATTTTAAAATGTTCCGGACTGGGACAAGGTTGCAAATGAGATTTATTGTCGTCCCAATGTACCATTCACTTGACCGAAGTTTGAAAACTTTTGGAATTATTATCAAATTTTCGATTTCGAATGTCTATAATGACTGGCCTATATGTTATTAAAGCAAATGTGATGTGGATATTATCGTCACAGCTATTTGTGCACGTTTTCATGAAAAAGGAAGGCTAAGTTAAAAAAATAATATTAAGGCGAAACGAAGCTAGTTAGGGGGCATCTAGTTATTAATAATATTAGGTCCTTACATATGAAATTGGCGCTTTGTATGGGAGGAACAAAAAGTAGACTTTTAAAAAATAGAATATATTTAATTAATCAAAGTATGTACCATGGCTATCTATGCACTTTTGCCATCTTATAGGTAGTTCATTGATCCCTTTACTAAAATAAACAATTCGGACGGGAATCAATAAAATCTTTGATGAGTCGAAAAGATGGTCGACTGCCCCATCAGAGTTCAATTTTTTTACCTTGCAAGAAGTTATCCAAATTTCAAAAAAATGTCTTAGATATTCCACTTGAAGCTCCTCTAATTTGGTAGCAGTCTGTTGTGCAGTGTGTGGTCTAGCCTTGTCATGAAACAGCAGTGGCCTAGAGCGATCGACCAGCCTTGCTGACAATAGACATCTGCCGTAATCTAGCCGCATTTAAGAAAGTTATAGTGCACCCGGCACTAGTCCACCAAACGCGCACAAGTAAATTTTTCGGAGTCAATTTTCTCTTGGGGCATGATTTGGCAGGTTCGGCTGGGTTCAACCATTGCGATTAGCGCTTCCGATTATCTTACAGGATCCACTTTTGTAATGATTCGATTTAAAATCTCTTTATTATTGTACCGGTTGAGTAATGTAACACAGCAGTCGACGCGCGTTTATTTATTTACTTTATTCAATTCGTGAGGTACACACACTCCTTTGAAGCTTTTTCACCTTCCCAATTTGCTGCAAGTGGATTAAAACAGTTTCTTCACTAACACCGCAGCCTGCATCTAACTCAGACGTGGATTACGATGGATCCGCTTCCACAATAGCCTTCGATACTTCGTTATCAACTTTGGTCTCCGGCAGTCCACGGGGCTTGTTCTACAGGTCGAAATTTCCAGAACGAGAATGTTGAAACCAAAAACGCACTGTGTTTTCTTTTGCGACAGTACCGTACTCGATATTTTATGTTTTCCATTTTATAAATAGAGTGGCGCGAAGATAATTAATTTAAACAGGAAAATGAATCATAGTTTTCCAAAAACAAATTTGGAATTCCTACCCAAATAAATATTTGAGGTCAAAGTTGCCAGTATGACAAAACGCTAATTTCATATGTAAGGACCTAATATTATATCTCCACAACTCAAACGCAAAATATGTTTAGTAATAATAATTAATTGAAGGCATTTACGTCAGAGAGCCTCTGAGAGGGTCTGAACTCTTGCAAACTAATAATAGTTTAAAGTTTAACATTGAGTTTCTCGCAAAGATTTACTATCATTGGAGTAGTACTATTTCTTGGAGTAAGTAGTCGTTCATTTTTTATTACTTGCAGTAAGTAAACGTCATACCGTTTTTTCCAGGGAACTTGCTGACGGTACCACGATTTGTTTGACATTTAAAGAGAATGAGATAGAGAGCGGTTATGCGCAACGTGGAAACTCTTATCCGCAAGCAATTGGAGCACCACCAATGATAATTCTACCAGCTCTGACTCCCATTATTACCTTTGCTGTACCCAGTACGTGGACTTTCCACGCATTTTACATCGCCCTAGTATTGGAAGCATGCGCGCTTAATATATTATACCTAATTATATTTCGTTACGCGCAGTATAAGGTATGTATCATATTTTTTATAATATTTTTTCTCTAACCTTACTTCTATATCTTTATTTAATACAGTCTTCTGTTTGATTTTACGCAAATAATTACATTTAACGTTTTAGTCATTGTTAAATTGTTGGCGTTAACAACTATAAGTTTTCTTCTTTTTAGAGTAAAAAGATACCAACATGTTGGAAGCTAGCGTGTGGTATATTCAATATCGCAGTCTTCCTAGCATTAAACGTAATTCCACTGGTATGTACTATTAGAAATATTAACAATATATAAGTAAAATGAATTGTTATTAATGTATGTATTGAATTTTGCAGATTGTCTGTGGTTTCATGGAAACTAACCCCGATGAAGTTGAGTTAAATGAAAATTTTTTTGGCTCCAGAAACCAAAGATGTCTACATACTTCTTATTATTATCATGTAAGTAAAAAAAAAGTATATCATAAATTAATCATATATAAATCGATATTATATTTTAATGATTTATGATGCCCTACGTCCCTGTGACAATGAACTAACTTACGCAATAAAACCATTTTAAGCACACGCACAAATTCATAGGCAAGCAGCAAATACGTCTTATACGAGGAAGTGTATAAATCGTGTTATTGTGTTACTATATTATATTATTGTGTAGATTTTTTAAACGCATAGTTTATTAATAAACAAGTGAAGGATGAAATCATTAGATTAGCACCTAAAACAAAATGTACTATGGCCATAATTGCTGGGTTTTACAATAAAAATACTATCTCCAAAAAAAGTAGTAGTAAAAAGCTCATATTTATCAAAGGTCCCTGAAACTTAAAAATATCTAAGATTCTACTTAGGATAAATACTCTTGATACACTTTGCTTAACCATTAAATGTAACTACTAAATAATCTATTTAAATAAACAAATATAGTAAAAAACAGTATTTGTCATAAATCCATTCGTCTCAATAAGGTCCAAGACTCTTCTTAAAACTACTTCTCTTAATTACTTTATATTACCATTAAATATCTTAAACCCATAATATTATATCTCAGACCTATATATGACCTAATTTTTGTAACAGCTAGAAAACAGTTTCTAGTAGTTTCTTTGGAGAAAGATAAAATATTATGCGTTCGCGTTTTTATATTTTATTTTAGATGGGTGTCGGCGTAGCCTGTAGTGTTCTATGGGTCCGTCCGCTTCGCGAAGGCTACCGTCTTTTACTGCTAACAGGAGTTGCAGCTGCCCACGCGCTGCCAGCCGCCTTGTATCCCGCCCTACTGGATCGGTACCGCCCGCCCTTCGCCCCTTACCTCAATACCACTGGAGACCCGACTATAGATTTGATGTTAGTTGTGTACGTGTACGAATTCCTTAAATATTTTTTGTATAGTGTGCATGTGATCTATAATTTTTGTAAGCCAATGTTCCAAGCCTTAACGTACCTTAGCAACTTTACCCATACTAATACTAAATTATAATTTTATACCATTCGAACCTCTGCCTTGTGTGTTATTATTATCACATTCAAATCTGAGCACTTACTAGGTAACTGTTGGACTAGTGGCTTCAGCATGCGACTCTCATTCCAGAGATCGTAGGTTCGATCCCCGGCTGTGCACCAATGGACTTTCTTTCTATGTGCGCAATTAAAATTCGCGAAAGTAAAAATCGTGAGGAAACCCGTTTGCCTTAGACTCAAAAAGTTGACGGCATGTGTCAGGCACAGAAGGCTGATTACCTGCTTGCCTATTAGATTGATTGATGACCATGAAACAGATACAGAAATCTGAGGCCCAGACATAAAAAGATTGTAGCGCCACTGATTTATTTTTTATATTTTTTATTGGAAGTTTCAGAGTAAGAACACTGATTCCTTTTCAATTCTAGAAAACTTTTTAAATCAATATCAACAAGCTTTTCTGTTTTGTCTATGAAATAATATTTTTTTATTTCTACTTAACATACATTATCATAGATTTTAAATGTACATAATGGATCCAAAGGGCCACGATATTATTTATAAGCGATTAAACATTTTAGGAAGAATACGAAATTGAATGACGACGTCGTGAACAAGACATTCATTATTTATTTTAATTAACTTCAGTCGAAGCTCGAGAACTTTCTTTATGATAATTCTCACGTAATGCTAGGAAGCTTAATTTTAACCAAATGACATATAATTATAGTATCCTATATATACGAGGCCTTTACCCGTGAAGGGTTTCCGATCGACGGTACTGAAGGAAGCTATAATATAGAATAACAAGCAAAAAAAATGTATAAAAATGTAAAATAATCTAAGCTGTGTAATATAATTTGTTTTTGTCATGATTGGAAATAAAACGGGCTTTATTATTATTATATATATGTATACGAGTAGTATCAAGTAGGCGAAGTTGATGATGTTTTAAAGAACATAGAACAGTTTTCACAACAGCCTTCACAAAACAAGTACCTACTTATTAATTAATGATAACCTTATTATTTCGCCGGACTCGAATGGAATCGAGCCCAGAAATAAGGTCGATCTACTAATGAAGGCAGTAAATATGTATTTGATACAGTATATGTTAACTTTTTATAGCTTTAAGTCTTATTGATTATATTCCAGATCACAGATACACCCCGGAAGACACATTCTGATGATGTTCATAATTATCATAGGATTGGTTATATATCATAGATATGTAAGTGATAATACTTTAATTTCTTATTTTAATGTAATAAATTGGTACAATTATTTTACTAGTTTCTTAATATTCACTTCACTGATTATTTCTTCACACGATTTGTAAAAATTACTTATTATTGGACACCTGTATCTCCAAAAACGCAACACGATTAAAATAATCACAAAAAATGTTTGAATTTTATTTTTTCTAAATATAGAGTGAGTCGGTGGAGCGAGCCCGCTATTCCCGTGGCGTTCGTATGCGTGGCCAGGCCGAACAAGCGAGAGAGTTGCGACGTCGGAACGAAGCCCTTGTTCATAATGTCCTTCCACCACACGTCGCCACACACTTTATGGGCGCGAGGCACCACCACAGAGACCTATACAGCCAAAGCTATGCTGAAGTCGGAGTGCTATTTGCCTCCATGCCTAATTTCACAGGTACTATGTATATGTAGGTTATTTCGGCAACGCGCTTGCGAGCTCTGCTCTTCAGTTCATGCGTGCGTTTGCCGTGTACCATACAATTAAATTAGCTGTTTTTGTTTGTTTGTTTTTGATTAGATTTTTGAAATACCAGAATAGTTTAAAATTTATTTTATTGTTTAAACCGCCTTCGTGGTGTCATTTCATTTATCTAATTTAGAGAAAAGTCTTTAAGTTTTTGCTGAAACAGCTGCTAAAGACTTTGAATGAAAATAAGAGGCACTGAAATCTTCTTCATCTGCTTATGGGTTTAAACAAACATGATAGATTAAGAAAACACCTGTGCAATGAGACATGAAGATGTCTCGTGATATATTTTCCTACTAAAACAAATATATAGATATCGCAATATTAACATTCCATATTCCGGTTACAGAGTTCTACTCGGAAGAAACAGTCAACAATCAAGGTCTAGAGTGTTTACGATTTCTCAACGAAGTTATATCCGATTTCGATCTTGTAAGTATCTGTTTTTATTAAACATCTAAAAATACATCAATAGACTGGGTTTTCTAAACAACATAAAACTTTGTTTGGACTTACAGTATCTATGGTGCGTATGTCGAATTTGCATAATCTATACAATATATATTTTCAGTTTATTTATGTTATTTGTTGGAGTTTGATCTATTTAATTTCAAATATCAAATGCGAATTCTATTTAAAAATGTATAGCTGGATATACATACTATCCGTTATTTTTATGCCGTTTTGTTGTTTGTTGTTAAACAGGAAAGTTATAGCTCATAATAGAAATATAAATAAACGATTTCAGTGTGGGTTTTTTTTCAATTTGAATAAAGTATATATTTCTAAAAGATAATTCTGGCTTGAATTTTTGAAAACTATTGCAGCCTTCTTTGAGTATATATTAATATTAATATTTAAGAAATATTCACCAAAGCAGCGATGGTCTTAATTTGTTCGTACTATACAGTTTAATGTCAATCAATGCTATAATTATATAAACATTATCCCCCTTAAAAAACAAAAAACAGTCTTATTGCAACATTAAAACTAAAGTACTTATCTGTCTGTTTTCGACACAGCAGAAAACTATTTGTCTGGAAAAGACAAAAGAGTGCAATTAGAGTTATTTAGTTATTATGAAAGGTTTTTAATAATTATGCACATATAATTCAATAAATATCTAAGTACCAAGACCTAACTATGACTACTCCCTAAGAAACTTTAATTTGATTTTTCTATATAAATCCATGAGCATTTGATTACACGGAAATATCTTAAGTGTAAAAAAATATGAAATATTTATTTTTTATTTGTAATGCGTGCTTGTTGTGTAATTATTGTTACTTAGAGTATACACATAGATATGGACACGACCATTTATTTTTAATCCGACCCGATATATATATACATCTATATGGGGTCGGAATTTAATATTTTAAACAACAGCTCTCAATGTTTCCATGTAAGAACGGCATCATGTATTCTACAACAGCAAATCTAACCTAGTCATTCTAATTATTTTCAGCTACTAGAGGAATCAAAGTTTAGCAAAGACATCATTAAGATAAAAACAATAAGTTCTACGTATATGGCAGCATCAGGACTCAACCCCACTCGCCAGATGCAGGTTTGTCGAATTTTAAAATTCTCTATTAGTAGTAGTAAAAGTTATAATATTTGAATTAGTCTTAGAGAAACGTAAGTTATTCTTAAGAGCTAAATACCGGTAAGTGGAATAAATAGAATTTGTAAGTAGTGTTATTGGACATTTTCTTATGTTAAAGATTTTTATTAGTAAAGGTTAGATATTACTTACTTATTACTCTTAAGTTAAACTAGATTGTAATTTCCAATAATGTCTCAGTGAATAGACAATTTATGAAAGAAAAATTCAAAACTTAACAAAACTTAAAACTGGTAAAAACTACACAAGTAAGAAGTACAAGATTAATTATCACGATATAACGAACACAAATTGGTTTAAACAAAAACACTAAACCTGTGTTTTCGCTGTCACAGATGTTTATGAATGATAGATGTTTTTGATTTCGTTAGTTTGACGCATTTATATACGGTAAAATGTTTTATTGGTGTAAACCTTAGGGCTTAGACAATACGTTTTAGAAGTGTCTGTAATTTTAAATATTCTCTATGAAACTTGTCTATTTTAGCCGACAGATGGGACCCTAGTCCGCTGGGCACACCTGGCTTGTCTGGTAGAATTTGCGTTAGAACTGCAACGCGTGCTAGCGGCCATTAATGAGCAGTCATTCAATCACTTTGTACTGCGAATGGGGGTCAATCACGGGCCCATAACTGCTGGGGTCATTGGGGCTAGGAAGCCCCATTATGATATATGGGGGAATACTGTGAATGTAGCTTCTCGTATGGAGAGTACGGGAAAGGCTGGGTGTATTCAGGTACGAAAATACATATAGCATTCTGACATTATAAGAGTAAAAAAATATATGCAATTGAGTTGTAAAACTCCAGATTTTTTTGGTTTTAAACACTTCCTTGCAAGTACAAATTATATTAATTAAATTACCGTTGTCCTTCAGACATCTTTTAAATTAAACGAGAGCTTAGAAAGTTACCTTTGTAAGGTATTCCTATGTTTATCTTTTTGTGTCACATCTATGCTAATATAATAAAACTGAAACGCTCATTTCACACAGACTGTGAATTTAAAAAAAATTGTTTGGTCACAGTCCATTTTTCTAGAAAGGATATGTAACACTACAACCAAATTGACGCTGAAGCTAGATATTAATATATACGTAAGAAAAACATCAGGAATCTTATAATGTTTGTATTTTACCAACGAGTGTAATGAACGTATCATAGAAAATATTACGCATTTATTCTTTCAACCTAAGATGGTAAGACCGTTAAAGAACAATGTGTGAAAGGCCTACATTCTTAAACTGGTTTAAATCTCAATATACCATTTCGTAATTATATAACCAACGCCATTGTTATATCTTAAAATGGCTTTGAAGAATAATGCAAAACCAAATAGTTATTGTATTGTTTGATTAAGGTGACGGAAGAGACATGTGAAATCCTACAGAAGTTTGGTTACTACTTTGAACAACGGGGGTTGGTAGCTGTAAAGGGAAAGGGTCAGCTTATGACGTACTACCTCCTGGGTAAGAGGGAAAACGGAAATCCCGACTGCCCTATGGTAAGTTTTCGTAATCGAAATCCACTTGTAATATATACATATATATATAGTTTTAACTCTACACACACGCTACAGTCCTGATATTTTTTAAAAGGTTGTTAAAGTTTATTGTATAATTCTAGGATTGTCTATGACAATGGTTTCAATAAAAAAATCATTTAATTATCTTAACAGGTGTTACTGCCTTAAAAAACAAAAATAAATAAATACATATATAATAAATATAGGCTTAGATTATAGTCAAAGGCGTTGCTTATAAGTTGATTAAAACTGATTACGTAATAATGGTAGCAATACTTTCGAAAATTAAGTTATACGTCGGCAGTGTATCGTAAGCATTGGGACAATGCACGGGATTACATTTTGAGGCATAAGTCTCAAATGTAATCCCAAAAATGTCAGGCGCCATATTTTAATAACATTTACATTTCGTTACATCGTGTCGTCGATCATCTTTGCTTTGTAAAAAATAAGAACAATTCACACAAGGAATAATAGTTATGTGTGAATTTTATTTTAAAAGGCCTAAAAGGCCCAGTAAGTAGCCAGTTTCGCATAAGAGTGTACCTGTACCGTGTACATAGAAGTTTTCTCAAGTAAGTGATACTTTGTATTTTTATGAAAAATAAAAAATCCTTAAACTTGTAAGGATATTTTTATAATCACAATTAAACATAATAAGCATAATATAATTTACTAACTACCCAATTTGTATATTCTTGAAACAAATGTATTAGTCTACACAGCAATTAATTCTTGATGACTAACCATTTCAAGTAATCAAAACCAATCAAGTCATGAAAATAAGGGGTGTCTCAGTAAGAGTGCACTTTTTCATTTTTAAATAAAGACAAGTATTTTATGACAGAGTTCTGATATTTTTATTGTATTGTAAAGAAGACATGTTCCGATTAAGTATGGAATAAAATATCCGACAAATGACCTCCACGGCTCCGATGACAGGCCATTACACTCTTCATGAAATTTTCCATGACTTTTCACAGAGATGTGGCTGTATCTCACCGATGACGCGTTGGATTTTGGATTTAAGCTCAGGAATGGTTTCGGGTTTATTCGCATAAACTCGAGATTTCACAAAACCCCAAAGAAAAAATCGCACGGCGTTAAATTGCACGATCTTGGTGGCCAGTTGACATCAGGATTTCGTGAGATAATGTGTTCTGTTCATCGGAGAAAATGACTGTTTTCGAAAAATTGGCATCGACTTCCCTTTGCTCCATTACTCATTGAGCAAATTGCCGGTGCCTTCCTTGGTCTGCTGGTTTGAGCTCCTGAGTTAACTGAATCTTGTACGCATGAAGGTCTTTAGTCAAAATTTGCTAAGTCGAATTGATGTTTTCGGGTATTCGGCGACACTCTCGTTTACAGCAGCAATGTTTTCAATTGACCGACCGGTACGTTGACGCAAAGGATTCTTATTATCCATACCTAATTGACCCAGTTTCTTCAAATTTTTTGACCACTCTTCGAATGGTTGACACATTAGGTGCACTTTCTCGGCTGAAAATTTGGTGAAGTTTGCGAGCGTTTTCAGCGTTACTTTTGTAATGAGTTTTCACAATTATAACGAGTTGTTCTTTCGAAAAGCGCTCCATTTTTAATAATCGGAATAAACAGAGGGGACACCTGTCAAATTTCAGAGTTGCCACTTGCAGGAAAACCAAACTATTACAATTTTAAAAAGTGCACTCTTACTGAGACATCCTATATAATGGGCGATGAGTCAGTTATTTAAGATAAAGATTAACTTAACCTTCTAAAATACGTTTAATATATTTTAAATTAATATGATTAATTTCTTAACTTCTATTTAATCTTTGTTCTTTTCCAATATCCAATTCATGGACAATCTTCTCGAACACTCTAACAGCTGTAATTAAAGCCGACAACTTCTTAACAACGCACTCCCTTCGTTAAAAATTCTCAAATTAATAAATGACATTAAATTGCTAATGAATTGTTATTGTCTAATCGCATTAGTTAAGTATATATGCTAAGTATTCGGCTTTGGCTAAATGTCAAAATTATGTTCCAATATTTTTAAACTTAACATACTACTAGCTTAAATCTCTATATATATAAAATTCTCGTGTCACAATGTTCGTTCCCATACTCCTCCGAAACAGCTTGACCGATTTTTATCAAATTTTATATGCATATTCAGTAGGTCTATCTATTTTTCATACCCCTAAGTGATAAGGGTTGTCACGTGCCATTCAAAAATACATACAACCCTAAATTTTCACCCCTCTACGATCAACCCCTATTTTTTATTATTGTAGATAGCTATTTTTATTTAACTAAAAAAATTTTTCCTAGAAATAATATACATGGCAAAAAAAAAACGTTTGTCGGGTCAGCTAGTTAACTATAATAGTACATTATCGATTTATTTTGGTTGGTAAATGCATGTAGTCGATCATATTACAACATTTTACTTGCAAAACGAACAGCATAATTTATATTGTCACGCGCTCTTTAGCAAAGCAGTGAGCGTTTAACTATTATAATGAATATAATTTTCTTCAACACCATTAATGAGATGAGTTGCCGACAAGCGCACGACGGGCATTTCTTTATTAGATGCATGTAATCGGTTTCATATAAGGCCCTTGTCGATGGAAGACACGATGAAAGTTTATCTAAAACGTGACAATTAGTATTTTAACGAATATCTTTCATTCGTTAAATGGTACAATGTTTTGAATCTTTTACTATTAATAGCTTTATCCTATATTTAGGTCGTTTACATTCCATACATCAAATGTTTATTTAACAATTATTTTTTATTTAACATAACCAGTAACAATGATTACTAGCATTAATATTTTCAGATTTGGTTATTTTATTCATTCTTAGTAGACATTCTTGTCTATATGTCAAAATCCGGACATGGTTTCGATATGGACAGTCTACCCGGACAGGCCGATTTACAGTGTCGCCCTATCTGGATAGATAGTCTTAATCGAGTGCCTATTTCTTCAGAAAAGCTGCTTCGAAGAAAGACCCTAAATGGACAAGATGACCGCTTTACGTATTCGCTTAAATTTGTTTGGTGTGACTGAACTATTGTTAGCATATAATAAATTAAAATATACGAGTTCTTCAATCCAGTAACCCCAGGGTACAGACACGTATTTGTTTCACAGTAATTTTTTCTGTATAAATTAAAAAAATAATCAGTGGCGCTACAATCTCTTTAGGTCTGGGCCTAAGATTTCTGAATCTGTTTCATGATCATTTTTAAATCTAATAGGCAAGTCGGTGATCAGCCTCCAGTGCCTGACACACGCCGTCGACTTCTTGGGTCTAAGACATGTCGGTTTCCTCACGATGTTTTCCTTCATCGTTCGAGCGAATGTTAAATGCGCACACAGAAAGAAAGTCCATTGGTGCACAGCCGGGGATCGAACCTACGACCTCAGGTATGAGAGTCGAAAACTAAATAATTACTCACGGCAAAAAAAATTGACCGGTAATTAAACCTACGATGTCCACTTTGTACGCACACACAAGCCATTGAAGCGGTAAGGTGGCTTAATTGTTTATTTTTGTACTCCTGATATTTTTGTCATAGCAATGTATTAACTACCAAGTTCCTTCTCATATTAAAAATATTGTTAGTCATACAATCTAATATTAAATAACTTAAATACAGGTGGAGGAAAGTGCAGAGGCAGACGCAGGTGATGCATTGCTAGCTAACGGCACCACATCCACGAGTCATCCAACCGCCCAAACACCCGCCTCACACGACGAAGTGGAGCGGCCTTTATTAAATTAGATGTCTTTCATAGTCACTTTCCGTAGAAAACCATGGATAATTATATTCCTATTCGTCGTAAACTGTAATTCCGTTGTTATCTCTATAGTATATATTTCCAATGACAGTGGATTGTCTATATATGAATCTACCACCAGACAGTATTTAATTAAAAATTGCCATATTCAATCTCTGTTTATAAACATATAACGCTTTTAAGTTTCTACCTCTTATGTACGTAATAGTCATAATAGCAATAAAACTAGCAATACACATATATAATTTAATTACGTAACATCTATATAGGTGTATAATACAATGTATTAAATCTCATAAACTTCGAAAGCATCCTTAAGTTTATCTAGGTTAAACTTGAATAACTTTATGAAATCTAAGTTTTGCAACTGGAAGTAAGACATATTTGTTCTGGCATTTGAATTATTGGCTACAGAATTGGAAAATAGCTAATTTTGTTGAACAAGAGTCACTGATCGATAAATTCTCTCGATTATGTAAAATATAATTTATAATTCCATGTCCTTATTATGATGCTACGTACACCCGTCATAAGTGGTGTATCTACGCTTCAAGTTAACGCTTAGAGACAAGTTTTAATTGAAACTACTTTTAAAATTATAAACCGTTTGACAGATGAGTGAGTGTTAGTTGGTCATGAATTTGCACCTTAGCATGCACTCTGTAGGACCTTCCATACGATATTAAAAAGTAAAGCGTTTTCTCTAACTAGACTTGAACAAAGAAGCAGTGAAACATTTGATTTGATTATTTAAATGATATAAGCTACCTAAGTCGAGACGTAGCGTTAGACGATAAAAAATTTACCCCACTAAAATTAAGATCTAAATTGTTTCGGTCTTAATATCTCAGTTTACTTGCGACTGTTTTTTCTTGCGTTACTATAATAACTTTATTCAGTAGTGTTCTATCGTAAGTTTACGTACGTACATCATCCTATAGAATTTGACAGATGACATACCTTACAAAGATGTTTACCCGCTCGCTTTTAACTTGTAATTGAAATGCTAGTAAAAAATACCTAAACAATGATTATCATAAGGAAAAGGTATCGCGAATTTTAATATATGAAAATGTGCATTTCTGAAAATTCTAGAAATCGGTGTCAATCTTCGTAAAATACGTTATTGATGCGGTTTTATATTGCAAGACATGCAGTGATGCGTATGCGAACCATTACATAACATTCATTTTGCGGATAAATCTGTAGTTGCCTCATCTCGTAATGTAGCTGTATTGTGATATTCTTATTAGGAGTTAGGCTCATCCCTATCACTTTTACAATTTGAATAATTCGTACATTGAAATAAGTGCCATCTACATTCTTATAACAAATCAATTTGAGGAAATTGTATAACATAATTATGATGCGACAAAATTATCTGATATCTAGATTACATTTATGTGTTTATTTGGCGAAAGCCGTCGATTCCAGTTTGGCTATATTGATTCTTACCGGTTTTTCTATACACGAATTTCAACGTACGGGTTTATTATTAACATTTACATAACATAGATGTCGTTAGCGTTGTCTTTAACTAATGCGAATATTTAAGTAAAGTATTATTATAGTGAATTGAACCCGATTTCTTAATCACCCGTTACGTAATTATATCGGGAAACTGACTAATCGAGTAATTCACTAAAATAATATTTTATTTAAATGGATGTTAGCATAAGTGTCGTAAAAGGACGTGCTTAATGCCTATATTAGCCTAAGTGTATGTAGGAAGTAGCTTTTAGTTAAAAAGTGCCGTAACAGACATTAATTAGTATATTGTTTTATATACTCTCAGTAGGTATAGCATCTTGGCGCTTTTATAATAAATGTAAACATTGTTTAATGGTGATACTATAGCTATATGGTACGAAACCGATTGTCTATTGCACGGGAAGGTATTATTTTTACAATATGATTTTTTGTATTAATCTATGCCTACACTAAACTCTTTATATTGTTTTTGGTCTGCCACTTATTTAAATCAAATTTGTATTATTATTCGTAAGTAATCGTTTGAATGAACAAATATTGGGTTAATTGAGCCCTAGTAGTTCTAGATAATAGTTTCACGTGTAATTGTTTATGGGTCTTATGCGGTGTTACAAATGCTACTACTATGACTTTGGTAGCGTGAAAATTCTCCTTATATACAGCAAAGTAAATTTCAATAATTTTTTTACAGATTAACTACGTTTGGTCGACTCCATAGTTGGATTATTTTTTATGTCAAAAAAATGTGAACATTATCGTTAGTTTCAAATATTTTTCAAAAAAGTATAGCCTATATTTTCATTATTAAAAATTGACAAAATATTATCATTTAAATGGAAATATTTTTGTCAAAATTATAAATAAAAAAATACAAGCATATCACCAAAATCTTGATTAAGAAAGCATTCAAAAAGACTTCATCAAGTGTACATATTATATAATTATGTGTATTCAAGAATGAACATTTTCAATTCTGATGTATTTTACGAACTTCATTCCAACCATGGTCCAAATACATACCATAAAGAGGAGCATTTGTACACGCCAACTTCTGTAGTGATACACTGTCCTGTGATTTGTTATTAGGTACTTACTTAATCTATAATTTTATACATATTTTAGCTCAAACTTTAAGGTTTAACCTTAGAAAATCTGTACTGAAATCTTATATCAATAAATAAAGCAATATCTATCGTCTTTTTAATACTTTAATGAATCTTAAATTATTACAAGTAACAAATACTCATATATCTTAATACGTATATGATCTAAAAAACATAACCATACCTATAAAATATGGTTGTGATTAAAACACTGTCCACAGTGCAACAAAACCAGTTGCCCATCCGAAGTATTTTCGAACCAATACGACTATAGGTACTTTAAGAAAAATTCACATTCCTAAAAAGCCCACAAGTTATCCAGAATATTCCGACAGTGTGAGTGTGTGGCGGGTATCACTTAACATCAGATGATCATCCTTCCGGTTTGGCCTCCTTGTTTATTTTCAGAGAATTAGAGACTCGCATGCACCTTTTTTTGTGTCATCAGCAACGTCTAGTGGACTTACAAGTCGTTGACATATGTATTTATCTGACCATTTAATGGTCAAACACCCGGAAGTATGGTTTTTATATCAAGTTCTAATGACTACTAGATAATTTTTAAATAAGTAGCTTCTATTTTGCGTTTGCTCGCTTGTTTTATAGTTTAACATAATGCCCAACCCTTTGCTAGTCTATTTCCTTAATATTCTAACACTGATTCATCAAACAATGCTGAATTATTTCATACTTCAAGCATTTAAACTATGTATCAATTTATCTGCATTTCATTCGATAAGATTTTATAACAATACTTTTGAGAAACATTATTTTAATCTTCCAAATTTTATCTGAAGGCCTCATCACATATTGTTAAATATCGTGGTTCCTAAGAAGTATGAAATATATATATATGGTATTCAACAAAATTATAGGGAAAAGTAAATTGTGAAAGCGTTAGCAATACGTGTTAAATAGTACTTACACAAACTAAATAAAAGTTAAACTCAACTCATACTTATGTGGTATACAAATGTGTTTTCAGTAAAACTAAAGCGTTTCTAAATGTTAATCCAATAAACTTATATTTATAAGTGTTCAATAAACATCTGGTAAGAAGGCAATTAATATTTATGCTGATTAACGTTACTTAAACGCAATTAAAAATTACACTTCATCGGTGCATGATAATGTTTTGTAGTACGAAGTTATGGTGAAAATTACAATTTTGTTCGAAAAAGTCTATATCGATTTAGAACTATTAAACAAATCTTAACTTAAATATTAAAAGATAATATTGGTAGATAATAAAACACTTAATATTATATACATATAATATCATTTCTTAAAATCTCATTTATTGCCATAGCTAATTTAAGAAACATTAAAATTAACGAAAAACAATGCACCTTGTTCTAATCTCATTAAATAAAATTTATTTAAGCTTCTTTTAAACAGTTATTGTTTTGATATATGAGAAATTTTTATAGAATTTCGGAATCTGTAGCAATTTATTGTTTAGTAAGTATTCATGCATTTATTATGATTTGTGCTTTCATTGTTCTTATTTTCCTTCAAATATAAGAGATACCTACTTAAAATTTACATTTTATTTTTTTAAGACTTTTCGAATATTCGGCAACGTAAGCTAAATAGGATCCAGGAGATGCAGCTTGCAGGTGATTCACAGCTGATGGGAGCAGATCGGCAGAAGTAGTGTGGGCGAGAGGGGCGGGCGGAGCGCTTATTGAGGCCACTATTTAATCGCCGCTCGGCCGCGTAACGACCTGTTGTGATCCCGTCATGGCGCGCTACGCCCGTATCGCTTTGGTCGCGTGTCTCTTGTTCGCCTGCGGTGAGTCCTATATTATATTCCCCAGATCCAGTCTATTTCGCGACGTCATGGAAAGTAAACAGTGTTACGTCAATGTGTGGCCTAGTGAAGTGATTCCCACGTCGCGAGATAGACCGCAATTTAATTAGTTCCCGAATAATTACAATTCGTGATCTCCTTGCATGAAATCACTTAAGAATGTAATAAGTTGCAGGCCTTTCAAGGACAACTACACGATACTACACTGACAACTATCGAACCTTATTATGCATGTGCCGGTATATGTTGAACTTTAACGTAAAAATATTAAATTGTTAACTTAGTCTATAATTACTATACATTTTTGAATTACAACATTACTTAACCAACGTTATGGACACGTAATATGGCCAGGCTACATTTAACTTGATTCAGACAATCATCAACTGTCTTAGCGGAATTAAAAAACCATTCAATATTGTATAGTATTGTTATCACGAATACTATTTCTAGTAATTCGTTTTATAACAAACAAATGTTTGGCACTTACTGGTATTGCTACGAGAACTTTCACATTCGATGTGTTGCGTTGTGGTTGCGCCTGTGCTGACGTCACGCGCGTTGAACAGTGGCTTTA